AAAGGACTGAAAAGGGATCCAGGGGACTTGGAACACATACTCACGCCACTATCTTAGCAGGGTTGGATGGATGAAAGACTACTGACCAACGATTGAAGAAAGAACTGCCTCATTAAACTATCAAAAAAGGGGAGGGAGTCATGCTCCTGTTCACTCCAAGCAAAATATTAAGTCCCATCATCCTGGAGATAATAGAAGATGCTCCAGATGCAAAACTCAGACGGAACGATCTGAGTTCAAAGAAAAAATCGTGTATGGACCAAATAGCAACCACACATGGCTATCAGCACTCACCTTCATCGACTTTCGGGTCTTAGATGGAGTCGACCGTGAGGTAGTTTGGAAGCTGCCTGAATAATACGGACTGCAGTGCCCCAAATTTTTATCTACCCCACTTGGCAGCTATATGATGACGCTATGTGTCAAGTGATTCACCAACGTAAGCTCAGTAAAGTCTTTGGATTGGAGACAATATTCGGAAAGGGCTGCATACTACCACCGGCAATATTCATCATCCTGGTGGACTGGGTTACGCGGCAGGCAGTACATGTCGTGCGGGAAGACGGGTATTAGTTGGACCGATGGAAAGGAACTGAAAGGTGTGAACTTCAAGGATGAGTTACATCTTGTGACATACAAGCTCGAAGACCTGTAAGGGAAAGCCAACAGGTTGTTGGAAGAAGAGGAGAAAACAGGCCTTCGAACGAAAATTGAGAAGATGCAGTGTAAATATACGACTGACATCAACGAGCACAAATCCTCTTAAACAGGAGAAATGAAAGAGAAGAGACTTTCAATAACTTGGGCAGAATCACTGCGACTTGAAGCACCCACCACCAATAGCATTTCCATTAGGCTGCCGACTTTCATCACCAGCTGACTTGCTCGTACTTGAGATCAGATGCTCTGATATAGAAGACTAGCTACGATACAGTCATTTTGCGAACGAATCAATAATCTATTGTCCAAGAGACGTTCTAAAGAAGATGAAGATGAAGTGGATACAGGGTGATGAGACCGGACTATCGATGAGTAAGTCACTTAGGCATTCTATGGCACACGGGCGTCCATACGACAACTTTTCTGAAAATTTTCTAGAGGTTTGTGCAGTCTTTCGAAGATCAAATGGCATACGCACGATCTCATATTATCTGAGTGGGTTGGTATTGGCTGTTTTAGGTGTATTTTCCCCAGCCACCAGAATATTGTGAAAGGCGCGAACTATGTTTCTTTTACTAGGTATTGTGGCGTCTCGGAAGCGTTTAACGAAGTTTTGAATGTGCGGTATCAAGTATCTGCCTGGAGTGGCCAGCCTATTCAGATATGTGTAACCACCACAATGGCATCAGTCAGTCTGGTTTCTCCTAAGTACCCTGTGTAGCGGTGAAACCTCCCTAAATATTATGAGTCCGAATGTCAGCCAACTCTCATAAACTGTCAATGTCCAGCTCTTACCACGCTGGACCTCACGCTGTCCCTCGAAGGCTTTCAGAAACGCTTTGTATTAACCAACGCGAAAAACAGAACACTGATTGGCGACTCAAGAATCCTTTATTCTTACGCCAACATGTAACCAAGAATAAGGTTATCACACAAGGTCTATGAATAAATGTTTTAACAATAAATCACGATAATACTTCTGATGGCTTTTCATCTTCCTTTGAACAGCGAACGATGAGACGATGACTGCCGGATTGATGACCCGCGAAAAATATGGAGAAGTTGGGTTTGAGCAAACAACCGTGAACTGATCGTTCAATTTTCAACTACACTGACACCAAATAATCCCAAGTTGAAGCATGTGGTTTAATTAATATTTCTCTATTCCTAGTTTGTCCTGGGCCTATTCTCCTTGGTTTACTGAAAACCTTACAGCAAGAGCAGTTTTCGGGCCAGCCCTAAAAGTTTTAAGGGTTGGCTGCAGTTAGAACCGAGAATTCTGCCATTACTTTACGCAACATATCAGTTGATACTAGTAGAGATTAGAGTAGACTAAACGAATGTTGCTCATTCACTCTTCCACTGGTATACAAGGAAGTTTTTTTCATTGTAAAACTTCTCATACAAATATCATGCACTGAGTCATATCTTTCCAAAAGTTTATGCCGACGACCGGTATGTCAATGTCTAGGTGAAAACCCACGGAAGCTATCGCTCGAACCCAATACTGAGGATCAGTGATTTCTGCCTATATGTTGTTATCTGTGTCAGCCACGTCAGGTAAACCGTCTATGCCCAGCTCTTGCTACACTGGAACTCACGCTTTTCCTTGAAGTTTCTCAGAAACGCTTAGTACTAACGGACGCAAAACCCAAAACACCGATCGGCTACTCGAGAATTCTTTATTGTAAGACCAACATATAGGCAGCTTTAAAATTAAGTTTTAACTAAGGTCTATGAACAAATATTACAATAATAAATCACAATATTACTTCTGATAGTTTTGACCTGACTTCTTTCTGAACAGCGACCGATAAGACGATGACCGGAGGATTGATCACGCGCGAAAATATAGGGAAGTTGGGTTTGAGCAAACAACCATGAATTGATCCTTCAATCTTCAACTACATTGACAGGAGGACTTCAAGTTTCCGTACTTCTTTGTTAATCTGGTAAGGCAGCTTTGAACACATGTTCCCATACCCAGTGTACTCACAATTCATAGTGGTCAAAGTAAGGCTCTATTTGAGCAAACCATGTTTCCGAATAATTGCCAACAAACTCATGTTATCTGACCCCAATGGTAACTTAACAGTCCACCTCATCAGAAATGTAGTTTTAGAAAATTAAACTCAGAGTTATACGCAATTAAAAGACCTGGAAAAATACAAACAATAATGCGAAAAATATGTGAATTAGAGCTGAATTTAAAAAATAGGTTAGTCTATTCGAATTAGTTTCAGGAATTTAATAACGGACTCTTTTACCGAAATAATTACCCAAACTACTGTTAGGTAATGAATATTTTGCAGTTGTGTAGTTTGATGTTCTATTTGAAAATCGTACTGGTGTGCAGTTGAGGTGAACAGACTTCACCTTAAACACTGAGTGAAATTCACTATCACTCAATGAATAAAGAGTGCCTTTCAAACCACAGATAAGAAGCAGCTTCAAGTTTGATGGAGCATTCGTATCAATTAGAGAACCAGTGAAAATCCTGCAGTATCTGACAGCTGTTTCGCCCCAGTTTGCAACTCTTCAGGCGTGCGCACCCAGTGAGGTTCAAATCATTATTCACTTGGGAAAAATGAAAGAAGGTATCAAACACAAGTGTGCCAAGTAAAAGATATTAATTGCAAGCGAGAATGACGGCAAAGGCTTTGGGCTTGGTTGCAAAGTATTTTGGTCTGAAATCTATGAATAAATAAAGATTGCAGACATTTTAAGTGACCCATAAAATTTATTAGGTTATTGAATTGCATTCGCGCCTAATACTGTGTTTGACACTTGTGTTAGAACTTTTCACATTATTAGTGTTAAAACCGCATACAACGGTGACTAATAAGAGACACAACAACAATTTGCATAATTCCATGAGCGCAATTAAAGCCGAAAGCCTTTTCCAATAGAATCGTAATGAAAACACTGGGGTTTTTGCACAAACATTACCACACAGAAAGTGAGGTACTTAAATACATCGAAGACTCTTCGGTGTTAAAGCACTCACTGGATGCTGTGGCGAAACAAATATTTACTGCTTATTCAGTGTGAAAAGTAAATGAATGGCGAATACAAAAGCCATTGACGCAATACGAAATTACCCGAATAATAAAATTTAACGTTGGCGATTCGCATGGAGAAGTCGACGTAGCAATTAGCCACCTTGCCCCGAAATACAGATGTAGACTGAAGTTAGTCATTCGCTGCCTAAGAAAACTCAGCACCCCCTATATGTCTCTTCACATTTCTGGCTTCTGTCTAAGTCGGACAGGCTTCATTAAAATTAGAGGAATGTACTTGAGACTGAAGCTAAGTATCCTAAACAATAATTCACATCACGGCCTCATCAACGTCGTCGTTTTTTATGTCAGTGAATCTTTTCATATGTTGTCTGATATCTAATTATTTCGGAAACTAGAACTCCCTGTAATTGCCTGCAGAGTATTTTGTTGAATAAAAGAGTGCCTCACCGAAAGAAAGAAGTATGAAATGAGTCGGCTAACGAAATGTTAGTATAGGGCAGCACTGGTAAACGTCTCCTTCTTCTGTAATCTTTCTGTCATCTGAAAGTGGATAACGCGTAGCTTCACATTTTTTTTTTATTTTTGATTACAGCTTGACTTCACACCGTATTTTTGGTAGAGGTATGGAATTTTCAGCGTGGATATCGGTAGCCCGAAATTCGCAGGCCAACCATAGATATCAGGTGTGCGTCGGCGTGGGCTCGAACCTTGGACCATGTGCATGGTCGGCGAGAGTCCTAACCTTTGTGCCACGACTGCCAGCTGTGAAGATGGTAGAATCTGAAAGAGTGTGAAGGAAGAAGGCAGATATTAGCTGGAAGCTGATGTTGTTCGGACGACTACTGCCTATCAAAGCATCAGAGGGCAGTAAAATGAAAGTAACTGAGAATAAACTATTGAGAAAAGACATATTATTTCCATCTCAAATATACAGTACGACTCTGTCATTCAGGCTTCAGGAAACATCCAGTGCTGTGCAAGCACTATGTATTTACTGAACCTTTGTTAGAACCCGAAACAAAATCCTACCTGCATCCAATTTCATCTAAGTTCACCATTGAAAATGTACAGTATTTTCCTGATAGTAAAGTCTATAGTGTATAACAGAACTCAGCTCCGAAATCAACCACGAAACGCCCTACAAGTCTAACCCAGCTGCAGAAAAAATTTGAGGGTACTAACAGCGCTAAAATACGCCGAATAGCGGGAAGTTTTCCGTTAACATTAAGAAAAAAAATTGATTTGCGTTAGTTGGAGATGGAGCATTGAATATTGGTTAAGCGGTTTATCTGACATTTAGGGTCATCTCAAGGTTGTATGGCTGAAGCGAAACTAAGGGTCGGGTGTCGTGTTGAAGTAACAGGGAAAGACGTTTTTGGGACCGTTGCTTTTGTTGGAGCAACACAATTCTCACCAGGTAAAAAAAGTTCTGTTCTCATCACGGACTTAGGAAAATGGGTGGGTGTAATACTAGACGAGCCCAAAGGGAAGAACAACGGCACGGTCCAGGGGAAACGCTACTTTACATGTGAGGAAAATTTTGGGATATTTGTGCGCCCATCTCAGGTATGTTTTATTCAAAACGGTTTTGTGCGATGTTTGTTCCCATTTATGCGTCAGCTAATGCACATTATCAGAAGTCTTTACTATCGGAGACTATGGTAATTTTTATTTGTTTACCACTATATTTATAGTGAATTTGCACGGCGCTCTTATTTTAATAACTCACCAGAGCTTGTGTTAGTAATTTGCTGGTAGACATCGAGATCATTGCAAATATGAATTCAATATATCTCATATAATTGCATAGTGCCAGTCTATTCTTCAAGTGCTAGGTTGCATTTGTAATTTTAAAAAATGTTATGTAATGAGATTCTTTGCTGAGAGTAAGGATCAGTTTTCACAGTCCCTAGGATAAACTGGTTCATAGACATTTCAGTGTGAATCATGATGTTCAAAAACTATGTATCGTGGTTTTTGACACTTATAGCTTCGTAGCAATAATAGTGCACACATGATTCCTTACTTATTTCGCGAATCCTTACGGTTTTCGATTTGTATTTGTTGATCTTACCTGTATTCCGTAATATCATTTTCATCAGTTTCGCATTACCCTACCTAGCTTTTTTAGTCCTTGCACTCCGTATTTATATCAGAGTATGAAAAGGTATTTCCAGAACCATGAAACTGGATTCCCACCTGAATATTGAGTCTGTTGGTACTCTTATTCTGCGTGGAATTATATTGTAGCATTATTCAGACCTACAAGCACACTTATTGGAACCTAGGCGAAGTTAAACTATCATAACCAAAGTTACTGTGACTTTGGGCAACCAATTAGAATTCAAACAAAAACAGCGCTCATAATCTTTGGAAAATGCATTAATGCACATTGCGAATACTATATTACACTGAATAATTGCCCTTATGTGTTGCAAGAATGTCTCTCAGTCGCTAACCGGACAACCTAAAGAGAAGTCATACCATGCGCGATAGGTGTTTTCATCCAGGTCGAGATGCTTTGAGATCCACTGATTTTCTTGACACTGTTCTTTAACCTACACCTAAGTGTGACCGTAATCCAAACTTTAATCTTAAAAGCCGTAACCGTAGCATACCTAGCAGTACATATTCACAGAAAAAGTACATATGGAATAAGTAGAATACTGTGTTTACTTTCGCCAAATTCTAAACGGTAAGCATGATTTGATTTCGAATGACATTTCATAGCCTTCCCTGAATTTGACTGGTTCTTAAAAGTCCACTTTTGACAGACCTTGACTTCGGCTGTGATACCTTAACTTCGCCAGGACATGAATCCAACCGTAGTCTCCAGCCTATAGAGCTTATGGCGCTAGTGTTGGGACTTACTGTCATTTTTGTGGTATAGTTGTTTCGTAACATTTCCTTAGGAAACGATAACTTATGCTTGCCTTTGCTTCAATATGCACCAGGCAGTTGATTTTCTCCTCTACTTCCGATTGCTAGTGTCAAGCATACCTTAATATATTAAATAAGACAGTGTGTCCCCTGAAAAATATACTGCTAAAATATTGTCTATCCAACGGTTCGTGAGACGCTATGAATGTGTGCGATATATTCTTTGTTTTGTAAGAAAATGGAGTTGGCTCTTATTGGCTTTAAAACTTAACTTCAAGCCAGTGGACACCGGGCTTTAATCCCATCTCACTTACTGTAACTGAATAGTACCATAAGCCTTTACATAGTGTGTAATTCGTAGGTGGGCACATAAAATATATTTTCTCGGTATTAGCATTCTTTCAAATATAATTTCTCACTCCCGCAATTGTTTAAACCGACACTTATTTCAACTTTAGAAAGTCACTTTGTCATCATGTGGTGAAGTGGGAAGGCCTACGCACTCTCGTTATCTACTTCTTTAGTGAAATATCTCTATGCCTATTAGGCATCAAGAATACATCAGTGTGCGCGGTTACATTACGTCAGTGTTTAGTCATCAGTGTTGAATCTGCAAAGATTGCATTCATTTATTCTACACACCGCCTCTCTTCTTTGATAGAAAATTATAACTGTCAATCTTCTGAGTTGGTCATGTCATTCGTTACGCCTACTTACCACCTACCATGGCTTATTGAATCAAGAGCGGCCATATCCGTACTCACCCAATCACTGAATTCATGACTGTTAATCCAATTAGTTTGGAAAAGTGCGACTTGCTTTTTGTGGTCGAATTGACTACCAAAACTCGTGACTTAGGACCGTGAGTGATGGGGATCGAAATAAATCACACAGACGCAAACGTATTCTCACCTTTTTACTTTAGATGTGTTGTCACATACTTTGTTTCTGTCCTTTTGTTTCACAATACTTTACCACTTCTCATTATTTTATTATCATCTCATCTCTATTCGCATCCTTATTACCTTATATATATATAAATATATAGTTTTTTGAAGCATCATACAATCATGCAAGTCCTTACATTGATAACGGTAGGATAATAGTAATATGACTCCATTCAAATACAGTTTGATCCAATATCCAGAACATATTTTAATTCTCTTGTCCGTGTTGTGCCATTTTTCTGTTTTATTATGTTAAGGACTATTTAGTGTTTGTCTTTGATTGCTATTGTGATATATGTCAGGTGGCTCTGCGATGATTGGTTGGGAATTCGAACCGTAATAAGCTTTCCCCATTTTGTTTAAGCCAATTCTTGTTTTTCCCGTTGATTAGTTGAACGGAAATGTTTGGCTTCTGTCGACATGCCAGCTTTTAATGTCTGTCTGTTTTCGACATAGAACTTTGCACAAATGTGCGGAAGTTCAAGTCGCCACACTCCGTGTAGCACGCGAAGCAAGAGAAGAAAGTACAAGAAAAGCATAATAGAGAAAGTAAGCAGAGGTGTGAGACAAAGGAGGGGTAATAACGAAGAACAAAACAGTTTCATTGAAAATCATAAGTCACAAGGAGTGGATGCATCTGCGCCACTGAGAACGATTTTGAGCCATGTCACAAACTGTTTCCAACCATAGATTTTTACCGTCTCGAGGACCCCAGTCTGGAAGTCTACACCTTCCTACGTGGCTTAGACCAACTGTTGTGGATTTCACTGACTGGTGCCAAGTTTTTGTTTGACCGCCGCTAGCTTTTTTCCAGCCTGACCCTATATTCGCAAACATTGCTCGTCGAGGGAGGCGATGGCTTGGCATACGTAACACATGTCCTAACCATCTCAGTCTTTGTAACTTCACGACTTCGTCGATTGATTTCCCCTGTTTACCTAGAACTCGACGCCTAACTTCAATGTTGCTTTTAATGTGGACTATCCGAAGATGTCTGAAGATCAACAGTGATGTTATTTGCTGCCGAAGTGGCTTAGTGGTTAACACGCGTTTAAAATGACGGGTACTGGGTTTGATTCTCAGTAGAAAGACTATCACACCACACACTGGGAATTGCAGGTACATCTAGACGAGTCCCAAACGAGATGGAACTTACTTCCAGGATTCCACTGATAGTCACTATGCACCAAATAACATGACAAATATGAATCTGGAGTTTGTAAAAAAGTAAATTAACTGATATTTATTGTTAAATTTGACTCATTGAATCCAGCTTTCTTTGCTTCATCTGTTTGTTAGGTGGGTAAATATTTTAGTCCAACAAGAGTATATATTTTGGTGTACTTTATTCGGGTTGTATCTGAAAATATCGACCGTGAATGCATCTTTTAATTAAAAATCTAATTTATTTATTCCTCCTTTGACATCCAGCTTACTCTTCTAGATGGTCCAGAAGGATCAAACGTAATGGAGTTATCCACATCTAGCGTTGTTTCCGAATCAGGTGCCACTTCAGAATCAAGTGAAGCTGCAAAACTTTCTGGTTCGGCATCTTCGTTATCTGTAGGACTGAAAACTCCTGAGACAGTTAAAGGTATTGAATGCTTTATTTTCTGCCTGTTCTTCAACTTATCTACATCGTTTTGAATCTTATCACTAATATGCATGTAATGTAGCATTTTAACCCCAAGGAAGCGCATAATGTTATTTACATCAATAACATTATCTGTCAATTGAAATGATTTGTATGGTTACTTGATTTGTATTACCTGGTAAAACAGTAAGATGTTTTGCTACACTCAATTCAGTAACCATTTAGAGGTGGTGATACTAAACAGAAAACTGCCTGTTCTATGGAAATTAAGGTTATAGCTGAGATGCTCATGCTTTGATTAGCGTTATCCAGTGACCGGAATTCAACTCAGATCTCCATGAATTTATTATTCATTGGATTCCAGTTGATTTAACTTTATATCGCTACATGTGTTGATGAAATCTGATTGATCAGCTGTTTTTTCAATAGGTTAAACAGTTATACGTCGCTGTGCCCTTTAAACCGTTTTGAATAACGTAAAGCAATTAGTAGAAAGTTAAATGACCAACACCTCGTGTTTCTTGATACTTAATATGAATATTTTCTCATATTAGATTTACACCATTAAGTAGTATTGTGTTTGAACTTAAGTAACTTTGAAATAATGTTATCAATTATGACACTACTGACAGCTTGTTGTAAAGCTGTGCTACAAAATCTCAGGGACATTTTATTCAGTAGTTTTGGAAACTAGGTCATTTTCAAGACAGCTGACTCTGACCAACATTATCTGAAATGTTATTAGAAATATAGATGAATCCATCAGTTTTTCTAATCTTACGTTTGGGTCTTTCGCTGATGCACACCCTACACTTTTTAGGTTGAACCAAAACAGTTGACCCTTACAGCAGACACATTGCTATTGCTCTGCCGGAAATGTGGATCAATAGACTAAGCACTCGGTTTACGGTTGATGGGTCAGAGGTTCGAGTATCACCCCACCTGGGCAACTGGATAGTATCATCAGTTCTCACATAATGAGTGTGGCTCTTAGTTTGGCACTTGGAAAATCCGTTCCGGGTAATTGAGCTCTACCTGATTGAAATTTAGTGACTGACGTCATTTAAATTTCAGTCATTGCGTGTTATCGAAGTCATTGACTAAAGTTCTGCTACTGAGGTTTTTGTCCTAGCTTTGATCATCACTCGATTATAATCAGTCAGTAAGTTTTGACTACCTTTAATTTCAGTCATAATAATTAGTGCACAACCTTCCACTAATTTGAAGACAACGTATTTTCTCTGAGACACTGAACTATTCTACTTGTACAGAAATGTAGTGAAATTATTGTCCAGTGCATTTTGTTTTCAGTGACCCCTCAAAAAGTTTTTTTTGTGGAAAAAATCTGTCGTCGGGTAATTTGTTTATATTCTGTTTGCAACCATAAATCATAAATCAGATAAATTTCTATTTTTCACTGTTTCATCATTCAATTTTTGATATCATACATATCATAGGACGGACTTCAAAGTTACCCGGTCTCAAACGTTCTCCTCTAGCTAGTTCTACTTCATCTGTGAAGGATAAGGCTAGTGTACCTGCCTCAACTAGTAGACGTATGTTCTGTTTTCTATATGAGTGCATGCTTAACTAAAACAAGAAGCATATCCATATTATCCATATTGGTTCATATATCAATCTTACATTATCTAACAGCTACGCTTTAATCTTTGCCTCATCTCTTTTGTTCTTAGTCATAACATTCATCTAATGCGCTTTTAATCCATAATTAATTTAAAGCATGCTATAACATATAGTTTTTGTTTTGTTTTTTTCCGATCGGTTTCGTACTACTGTATATTTATTATTTTGTTCTCTTTCTTTTTTCGTCACAGTTCCATCAGAAATTAAAAAGGCATCGCAAGTAAGTTTAATCTCTTTTTTATTTGTTGTGATGATTGACAATGTTACATAAATTATATTTTTCGAGGCTATATAGAAAAAAACGTGGCGCGCTTTCATTGATAGGGATTCGATTGATTTCATGTTTGATCACAAAGGGATTTCAGTTGGAGAAGCATATAAAAAAACTAGGGTGTACTGGACAACTGTCTCGTTCTAGTTCGGGACTCTTTAACAGTACGCACCCACAACCCCACAACAAGCGAATGGACCTGGAGCCCTCGGGTTTCAAGGCGAGGTCTCTGACCATTTAGCTACTGAGACAGAATCCAGTGGCCGATGAGGTTGGCGGCTGGTGGTCGCGTTGAATATCACCAGCAACTGACAGAAGTTAGAATTCATGGGCTGGTCATTGGATTCTATCTCAATGGCTGAGTTATCAAAGATCTCGCCTTGTATCTTGAAGATCCTGGCTTCGATTCCTGGTGGCGGCGGGGTCTTGAGCGAAGTCAATTCGTAACCAAACTGTAAATTATCCATTTGACTGACTTGGCTTATCTGTCTTGTCAAATAGAATGATTCTATTTCTTAATAGACAGCTCATTTTCCAGTGAACTTTATGCATTTTTGATATTTCTGTAATCTATCGACTTATTATTTTGTGTTAGTAAATTTCTTAACATGTATGTGTATACATTTCTCTTTATTGTGTTAAGAATTTATAGTCGATAATCGATTTTTTTCACATTTTGCTTTTACTGTGTATTGAGTATATATATATATATATATATATATATATATATATATATGCATGTGCTTATATCCACGATCAATTAGGTGAATTGGTTTATTCACATAGGTATAAGAAATAAACATGTGCCTGTGCACACCTTAGTTGTTTATTTTATTACTTTTAGTTCATGTGCTTTGTTTGTTTCTTTTTCTGGCAAATTATTTTCATGCTTTATTATTATTATTATTCTTCAATTAGCCTACATCAAGACGATCTAGTTTGGTAAGGTATTTGTGTACAGTGTGGAAAGGAAAAAACGATAAGCGGTGTAAAGTTTTATTAAAGCTAACATAAGCAAGCCTTTTGTTAATTTCAAGACTTTTAATCTATATGCCTTTGCTGTCGGTTGAGATTATCTTAATTTATATATTTTTTAATTAGTCAAAGACAGCTCAACAACAATAATTTGAGAAAGTTAAAATGGATGACTTTCCTTTGCGTTCCCGAGTGGAACATGGGACTTCAAGCTTCAAGCTTTGAAGTTTCAGTAGCAATTGTGTTATTCTTTTGAGAAGTAGGGTTGCTAACCTTACGCTCAATCTCCCTCTCTTTCTCCGGGTTTAATACCAGCTAAGCGAGATTTTAATAGTGCGTCAACTGGGAATGGAACCCTGAACCTTGCTTGTGTAGTTGGTTCGCGTGCCCATTCTGACCCTGAACCATCGATACACACTTTTATGATTGATTGACACTAAATGAATATTTCTTTTTCAAAAGAGCAAATTAGAAGTAGTCGCTCCATTGTACTGTGATTAGAGTTTAAGTATGATTAAGTAAACTGACACACATATCTGAGTAATGTTCTATATTGATTCACCATTCATTTATTAGGCATGATTTATAATTAATAGATATATAAGTATTCAAGTATTGGTTTGTAGGGATTTGGTTGATTAGTTACATGATTTCATCATGAGCTGACATTGGCTAGAGAACCTTTGGGAAACCTGCAGAGAGTACTGGACAGCTGTTTCGTCCTAGTTTGGGACTCCTCATCAGTACGCACACATTGGGGTTCGAAACCAGAACCTTCTGGTTACAAGGCGAGCTAGCTCGTAGACCATTAAACCACTGGGACCCGATACAATGGCCCATAAATTCTAACCTGCCAATTCACGATATAGCGCAACCGCTAGCCAATGTCTTCGACGAGTATTTGTCCTCACACCTGACCTGCTTCACCCTACTGGTCACGACTTCTCACTGGAACCCCAGGTAACTACCTACCTGAATAGGGCCAGTCGCCAGTGAGCATCTAATTGATATTCAAGTATTAGTTTGCAGGTTAAGTTAGATGTATAAGTTATTTATAATTGTGTTTTCAACCAAATGAGTCATGCTGCCAAATCCTATTCCATATACGTCTTATGACTTACGGGCATTATTGCTAGAAGTCATATGCCAGATATAGCTGATTGGCCATTTGACATCGCCGCTGACATGATGCACCTCTACCTCTACCATTTGTACTGTTTTTGTGTGACTGAGAAAACTATGAAAATCCAAAATATTAATACTACTGCTTCAAATTCGAGGCAATGGAATTCAGGATGTTCGGGTTCGATTTTGGGCCGACGCACTCCTATATCTCGCTTAACCAAGTAGTAAACCTGGGAAAGAGGGGTTTGACCATGAGGCTAGCAACCATATTTCGTGAAAGTAAAAAAACATCACTGCTACCGAAACTCCAAAGTTTGAAGCTCCACATTCTACTTAAAACTGAAGGGATGAAAAAGAATGGTTTAAAGTTGTTTAGAAGATGTCAACATTATCACTAGCATGGGCCAACATAAAAAAAATAAAATGGATGATTGTAAAAGAGATACTGTAGGAACATTAAGAATTTATGAAAACCTATTTTTTTTGTCAGTCCAATACCTTCTGACTTGAACGTAGAACTTAAGGTTTCAAGAATTGAAGTCTCAGTTACCATTGTTCTGCTTCTTATGGGGGGATGTTTTAGCCCTACACCCCATCTTCAGTCTTTTGAGGACTTACTCTGAACTGGTACATCGACCGCGAATCGAACCCAAAAACTAGTTAGCGAGCATTTTGCCACTGAATCACTGATGCACCCTTTGTGTGACACGTTTAAATAAATTAGTTTGCCCAGTGTTCATTGTTCCCTAAATTGAAGTCAGAATGTGGTGAGAGCTGCCTGGAAACCAAAATAATAGACAACAGTTTACGTAAACGTTTACTCCCCGAATCGGGGTCATGAGAAAAAAAACAATAACAAAGCTTAACCGCTAATAATAACGCTAATGATAATGCACATAACAATATACATAAATATTTCTTGACTTTTTCAATAAACGATCTGATGCCTGGACCTTGTCTTCTGTTCTTACAAGAATGCTGAAGTCTACTTCTGACAAATCAAGGCTCCATGACTAAGTAATACACAGAAGTTCTTACTCCCATGTTAGCCAAATATTGAGTGTCAGAATATGACATGAGTAGTTTAATATCTTACATATGTATCCTGGTCGTTTCTGCTCTAATACTTTATGTTCTCTTACTGAACAGTATTCACCTTTTGTATTTCACTAATGATATTTTGCTTATTTGTAATACTAACCGATCATTGTTACTAACAGTCTTTTGTAATTCTCTTAATTATATCTACACTTTCAAAGCACAATACCTCGAAATCTACTCTGTAGTGGATTTCCACCAACTATATTTTGTGCAGACTGTCTTCTTAACTGATTATCAATTTCATACAAATGGTATCTTTTCTTTCTGGTGTGGTTTTTGTTTTATAATTATTTGAATTTGTATGTGATAAATTTACTAATACCTTAGTTTACTAAACCTTTTTATGGTTTAAGTGATAAATGGAAGTCGGCTGCATGAATCAACAGTTACTGCAGAACTGTTGCAGTTCACTCGACCTCATCATCTTGTATTTCATTCTTAGTGACTATTCAGGACGTCGGTGGCACAGCAGTTAGGATGCTTGCCGACCATGCATATGGTCCGGAGTTCGATCCCCAGCCGACGTCCATCTGCTATCAATGGTCTCGACCTTCTAAATTTGAACTACCGATATCTCATGCGGAAAATTCCATACTTGTACCAAAATACAATGTGGAATGAAGCTATTATTATTATTGTTCCCTTGGGTTCCTAGTGGAACATAGGGCTTCAACTTCACTTCTCCACTTGCTTCCTCCTTCTTCTGCTGTACTTTTCACCTCCATCCATGTTAGCCCATACTCTTTCAACTCCTCTTCACACCATCTCCTCCATGTCACTCTTGCACTGACGTCCCACTCGCCGCTTCCCTTTCGGCCTGGTTCCACTCGAGCAATGGCCTGACGCGCGCGCGATGTTACCCAGTGGCCTCCTCAACGAGTGAGTGTCCAATCCATCTCCACTTTCTCCTGCATATTTGTTGGTTGGCGATTGGTTCTTGTTTTGTTTGTTCCCTGACATAGTTTCTTGTTGGTGATTCTTTCCGGCTCGGCCATCTGATCTCCAGTATAGATCCAGCGAAGGCAGTTGTTGGTTGATGAAGGTCTGCAACAGGCTGTTGGAAATATTCTTTGTGACCATCCAAGTTTCTGATCCGTATAGAAGAACTGACTGACTTGACGTTTGTTTTGAAAATCCGACGGGATTTTGTTGTTGATGCTGGCTGAGTGACGAAGATTTCCAGATTGGTTTCAGGTTGATGAATGTGTTTCTCACCTTCCCGATTCTCGCTCAATTTGACATCCTCGTCCATTCCGACTTCCTGTAGTTGAGACAATGCTCCCTAGATAAGTGAGTGAATGAAGTAACCTCTTTCAAATCCCTCCCGTTGATGGTGATTGACGCTGGATGTTGCTGCTGCATTTGTTGTTGTTGATTGGTTGGTTGGTTATCTTCATAACCTCCGTCTTGTCTATGTTCACCTGGAGTCCTGTCTTTGTTGCTTCTTCGATCAGTTTGTTGTTTTTCGCTTGTAAGTCTTCGATTTTGTGTGACATTAAACACAAATCATTCGCGAAATCCAGTGTGTCTTACATTGGAAACCATGTCTATAATATAAAATATAGATTAATCATCTCACAGTATAGCGTATTTAAAAATGAATGAAATAAATGACACAAACAGGTTTTTTTAAAAACAAATTTTATGGTTCTGCCAGAATTATCAATCCTTCAGGGGTTCAGATTCCTTGTTGATAATGTTCAAGCTTTCGGGATTTCATCTTGTGAATGCCTATATAAATAAAGATGTGCAAGGTAATTTGGAAACTGAATTGACACCATGAATTGCAGCAACTGAAACATGTATCAGCCTCATTCAACAGTTACATGACGATGCTAATATGCCAACTGGTTCATAACGGGGAGCTTGGCAAAGCCTTTGAAGTAAAGGCTGGAGTAAGACAAGGCAGTCTATCATCACCGACGATTCTTTTTAGTTATATTAGACTGAGCTATGCGACAGACCGTGAGGAGAGACAGGACAGACATACACTGGAGGGAAAAAAAGACCCTAGAATATATGGACATTCGTCGATGATTTATGTCTAATTTCGCAGAAGCTTGAAGATCTACAAGCGAAAAACCAACAAGTTAGCGGAAGAGGCAATGAAGACAGGACTTCAAGTGAACATCAATAAAACAGAAGTGATTACGATACCTAATCACGACAACAACAAGAACGAACTAGCACCAATAGGAGAAGTGTGAAGGAAGCACGGTTGAAGATGTCAAAGGTAAGGTCGGAAAGGCAATACACAGGTCTTCATTACTTTGAAATCAGTGTGGGAATCTGTCGAACTCTGCATAAGTAACAAGATCCGAATTTCCAATGCCATTGTCAAGTCAGTCAGTGATTCCATATGGTTCACAGAATTGACGCACTATCAAAAGCATCTCAGACACACTGTAGACTTCCATCAATACCTACCTACTTGGCTCCATACTGAAGATCAAATGGCTGACCAGAAAGGCAAGCAACAAGGAACTCCAACAGCCAACTGCCCAAAAACCTATCGCCCAATAAATATGTAGAGGGACGTAGATATGGATTAGACGTGCACTGAGAAGCCTTCGAGTAAAATATGAATGGGAAGCGAAAGATGCGTTTTTTGTCCGAGGATGACATGGATGAGGTCGTGTAAGTTTAAGATGAAAGATTATGAGCAGTCGAGGAGCCACCTAAGAAGAGATTGCTGTGAAGCCTAATTTTCTACTAGTAACCCGTAGGAGTAGTAATTGTTATACAATAAGGTCTAAGATTACTTTAAATTGTTGTTAAGCTTTACTTTTTCTTTTATTATTATTATTGTATCCTTTAGTTCCTAGAGGAACATAGGGCTTCAGCTGCGCACCTCCATTGACTTCGGTTTTCTGACAACTTTTTCACCCTGCTCCAGGTCTGTCCACATGCTTTCATCTCCTCCTCGCATGACCTCCTCCAAGTCACCCTTGGACGACCAACTCGCCGCCTCCCTTTCGGGTTCCACTCGAGGGCTTGTCTAGTGATGTCACTTGATGGTTTCCTCAGCGTATGGCCAATCCATCTCCATTTCTTTCTGCCTATTTGTTTCACAATCGGTTCCTGATTGGTTCGCTCCCAGAGATCCCTGTTGCTGATCTTTTCTGGCCATCTGATCTTGAGTATTGAGCGGAGACAGTTGTTAATGAAGGTTTGAAGTTTGTTTGAGATGCTCTTTATGACTCGCCAAGTCTCTGATCCGTATAGTAGCACTGACTTCACATTGGAGTTGAAAATCCGGATCTTATTTTTGATGCTGATTGCTGTTGACCTCCACACAGATTTGAGAGTAATGAAAGCTTGTCTTGCTTTTCCGATTCTGGCTTTGATGTCCTCGTCAGTTCCGCCTGTAGTTGAGACGATGCTTCCCAGGTAGGTGAAGGAGGTTGTTTCTTTCAGGTTCTTCCCATTTATGCTTATTGTGGTCTGTTGTTGTTGTTGCTGTTGATGTTGGCTAGGAATCTTCATCATCTCTGTTTTATCTATGTTCACGTGAAGTCCTATCTTTGATGCTTCTTCTGCCAACTTGTTACTTTTCACTTGCATATCTTCCAGTTTATGGGAAATCAGACATATATCATCGGCGAAATCCAGATCCTCCAAGTCTTTTGTGTCAGTCCATTTTATGCCTGTTCCCTCGTTGGTTGCCGTTGTCTGTCGCATTATCCAATCAATTGCAATCAGGAAGATCATTGGTGATAGTAGACAGCCTTGCCTCACTCCCGTCCTCACTTCGAAGGCTTCCGTAAGTTTCCCGTTGTGGATTACTTGGCATGCAGCATTGTCGTATAACTGTTGGATGAGGTGTATAATTGTCGATGGGACCCCGTAGTAGCGAAGTAGTTTCCAAATGACCTCTCGATCGACGCTGTCGAAGGCCTTTTCAAAGTCGATGAAGTTGAGATAGAGAGGTGACTGCCATTCCAAGCTTTGTTCAATGATGATCCGTAGAGTGGCGATTTGATCAATACATGATTTGTTTCTCCTGAATCCAGCCTGTTCCGGACGAAGTTTTTCATCTAGGGCTTGTTTGATTCTCTCCAGGATGATGCGACTTAGTATCTTGCTTGGAATGGACAGAAGCATAATTCCACGCCAGTTTTTACATTGACTTAAGTCTCCTTTCTTTGGAAGTTTGAATAAGTAACTGTTCTTCCAATCCTCGGGTACTTTGCCCTCTTTCCACACCTTCTCCAGTAGTGGTGTCATCAAGTCCGCTGTTGTCTCTGGGTCTATTTTCAAAGCCTCTGCTGGGATTCCATCTGGTCCCGGTGTTTTCCCACCTCTTTGGTGATTGACTTTCCATTGTCGTCCTTTATTGGCTTAATCTATGTCGAACGTTTGCCCGAAAGGTTCCTAGTTGTTTGGTAGAGTGTGGCGAGGTCTCCTTTGCCTGCAGCTTGTTCTGCTTCGTTTGCCATGGTTTCATAATATTTTCTTTTGTCTTCCCTGGCACTCTTCTTCACTCTTTTGTTCAGTGTATTGTAGCTTCAGTTTTTGGTGCCCTTGAATATATTTAAATAAACAACATGTTTAACGCAACCACCTAGAGTACCAATCTATTCTGTCATCTCATGTTTTGCTAAATTACAAAAGGTACATCTGCTTTTCTTCTCAGTGGTAAATTTTTGCACTCACTATTGGAGTTTTTTTTTGTGGTGCTTTGAAGTGTAGCACCATGAACTAATAAAGTGTTGTGCAAGGTTCGGCACTAATCCTTCAGTCATATGACTTGACGTCTCACTGTAGGCGTTGTTTTGAGCACTAATTCCTTTTGAAGCAGCGGTTATCAAACCATCACTTTCCATACTTTTACTCATTTTTTCTTCACTTTTATAGCTTCCACCAACTGGATCTAATCCAGACCTTGTACGAAGTAGTCCAACTCCAACATCAACAGCTTTGAAACCTGAAACTGCTTCTGCAAAAAATGAAAGCTCTTCTAGTAAGCCTGCTGAGGATAAACCTGTTGCAGCAGATGTTATAAAGTCCAGTGACATAATGAGTAAATCTTACACACAAATTTCAAAATCGGATATTCCGAATCGTAAGATAAGTGAGAGTAAACTCCCCACTTCTACTATCCCTACTACTGGTATTAAAATGCCAACAAATCCTTCAGAAATCCCACAGACAGCTGCACTTAGAGATGTAAAAGCGGCTGCACAGAAGTTGGATTCTGAAAATACATCAAGTAAACCTAAAGATACATCTCAAAAATTACCAAAAACATCTGTATCAGCAGCTACTCCAAGTGGTACTGGTAAGTACTCCCCAGACACAGAGTTGGAATTGTCAAATCTACGTGCTGAAGTAATCACCTTTCATGAACAAATTGATGCTTTAAAAGCTAAACGGGAAGAAGATAAAAATAAAGTACAAGAATTAGAACGTGTTAAAATTCAACTATCACAAGTCGAAGAGAATCGACGTCTAATGCGAGAACAAGCAGCTGAATTACAACGTGAAATTGCTCAATTAAAAACAGTAGGTTTTCTTACTTATATTGGTTTTAACAATTTTGTTGGGTTGGTGAACTGTAGTTGACGCTTAAATTATTCTTTTGAAGTCATTATCACTACGGTTTTTAAAAAATTTGGAGCTTCCGTACATAAATCATAGAATTGTATCAACGAAGAGTTTGTGAACTCTCTTAGCTGATTAACTGTAAGGAGATAATATATTCTCAATTGATGGCGATAACTAATCAAAATCGATTTATAACCTGAAAATGACCCTATATGGAGTGAGCTATTGATGATGCCGCATGAAGTTATTGACTGCTGACACTCGAGTTTTGACTGTTCCCAGTTCCAGTTTAAAACAAAATGGTTCTCAGTTATAGAACCACAAATAGCCACTGCACTTTATTTTCGTACTATTTTGCATCCACAACCCTTGTTAATAATAGATTTAGAACAACACATTTAAGCGAACAATATTGTTTTCAATTAGATCTCATCAGGCTTAACTCTAATATATATAAGTTTACAAATAAAAATTCAAATATCAACCAATCATGGTGTTTTGTCTATAGGATAATACGATGGTGAATATAAATTGTGAAATTAGTCATAATAGTGGTAATGATAATATTAATAATAGTAATAACAATAATAATGGTCTTATTAATAATAAGGATGAAAAAATGAGGCAATCTGTGATAACACGAATGATGAAAAACAGTATGATTAAACAAACAACAGGTGGAAGTAGTCGATAAAGGCTAGTAAAACAAATGAACCGATTACGTAATGTTAGGTTGTAAGGGAAGGAAATGAAGCACGTTTATAATGAAGATAAGATTAAGGGATGATAAGAAAGGGGTTGGAAATATAAATAAGGGGTAGTGTAGAAGTCTTTAGTTGTTTATGTCTTATTAGGCCACGGGAGGGATAATGGCTGTACGAACTTCTTTTGAATGCACAGTTTAGGTTTAATAGTTCGAATGCCTATCGCCTCAGCTGTGTGCAGTAGACGAATACGAAGTCTATTAGAAAGATTCGGTGGGATACGATGAATTACTTTGAAGGCTTTCGTTTTATCGACTATATGACCACTATCAATTAGATGTGACAGAATTGAGCTACGGATTGTTTTTGTCTGTCCTTTGCCAAACCACGATGGGGGATGTTCACTAACACGTTGGCTAAGCTGTCTAGTAGTACGCCCAATATAACTGTCACCGCAGGTGCAGTTGAATTGATAAATACACATAGATGTGGCAAAACTGTCAAGCTTATCCTTCGTTTGCGTCCCAATCATTCGTCGGCTAGAGAATGACAAACATAGGTGTGCTGCGTAAAATGTTCTACGTATACTCCTTGAAAGTCTTTGGAATAGGATCTCACTAGATAAGTCACCATTAAATTGTAACTTAATAAATAGAGGTCTCTTATGTGCAGTCACAGTCTCAGGTTTTTTTCTCTGATGGTTTCATATGTTTCTTTATGAAACTATTCGGATAACCCATCTCCGTCAAGGAATCGTGAATATATTCAAATTCCTTTTGTAAGAGGTCCTCCGTACATATCTTCCTTGCCTCTGCTTGCGAGACATTTTACAAGATTCTTTTTATATTTAATGGGCACGTAACTAAGGAAGTGTGTGTATTGCCCTGTGAATGTTCTTTTTTTTCCTACTTCCTTAGTTACGTGCCCATTAAATATAAAAGGAATCTTGTAAAATGTCTCGCAAGCAGAGGCAAGGAAGATATGTACGGAGGACCTCTTACAAAAGGAATTTGAATATATTCACGATTCCTTGACGGAGATGGGTTATCCGAATAGTTTCATAAAGAAACATATGAAACCATCAGAGAAAAAACCTGAGACTGTGACTGCACATAAGAGACCTCTATTTATTAAGTTACAATTTAATGGTGACTTATCTAGTGAGATTCTATTCCAAAGACTTTCAAGGAGTATACGTAGAACATTTTACGCAGCACACCTATGTTTGTCATTCTCTAGCCGACGAATGATTGGGACGCAAACGAAGGATAAGCTTGACAGTTTTGCCACATCTATGTGTATTTATCAATTCAACTGCACCTGCGGTGACAGTTATATTGGGCGTACTACTAGACAGCTTAGCCAACGTGTTAGTGAACATCGAAGCCATGAAAGGAAGTAATCGCTTTAAAAGTAATAACTTCTCCTGAGTGTAATAATCTCATAAGTGTTGCACTAATCTCTTCTGCTAATGATTGCAGGAGTTGAAAAGCAGACTTAGCTCATTGATTTGAACACTTGACTTTTGACCAGTGGGGGCCCCGGGTTCGAGTCCCACTATGCCTACCTAGGTCGGGTAACTTGGGAAGTATCAGTAGCTCCCTACACAATAAGTGTGACTTATTGTCCCTGAAATATGAAACACATGTTCCAAGAACTTAGTTCAAACATTAGATTCTAACCGTTTGGTTCAATAATAACATTCCCACCTTGTAACTCAATGATCCTGAGCTCATTGCTTCATGCTTCAGGCATGTGTTTGTATTGGTAAAAAGCTTCAAGCTAGGAAATACTAGCTGTGTTAGCTCTCCTTAGTTTCTAAATATATCTCTGGCTATTTCGCATTGAAAATATGGTTCAATAATGTGTTTATTAATAATCTTTATTAAGGAAAAAGCTGAAGTCAAAGAAGCATTTGATCGTTATCGTGAAGAAGTATCTGAAATGGTTGAAAATATAGAAATGGCTACTTTGGATAAAGAAATGGCAGAAGAAAAACTAGAGTCATTGACTGCAGAAATTGAATTACTTAAGGAACAAGTAGAAGAGCTAACTCTAGAGAATCAAATCTTGAAAGAAGAATCTGAAGAAAAAGGTTAGTAGTAATGATTTAAGTTATTTCAAGGTTGTTTTAAAATTGTTTCTATTGTATATGTTATTATTATTATTATTCACCAGGGTTCCAAGGTCACCAGGGGAGATGATTAATAAACTCGTGGAAAAATCTAAAAGCTCACTTCAAATTGAAGTATTTTTTATTTATTTAAACGCATAAAAACTTGATACAATTCGGCACCAAGAAGGATGCGCCACACAATAATAATAAAACAACATAGACCAAAAGAAAAAAAGAAAGAAGAGAAAAAATATATATAAGTAGAAAACGGATAAAGAACTTCATCTGGAAGGAAAACAGTCATGCTTAACAAGTTCAAACAGTATTCGTTAGCTATCATGGAGAAGGGAAGAAAGAAGGAAATTGCAACACGTGTAATAGCACGCGATAAGTTTCATTGATTGTTTGTTGCTTCATTCAATTGATTGTGTGAGGGCTGAGATACTGCGCGGGCGCCCAGACCGAAGCAGGTGGTTTTATTAAGGGACCACCCCCCGAACCTTTGACTTGGAGTCTAATCCTCAAGGCAGCGGAGCAGCGTCAGGAGCTGCATTCCCATGGATCCCGGTGACCCATATGGGTTCATACGCCATTTGACCCGATTGGATACTGGAGCCCATGTACCCCATGGTAACTGCTTTTAGTTTAACCGCTATCTAAACAACCTTCCTGACATGGTAGGACCTGTATGGACAGTGCCCCAGTCAGTTTAGCATGTTGGGTCATTACGGTATTCAAGCCCGACCACCATGACAAGGTAGCAGTTATTGACCGGGAAAGCGCTGAAGATGTCGCCTAGTAGGGCGATGAAAGCTTCGCAAATTAACCATCCAGCTCAGAGAACACAACCACATGAAAATCATCCACCTGAGCTACAAATCTTCTCCATCATATCTAAATCCCATGATATGGAATTATACTCTGCCATAGTGCCGAAATCCTGTTCCTACATCAAGGGCAACTGTTTTTTCTTCTCCAGAAATTCGCCGACATTTTTCTCTTACTCAAGGAAATAAATTACCAGACATCGCGTTCGTAGTTACGTATCGTATTCTACATTATTATCTCCTCTCTCTCTCTCTCTGTCTTGTGGAAAATACCAGGTGGAGTAGCAGTCGGTGTTGAAGGTGGTCCAACTCCCTTACAGTTTAAAAATCTTGAACAACAAAATGAACGAATGAAAGAAGCACTGGTCAAGCTACGTGATTTAGTTAATCAAGATAAATCGGAAATTTCAGCTTTAACTAAACAGGTAAATTCTTGCCTAATAATTTTATGTATGATGCATTGAGAAAAAGAAACTCTATGAACGTAAAGGTGTAATTTTAATGTTCCTGCGTTCTTTTAGCTGGGTGATTTTAAAACTGTGAAACTGTCATGTTCTTTCCAGACCAGCATCTTCAGCACAAGCTTTATTATCAAAGCGCATTGGTTGCAGAGTTCGAGTCTGAGTGGAACATCATCATAGGTACATCCAGATGATGAATCCCAAATAGGATGAAATGCTCATCATGCATTCCTCCGTTAGTCACTGTTATCATAAATAAGGTTGTTCAAACTTATGAGGTAGGTAGTGAATGTACTCAACTTACCATCAATTCAATATTTCTAAACTTAATCAAGTCTACTTTTTGGAAACACTAAACAGGCTACTAAATGTTATAAATATTAATGGAGTTGTATAGCTGAGTATTGTGAATTCTTCGCATATTGGCTTTAACTGTGTTGTAAATTTTTTTTATTCTTCTAACTCTTCTTTTGACACCAACTCACTCCTAGAAAATATCAAAGTTTACAGTTGGTAACTGTGGTAACTATTTGTCTGAGTGGGAAAATATAGCCTAAAAGTGAATAGTCGAGCAAATGGAAATGATAAATAATGTGATAAGAGTTATTTACCTCTGTTGTTTCATGATTTTTATGAAACTCGAAATGTTATGGGGCCAGTCGAAATCTGTGACCTAAAGTTCAATTCGAAAATAAGCAAAGCAATGTCATAATGCATATTGTCTTAATTTTAGTGACTAAGTCAAGGACACCCGTAGTAGAGTCTATGAAAATATGTATATTAGTAAGGCATTTCGAGAGGGATAGATCAGCTGCGATTCTTTGGTTGTATTTGGCACATTCAACCGCCATTTATCTCTGATTTATTGCTATTTCCCATCATATCTGTAACGGTCAGTTAGATGAGTTCACTCTTATTGCTTTCTTTAAACTAGATGACTAATGGTAGCGGTAAGGTTTTCACTATCACAATGAACTATACAGTCAGAAAATAGAAGCTTTTTGGTGGTTGGTGACTAACAATGGAATCCAGGATGCCAATTTCGCCCTATTTGTGACTCGTCAGCCGGATTCACCTGCATTCCTCAGTGAGTGGTGATGTTCCCACCGATGTTCAAAAGCACAGTGCCCATAGTTTCAAACGCCAAAGCGTTATCCACTAGACCTCTTGGACCACCTCTTGTGTAATGGGTCATATTAATTATTGAATTGAATTTTAGATTTTCCCATCGATTGATTTTACCGAAGTGCTGCTAGGTACTATCCACCAATTAACCTGTGATCACATGCCAAGACATCGTCCAAGCATCTGCTTAAGAAGCCGACATGTCAACCTGAGACCGAGTACTTTGATCCAGTCAGTCGATGGGAAAAATCTAAAATTGAATTAAAATCAGAAAATAGCTTTAGAAGGAAGGATTGGTAAATGCATTAAAGAACAGAATTCTAGGTTGTATATTCAATCAACTGACTGTTGATAGTAAAGAAGATGACAATCAACTTTTTGTGGAAGGCAATTTCACACATAACCATTCTTCTGCTGTCGATCATTTTGGTATCCAGTTTTTAATTATCAGGCTAAACATCAAGTTTAACAGCGTTGTACATCATTAATGATGGGACAAGAAATTCTAATAAGTGATCACTTTAAATTTTTCAGTTATACATATCAGTATCGTAAGGTGCATATTATATTACTGATGGATCCAGTGCTTAATTCCCAAACTTGTACAAATTGAACCGTTCGACCTGTACCCAACCGATTGACCACTTCACTTATTTGGGTGGGAAAGTGGTATCAGCCCCAGCGGGTTGATCTCAGACGAAATCTCTGTAAGGATACAAAATGCCCGTTTAGCATATACCAGTTTACTCCATCTCTGGTTTAGGGGGTGTGATATCTGACTGTCTACCAAAGAGCGTGTGTACTGTTCAGCAGTTCGCTCTGTCCTCCTTTTATGGCAGTGAAGGAGATATCATTATCGAAAATGGAAGACACAAAAAGCCAGGCTAGCTGTCTTTGATCAGAGGTGTCTGCATTCTATATCCCGTATTAGGTGGTATAATATATTTATTCTTTTGTGTTCCCAGTGGAACATAGGACTTGAAGTTACAGACTTAAAGTTTCGTTAGCAATGGTATTTACTTTTACGGGATGGGGTTACTAGTCTCATGCCCAACCTTCCCTCCTTACCCGCCTTATTACTGGTTTAGTGAGGTAAAGTAATGCGTTGACTGGGGATCGAACCCCGAACCACCTTCATGGTTGGCGAGAGTTCTACCACTGTACCACCGACGCAGAATCAGTAATATTGAGGTTAGGTATCAATCGAGTGCCAGGTAAGAAAGGGAAATCAATCGACAAGGTTGTGAAGTTACATCGATTGAGATGGTTAGAACATGTGTTATACATGCCTTCCTAGTCGTCGCCTTCCTCGACGAGCAATTTTGGTTGACATAGGACTGATCAGGTTGGGAAAGTTTTAGCTGGTGGTGGTCTAACGGAAATATTGTTTCATCAGTCAATGAAATCCACAACAGTTAGTTAAAGCCAGACACGCTTGGAGATGTAGACTTTCTGACTGGCTGAATGGTTGGGGTCATCAGGATTGTAGAAACCAATGAAGACTGGAGATAATTAGTAGTATGGCTCAAAAGCCTCGTTCTCAATAGCTGATGCAGATGCATCCACTCCTTGTGAGTCATAATATCCAATAAAACTATATTTTTCTTCCATATTACCATTCTTTTTGCCTCATATTTGTGTTTATTATCTCTCTTTGCTCTCCTGCTTTGTGTGCTACATGGAGAAAGAGTGGCAACTGGAACTGCTGCATATGTGTGCAAAGTTCTATCTTAAAACCAGTCAGTCACTGACGTCTGATATCATATTCAGATTATGGGAATTTCGTTGTAGGATTTGCATTAATTTAACTACAGATTTCGTCCCAATCCAATATCAGTTTAAAAAATCACCGAGAACCATAGAGCACTGGGCAGCAGTTTCTCCCAACTTGCGACTTTTCAGAAACAGTCTAAATGGTCAACAGAATCGGCCTTGTAACATGAAGCACTCGGAATTTGACCTCTACTGGGCATTGCTGAAGAGTCATAACCAAGTGCGAAACAGTTGTCTAGAGCTGATCGGTTTTCAATATTTCCCTAACTGTTGTTGGTTCACAACGAAATCTAAAATTAACACATTCTCTTTATCTACTTTTTATATGAGAATTTGAAATACTAAACTTTAAACTGAATATCACCTTTGTGTATTTGTATTATTAAAGATTACAGCTTTAGAATCGGAGGTTAGTCAACTTCAAACAGAAAAAGAACGATTAACAAAAGATTTAAAAGACAGCGTTGAACAAATTATTGAATTAAAAGAACAAGTGGATGCTTCCCTCGGCATTGATACAATGTTCAGTCAGTTGACACAACGTAATTTAGAACTGGAAGAATTGCTTGAGAAAACTAAAGAAGAAAGAAATGATCTGGTATGTATATAAAAATTTCTTTTGAGATAATAATAATAATAATAATGTAAAGAAGAAAAGACCGATAAGGCTCGAAGGAATGTTTATTAGGACAAACGCATTGTAGGTACATAAATCTGTTATAGCTTATCATTAAGTCTTTATTTACACATCATTTCCGAATTGGTTTGATACTTCAACATTCGATAGCTTCTTAGATCCTGCACAATGTTTGTAACGTTCTTCTTCTCACAGTTCTCCTCTTCCATTGCTTTTGCCAGTGTCCAAAACATATTTAGTTTTCCGACTTCGTTTACTGCTATAATACTACTTATATCTGATTATAAGTAGCATTCATCACATTAATACAAATAAGTTTCTTCTGAAAAATGCTTTTTTTAATACATCTGGCAGAATTCTCAGCAATATTCTATTGCAAAGTCTTCATTCTGAGCGTAGAATCTTCAAGTAAATTAATTAATCAGTAATATATCATCTGAAACAATATTTTTCTATCAAAAAATACTCTCTGACAATCTGTTATGCTTTTTCTTGTCAGCGATAGGTTAAATCCTATTGAAAAAAAGGGACTGAGTGTAAACTGCAATTCAGAGATGTAATCGGATAATTAAAATAAAATAGAGTAAATAAGAGAAATTTTGATGGGTAGAAAATTGGATAGCCTAGTTATTTAAGCAGACCGTTATTGTTTGCACTGATTTATTCATAATATTGATGCTCTACAACCTTTTATTTACACGGTTTACCGGAAACTATAAATTAATCGTTGTATATGTAACGGGATATTATGAAATATCTTTAATTTTTAGTGTAAATGCAGTTCACACTTATTTCCTCTCACTTTAACCACTTACCTAACTACTATTCATTCATTAGTTAAACTACTATGGAATGGGAATTAATTTCAGCATTTCTACACTCAATTATGACGAAAGTTTCCCGCAAGCGATGTAACTTGCACTATACGGTCGATTAGAAGCGAACAGGTGGTTAGCAGTCCATGACGTGTTGTCATGGGATGGAGAATAGTTGTAATTAGTTGCACCACTACCCGCTAATGATAATCCAAATCACTGACTTGAGGTGTTATAAAATATGGCTGAAAATCGTAATCTGAGAGTAGTATGTGGTGATACGTCCCCTGAATAAGTATGCTTGCCAGCTTGCATAGTGCTGTTCCCCAGCTACTCCATTTCTCCTCTATTTCTTGTGTCTTATTGTTTGTTGTGTGGCACACCTCGTGTTGCCCATATTGTAGCAAGTTGCTGTTGGAGTAATAATAATAAGAATAAGGATGGATTTCCCGCTGATGACATTGGTTGGTGATCGCGCCAAAGTCACGAACTGGTAGAAGTTAGAATTCATGGACCATTGGATCGGGTTCCAGTAGCTGAATGGTATACGAGCCAGCTTGCCTTGTAACCAGAAGGTCCTGGGTTCGAACCCCACTGAGTGCATACTGCTGATGACTCCCACACTAGGATGAAACAACTGTCCAGTACTTTCTGTGGCTGGATTTTAATGGTTTTCCAACTGATATCAATCCGTGGTCAAACTCGGAAAACAAATCTAATCCTAACAAACCAACTCTTGAAATTAATAATAATGCGAAGTCAGTTGTTGATATATATCGACATAATATGTATGTCTGTTTGACAGTCTGTTATATTTTGCTATGTATATATGGATCGATATTCCATTATAATTAACAATCATGTTAAAACTGTCTATTGATTCGTTCATTTTGAACATTCGCTCATACACCTGTGTTCACACACTTGTTCGGACATTCATACCATTTCACTCACACACTTGTGTGACATTGATTTTTCTTTGTGTTCGAAATATACAAGTATCATCGCAAACCTAGTGGTCTTCTGATTTCCGCCTTCTTGCGTCAGGACTATTAATTATTCGACCAGTACATAACAATAATTTGGCGACGGGCAAAACTCTAATAACTCACTCAGCAGCAGTACATAACAGTTGTGTAGCATCTGTATGTGTATGTTATCTACAAAGCTCATCCGAAGAATTTTTAGATTGTCAAACAGTGCGACAGTAAGATAAATCCCTTTTAAGCTGTATCCATAAGAATTCAATAGGGTCGCTTACACATGTGTGATGTAATTAGCTCTTGCAATCATCTTATGAGTTACTGTTTATAGGTTAATTTAAATGAAGCTGTAAATATACAATGCCCCTTTTCACAATCTGCAAAGCTGTAGACTCCAGTCATATTCTATGTTCATTTTAAATGCGAGCATCCAGAGTATTAACTTATACTCATCTCTACAATAGAGTCGGCGGCATAGCTGTTAGGACGCTTGCCGACCATGCACGTGGTCCGGGGTTCGATCCCTGGCCGGCGAACCCCTTTATCACACTCAGCCAGAAGTAAAGCTGGTGAAGAGGAAAGGTTGGGCATGAGGCTAGCAGCCCCATCCTGTAAAAATAATCACCACTGCTACAGAAACTCCAAGCCTCTAGCTTGAAGCCCTATGTCGCACTGGGAACGTGAAGGAAAAAAAATCTCTACAATAGACGTAACGGTAGTGAAAGTAATAGTTAGGCGATAACCATCACTAAAGCTCAGCATTTTGTTTGATGTTAACAAAAAGTCGATATTACTATTACATGGAGTTAGTTGAATTTTGTTTAGTGTTTTTAACAAAAACGTCTAGAAACCACAAGAATTAACCGTCTTTGATTTTGCAGAAAGTACTTTGATTAAATAATTATTTGCTTCTTTTGTTTTTTTCTTCTATGGTTTTTATAGGAAATTCTTTGTGAAATGAATGATGAATTACAAGAGAATAGCCGTGAAACAGAACTTGAACTACGTGAAGAAATTGAACGAGCCAATAGTCAAATTAATCAACTTGTACGTCATCTGGATGCAACACGTGAAACAATTTCAGACTATGAACAAACTCTTGGTAAATTTAGAGATTTAGTCTCTGATTTACAAACACAAAATACTGAACTACGTAGATCGTTAGCGGATGGAAAACGCTTGCAAGAAGAACAACAACAGCAACAAAATGCCTATCCTACAGTTCAAACAGATCTTGTCGGTGCTACAACTGCATTTATGGGGGGTAAATTCGGATTAGGCTCTCAAGTACAAACTCTTGCTAAAGTGAGTAGTTCATTGCATTATTTTTTATTGATATCAATTTGAGATCAAAACGCAAACCAATAAAATCGCTAGAAATCAACACTTAAAAAAAGTAATGTGATGCTCACTAGTGACTGACTACAGATTGCAGTTGCCTAGATTTCTCAGATGATTTATGTTTGATGTCACACAAAATCGAAGACTTACAAGCGAAAACCGACAAACTGGTCGAAGAAGCAGCCAGTGAAGACAGGACTCCAGGTGAACATAGACAAGACGGAGGTTATGAAAATAACAAACCAACAACAACAGCAACAACATCCAGCGCCAATCATCATCAACGGGAGGGATTTGAAAGAGGTTACTTCATTCACTCACTTATCTAGGGAGCATTCTCTCAACTACAGGAAGTCGGAATGGACGAGGATGTCGAATCGAGCGAGAATCGGGAAGGTGAGAAACTCATTCATCAACCTGAAACCAATCTGGAAATCTTCGTCACTCAGCCACCATCAACAACAAAATTCTGTCGGATTTTCAATACAAACGTCAAGTCAGTCAGTTCTTCTATACGAATGGATCAGAAACTTGACGGGAGCTTCACAAAGAATATTTCCAACAGCCTGTTGCAGACCTTTATCAACCAACAACTGTCTTCGCTGGCTCTATACTGGAGATCAGATGGCCGGGTCGGAAAGAATCACCAACAAGAAACTATGTCAGGGAACAAACAAAACAAGAACCAATCGCCAACCAACAAATATGCAGGAGAAAGTGGAGATGGATTGGACACTCACTCGTTGAGGAGGCCACTGGGTAACATCGCGCGCGCGTCAGGCCATTGCTCGAGTGGAACCAGGCCGAAAGGGAAGCGGCGAGTGGGACGTCAGTGCAAGAGTGACATGGAGGAGATGGTGTGAAGAGGAGTTGAAAGAGTATGGGCTAACATGGATGGAGGTGAAAAGTACAGCAGAAGAAGGAGGAAGCAAGTGGAGAAGTGAAGTTGAAGCCCTATGTTCCACTAGGAACCCAAGGGAACTATTATATATATATATATCTTTATATATATAAGGTTCTATTGGAAAGTCGTCACCAGCCGAGTCCGCCAATTTGGACTTGAGGACAAATATTCACCGCTGATATTGGTTGGTGGTGACTTTGTACATCGCAAAATTGGCAGAAGTTAGAATTGTGAATAGTCATTGGATTCCATCCGAGTGGCTGAATGGTTATCGAGCCTGCCTTTTTTACCTGGAAGTCTAGGATTCAATCTTGCGTGAGGTTATAGGTTCGTACTGCCAAAGAGCTGCTAAATACTCCCTGGATTTCAGTGACTCTCCAAATGATATTAATCCGTGATCGCACTTGAAACGAATCAAATGACCACAAGGTAACACTTGAGTATTATTCTCACTGCTAATTTTATTGACTTTACGCAATATTTGACACAACGATTCATAGATACAAATTAAGCAATCCTAAAAGACCACTGTACTACACACAAATCAGAGTAATAATTAAAAGTAAACAAAATGAATAGGATTATATAATGAAGGAAGTTTTCAATTCGACAAAATAATTTTAAAACTTCATACTGGTTTATGTATACTAGAAGAAACAAAACTTTTTATAATAATATCAAATTAGGGATTGAAATAGGCTCAATGGAAAAATTTCTAGGGTTAGTTTGCAAGGATTTGATTGATTTGAAATTGAATCACGAACCGACTTCAATTGGGGAACTATTGAAAACCAAGTAGTATAAAAAAACTCTCTCTTCCTAGTTTTGGGACTTTCCTATAGTAGGTACCCATCACACCACCAGAGGTCGAACCCAGGACTCTCCAGTTTGCGAGAAGAAGACGTTGATCGTTCAGTCACTGGTACGGAATCCAACGGGCTGGCCATCAATTCTAACTTCTACCAGTTTTGCGATTTATAGCTCCACTGGCAGCCACCAACACCATCTGTGAGTATTTGTCTTCACGGTCATATTGGTGTGCCCCACTTATAACTACCTCTCACTTCGTTCGACGCCTGGTGAGGTCATGAGTGCATGTTGATGAAGAGTCCTAAATGAGGACGAAACAACTCTTCAATACTCCTTGGTTTTTTAACTGAAGTAAATTCGTGATCAAATTAGTAGGAGAAGTAGATGTGTATTAGTAACACAAATAAGAATTCGCAACGGTGTAAAACAGAAAAGAGATTCTCGTAGGTTTGGTTTTGTTCCCACTTGAGTTTTATGCAAAATGCTTTCGATGTCAGTCGATGTAAGACCTTCACAGTAAACTTTGAGAAACTGGAGGCACATCCACTATTATCAGAAAAGCAGAAGAAGTAAAAACTAGGGTAATCACCTGTGTACGAGATAATTTGTGCTATGGTCATTAGCCATAAATCTCTTGACGTGTTGTTGATTACACAAATTTTGTACTTATCACATATATTCTTCATTTTAACTTCATTTACTACTAAAATCTTATCTACATGGCAAGTCAATAATCTTTTTTATGATAAATGCCTTTAAAACTTAATTTTGACTTCCCGTTCGTCTTAAAAACATACTCCGCCTTCCATATATCACTATGATAAGCTATAACAACTATTGGTACGATACTTTTACCAATTTGAATCAGTTTAACAACTCAATTATCATTTACACTTTTCGTGTTTTAATCTGCAAGCAACAGGTAGTCTTTTAGAAATATATGGTTACCTAAATTTTGGTTGATTTTTCGGATTCTGAATGATAAGTTTTGGTGTCTTAACTAATTTGCTTGAACCGGATACGGCAGCTTCGGTATCATGGATAGACACGGAGAAAGTCATGTAGAAAGGAAATGAAAACTCCTGGACAGTAGTGAAGCTATTTTTGAATGGCCACTAGTCAGTAGCTAGTGTAATGTTTCTAGTCCTATCTTTGGTTCAGACTCAACTCTATCAGTCAAGTTTGCAATGTGGCCAACAACTACCACGAAACCTAGGTTCAAGGTTTTCTGCCAATGGCCTCCAGGCATTTAACGCCAACAATTCACAGTGCACCCTGATGGCGAGCCACCTAGCATCGTGGCCACATCGCAAACTCGACTGACATAATTCATTCTGCACGAAACCAAGGACTAGATATATTACACTAGCTACTGACTAGTATCGAATCAAAAATATCAGATACAGTCCTACAGGAGGTCAGTCGCGAGCCTGAATAGCTCATAGTTACGTCTCTGACTGCAGAACTGAGTGACGCGGGTTCGAATCTCAGAAGGGATATGAATTGCGGATATGCCTTGCTGACGAGTGCCAAGAATAACGAAACGTAGGTCCAAGGCTTCCTGTCGATTGCCTGCGACCATCTAGTAGTGAAGTGAACTGAGAGTGAGACCTCAGAGAATAGTTTGCAAAGGAGAATTGCTGTCGAACCCTTATGTTTCACTCAAAACGCAAGGAATAAATAATACTACTAATATTAGCATTTTGAGAAGTTGCAGCTCATTGGTCTTTGTGCTCGACTTTCAACGCGTGGGTCACACGCTCGAACTCCAATCTAAGCACCGAAGTTTGCACAGGCTGAGACACTATGACCAACCCTCACACAACATGTGTAGATCATCACCAACTATATGAAATTGCAAGTGACTGTTGAGTTGGTTAGTATTTCAATTTCTAACTGATATTTATATTTTAATTTAAATGATTCATGACGAACTCTTCTGTATTCTACTTACTATTTGAATTTATTACATCATGTTTTATTTTACTGTCTTATTCTACGTTGAACAAAAGGTGATTGAAGCTGAATTAAGACGCCTTGAAGCCGAACAAACTGCAAATCATGTGACTCGGTTATCTGCTTTCTTACCTGACTCATTTCTGCGACGTGGTGGTGATAATGAGGCATTACTTTCACTTTTATTAATCGATCGTTTAGCTGGAAAATGCGATCTGCTGGCTAATCATGTAAGTTTAATCTTATTCTCTCAAATTGTGATACTTTACTGTGTATAATAAATTATATGTTGTAATATAGTCTCTCAAAGTAGTGTATGTGTTCACAAATTGTACTACGAACGATTTTGAGCCATATCACTAAAAGTCTCAAGCAATAGTTTTCAGTATCTCGGGGATCCCAGCTGAGTAGTCCATGTGACTACCCCTAACTCTTCCAACCTATTCTTATGTCTGTTAACATAACTCAACCAGGGAGGTAGTGACTTGTTTATTTATTTATTTATTTAAACGCATAAAAACTTGGTACAATTCGGCACCAAGAAGGATGCGCCACACAATAATAGTAAAACAACATAGATCAAAAGAAAAAAAGAAAGAAGAGAAAAATATACATATATATATAAGTAGAAAACGGATAAAGAACTTCATCTGGAAGGAAAACAGTCATGCTTAACAAGTTCAAACAGTATTCGTTAACTATCATGGGGAAGGGAAGAAAGAAGGAAATTGCAACACGTGTAATAGCACGCGATAAGTTTCATTGATTGTTTGTTGCTTCATTCAATTGATTGTGTGAGGGCTGAGATACTGTGCGGGCGCCCAAACCGAAGCAGGTGGTTTTATTAAGGGACCACCCCCCGAACCTTTGACTTGGAGTCTAATCCTCAAGGCAGCGGAGCAGCGTCAGGAGCTGCATTCCCATGGATCCCGGTGGCCCATATGGGTTCATACTCCATTTGATCCGATTGGATACTGGAGCCCATGTATCACTTGACACAAGAGATGGGATGCATACACCTATGGTCAGTGACAACTAACCTCTTCATATCTATCACTTTCAGCAACATAAACAAAACGAACTGCTGCGCGGTACATATGTTCTTTAATCGATATCCCACCCATTACTATAATGAAAGTAAACGAAAATGGGGACGATGAGCATACTCGATGGACACTTTTGGTGGTCATCACTTCACATGATAACTCTCTATAGGGTCTAACACGACCGTGTGAGTTCGAGTAGATTGTCTTGATTAGTGTAATATACTTTGTCGGCACTGTGTTCACTACAAAACTTTGGTCCAGTACCTCTTGGTTGACGGAATCGAATACTGCCTTCAGATTAACAAATGTAAGAATTGTTGGACACCAGTAAGTATGCCTATATTTCAGAATCTGTCGAAGGGTAAAAATATCATCCATACACTCTCGTCTGGGCCTAAGGCCTGACTTGTTTTCACTGGTTTGTTGCTACCAAGTACCGCTTACTTGACGCATGATTATTAGTACTATGCTAGTCAAGCTAAACCCTATGATTGTTCTCACAGACAGACGTGCTTCCCTCCTTATAAACTAGAATAATCAATGATTTACACCAATCCAAGGAAACTATTCCCAGACACTGCATAATATCTCAGTTAACCCAGCTAACAGTTCATCACCACCATTCTGGAAGACTTCTGAAATATTTCATCATGAGCTGACATTGGTTAGAGAACCATTGAAAAACCTGGGAGTCCTGGACAGCAATTTCGTCCTAGTTTAGGACTCTTCAGCAGTATGCATCCACCGGGGTTCGAACTAAGGACCTTCGGGTGTTCACCCACTAGCGACTCGCCCTATTCAGGTATGTAGTTACCTGGTGTTCTAGTGAGAAGTCGTGATCAGCAGGGTGCAGCTGGTCGGGTGTGGGGACAAATACTCGCCGAAGACATTGGCTAGGGGTCGCGCTATGTGGTGAATTGGCAGAAGTTCGAATTCATGCAATGGCCATTGGATCGAGTCCCAGTGGCTTAATGGTCTACGAGCTAGCTCACCTTGTAAACCGGAAGTCCTGGGTTCGAACCCTGGCGGTGGATGCGTGCTGCTGAAGAGTCCCAGACTAGGCTGACGAAACAGCTGCTCAGTACTCCTAGCTGGTTTTCCAATGGTTCTCTAACCAATGTCAGCTCATAATGAAATCCCGTAACCGATCAAATCGCTACAATCCAACACTGGAACTTCTGGAGTAATTCCATAAGATCCCGTTGCTTTTCCTTGTTTTAGGTTAGATATAGCTTTTGAAACCTCAGTTGCAATTAGAGGACTAATGTCTGCAACCCATTCAGACAGGTGTTGGATGCTGGACAAACTAAGTATAACTATAGGCTAGTTAAAATGCTCCTGACAAGCGAAATAAGTGCAAAATCGTTAAAACCAGTCATTGGTAATCAGTATATTGTTTGGAATTTATTAAGGGTGGATAATTATAAATAATGAGATACGAATTGTGATGGAATATTTGGGAGAATGAACTATCGTCTAAATAAGCGTTTAAATGGCAAACATTTTGCATTACGTCACAATTACATCGCTTGAGTGAAGTAAAAGCATGTTTTTCAACACTAAAGGGCTAAGATAGTAGAAGGAAGCTGAGTTTTAACCAGTTTTTTCTGTGTACACAGCTCTAGCTCCTGTAATTTGACATTTAAGGTTTCAGGAGTGAACAGACAGTGAAGATACGCTCGTGAGTTATTTAACATTTCTTAGGTGTAATTTCGGGGGGAAAAGTTCTCGCGATTGAGTGATCAGTGTTGACCTGATGTTCAGCTATCGCAGATCTTACTGATTTCTACGTCTTCCTTAACCATCAGTCGATCTTAGCATCTTTGTATTCGTTAGATAGTTGGAAGTAATCGTCAGGAAGCCATTACAAGCATTCTATGCAACGGGTATTTCAGCTATTACTTTTGTTTTTAGGTTAATTCAGCAATTCCCGTTGATTGATTATGTTGAACTGAAATGCTTGGTCACTCTGTTGCCATGTCGACCGCTAGTATGGATGCTCCGACGTATGTCTTACTAATAACGTGAAGCTATTTCGGTTGATGGTGACTAGCAATGGAATCCAAGATGTGCATTTCATCGTGGTTGGGACTCGGCAGCTGCATGTACACAGCACTTCGATCTAATATAATCAATCAATGATAAATGCAAATTAACCTAAGAGTAAATATATATATTCAAAATCGTTATATATTTATAGCATTTAATCTCACACTAAATAAATGATTTACTTTCAGCTTGTTGAACGTTATCCATTGCCTCCTTGTGTTCCGGGTCAAGCACCACTACAGATGCCTCAAGGTGAAACCAGTACTAATACTACTGATAATCCAACTGAAATTGTCAGCGGAATTTGTATTCCTGGTACTGATAATCCACTGCCACCACTGACTAAAACAAAATCAGAATTCTATAGTTTTATAACGAGACTCATTCATCTACTCCGGTCAATGGCTGCTTTGTTAGGCCAGTGTAAACAGTAAGTGTTTTTTTTTATGTATTTAGTCGAATTGATAATATTCTAGTGGTAGTTTGTAGTTAAGATGAGAGGGTTGATTGATTTCAAATTAGATTAGACCATAAAGTGACTTCAGAGAGAGAGAGAGAGCGATTGAAAATCTGAGAGTAAGGGAGTTTATTTCGTCTTAGTTTGTGACTCCTCAGCAGTAGGCATGATCCGACCTGGCATTCAACCTAGGACCTTCAAGGTATGAGACGATCAGATTCTTGAACATTGTGGAGTTCAGCAAACTAGTAGCCATACAGTCACGCCACCTGTTAAGTGATTCACAACGGAAATCTCAGTGAAGTCTTTGAAGTTAAGACAGGAATAAGACAAGGCTGTCTACTATTACTAGTCGGCTGGGTCATGCGGCAGACTGTGAGGATTAGAAAAACAGGCATACACACTGGACTAACAAAAGGACCCTGGAAGATTTAGACGTCGTGGATGATTTCTGTCTCGTGTCTCACAAATTGGACCATTTACAAGGAAACACCAACAAGCTTAAAACAAGCAATAAAGGTTAATAAAGCAGGATTTAATGAATTCATCAAATTTCGGTAGAACTCGTCAGCTGAATACTCTACATATACGGATATATATATATACTTTTGAGATTACATTGGCAGATATAAGACTGATAAGTAAACAAACTACATTGAATTAGTCATGCAGAAAGACAGGTGCAAATGTTTTCCAGGTCATGTTCAAAAAGATAAGGGGAGAGAGAGTATCGTAGATCGAAATTAAGATAAATTGCATTACGCTTCAATTACATCACTTAGATAAACAATTAGACAATAGAAAATATAACACGAATTGCAAACAAGGTAATATCAATAGTAATGGTTATAAAAACAATAATAATAGTGTTGAAGTGAGTTAAGATAATCCTACTGATAAAGGATAGTTTTAAATGAATCAATAATAATAATGATAGTAATAAGAGGTAGAATAATAAGTAAAACGTATCACCATGGTAGATTCAGAGTCACGACCATTTCCTTTTGTACACAGAGACCTGGTTTATAAACTCGAATTGCACAAGCCTCTGCAATTGCAAGCATCTTCATTTTTCTTTGTCTGCTGACAATGGTGAATGACTTGACCGCGTCGATATCATTTCCGCAATCTACAAGATGTTTTGTTATTGAGGATTTTGGCACTTTTCATTCAGCTGTTTCCAACCATTTTGGCAAATGCTCCATCATGCGAGTAGACAATCGTCTTTCCGTACGACCTATGTATTTACTTCCACAAACACACTCAAACACACACCAACAAGTTTGCAGAATTCGCAACAAAGACGGAATTTCAAGTGAATAGAGTAAACAACAATCATCAGTTACCATCAAAGGGAGAAACCTAAAGGAAGTCTTTTCCTTCACTTAATTAGACATCATCGTCTCAACTACAGGCGACACAGATGGGTATGTCAAAGCCAGTCAGAGTCCGAAAATCACGACAGTCGTTCATTAATCTGAAATCAATGTGGAAATCTACCGCACTCAGTACAAAATACCCAATTTTCAGCCAGTCTGTCTGTCTGGATTCAACATAGAACCTGGCACCGAAGTGCAGCAGTTCGAGTTGCCACGTTCCAAGTAGCACACAAAGGTAGACAAGAAGATGAGTGAAGAGAATCAATAGAGTTTCACAAGTATAAAAGTGAAACAGAATAGGTAATGGTAGAAAGGAATATGAAAGATTACAGAGACTGAATACATCTGCGCTGGCCATTGACAACGATTTTGAGCCATGTCACCTATTGTCTCCAGCCATTGATTCCTAGAGTCCCGAGGGCCCCAACCGGGAAGTCTCCATCTAGCTACCTGACTCAGTTTAACTGTCAAGGATTTCATGGATTGATGAGGCCATGTTTTTGTTTGGCCACCACTTACTCCTTTCCAACCTGCACCACCTATATCAGCTAGTAATGCCCATCAGGGGAGGCGATGGTTAGGCATGTGCACATAACGTAAAATATTCCCCCATAGGCTGCAGACTTTCGTCAATAAGTGTCTTCTCTAGCTCCATACTGAAGACCAAACGACCAGTCTGCAAAGATAAGGGACATGGAAGTCTCGCAACGAACAAACCAATAACTTGTTGCCCATCAAATATGCAGAAAGAAAAATGGAGCCGGATCGCGCATACATTTATAAAATTGTTAGGTGATGTACTACTGCAGTCCTGTATTGTTCCACACAGAATCCCAGGGGTGAACAGTATAGTCACAAATTTTGTTACACTGTGAACATGCAGTAGGTTCAGAATTCGAATATCCAGGATTATCAGGTTTCTATTAACCTTTATTTATTCGATGTAATACTTCACAATGAAAATTTTTTAATTAGTGTTAAGATATTATGAGCAACGTGAATATAAGATGTAATCACGGGTGTCGTACTTTTTATCGTTTTTCCAAATGATAAACACTTTAAAAAAACAACTCTACAATTTTAACATTCAGTATGCATGTCTACTGCGTGAAATTGCCCCTGTTCAAGTCTTAAAAAGCGCGTCGGTGGCACAGTGGTAGAATGCTTGCCAACCATGAAGGTGGTTCGGGGTTCAATCCCCAGCCGACTCACTCCTTTGCCTCCCTAAACCAGTAATAAGACTGTGAAAGAGGTAAAGTTGGGCATAGGGTTAGCGATTCCATCCCGTAAAAATAGTCACCACTACTACCGAAACTTCAAGTCTCTAGCTTGAAGCCACTGGGAACGTGAATGAATAAATAAAAATCTTAAAAATACAAAATTGAATCCGTTATTTGCAATTTGTGAAGTTTGAGTTGCAGTTCCTCTTGGAAACCAAAATTATTCAGATTGTGGTGTGATATGCTTGTTAACATAAGCGGCCATCAAGAAAAGAAGCATAAATGCATGGTACTGTATACTACTAATTAGTTGATATGAGTAGTTGTATGTAACTCACATCAACCATTAGTGCTTTTTAGCCAGACTGAAATGATCTAAACACCAGGCTACCATTTCGCTCCTTCGAGTTCGAGCTCAGTGACAGTGGTATACAACTACAGGAGATTTTCAAAAACAAGTCGTCTTCAGTATCGTCCGGTACATCTGACACCACCCAATCGTCATGTAGCTGGGTCCACAAATTCAGGACCAGTGTACACCATCTCACGAACCTCATATGGGGGTTGCAAGCGATGTCAACCAGGACAGAAATGTTGGTCATCCAGCTCTACCAAGAAATAATACCTTGCCTCCTCGCTTGATTTCTGTTCCATTTTATGAATCAAGGCCTCAGAGTTCACTTCTATCGCTCATATTTCTTTCAGCTATTAAATACCCTCTGTTGGTGATTTTCCCAACGATACCTGTGGTAAAAACAGTTTCTGAAGCTCCTGACCCTGTTTACGAATACTGTGCTATTAGCCAACTGTCCATTATGTCAATGGATACGTCAGATACATCGAAATCAAAGTCAGCTGTTTCTTCAGAGCTGAACTGTTTAGTTCTTCAAGTCTATAAACCTTCCCCATTTAGTACCAATAAATGCAGCTCCGACTTTGAACAGCTCAACTCTCCAGTTCCAGGTTTCTTTCATCTTCGAATAATAATCCTACAGCTCTCATCTATCATCAGACACTGTTTCAAGTCGAATTCTATTTCACTGCAGATAATCTTTTAGGAGATTATAAATCTTCATCACCAGATAGATTCTGATACCTGGGTGAATGTTAATCTGATTGTTAAATTTGATAAGAAATGGTAGATTCACTGTCTTGCTGATTGTTGAAGTGCTTAATGCTCGAGTCTATCGTAAAAATAGACCACCAATACTGCTAGGCTGAGGGAAAATGTGCTGTATTGAAGGTAGCTCCCATCTAGTTTCCCAGTTTGTATAGTAAGTGGAGTGGAATGAGAACCTGCGACACACAGAATGCGAAAACTTAAGTGAAGAAGTCAATAAACCACATCTTTACATTTCTGTTAACTTTCGATTGTTTTGAACTGCAGTAACCTGAATTGATTCAGTCCTTGCACAAAATTCTGATTATCATTAGTTTATTTATGAGTTCTACATATACTTCATTGCGTTATTGATTAAGGGGGTCCAAGTTCAACTCCTGCCCGGCGCATTCCTATCCCTTGCCCAGTTGACTAGTCGATAGTAAGCTCGGCAAATAGGGAAGATTGAGTCTGAGGCTAACAATTTTTCATCGTTGAAAAACGCGAACGGTACTGAAACTTCAAAGCTTAATTCCTGAAGCCTAATGTCCTACTCGCGATACAAAGATCGAAAATAAAAGGATCCTTTACTGTTTTATGCTCCAACTGCCGGATAGCAAACTATGTGCGCACCTTCATCATTCATAATTGTCTGTTAGATTTATTATCTATTGGTATCACACTTTTAATTAAACATTACTACAGTATCGTTTTGCTTATTCTTTCTTAATTAATAGGGTCCTTTCAGGTTGTAGTGTTGAACTATATTTGAAATTCGGTTCTTTATACAATGAAATGATTACACATGAACATTGTATTGATCGATTAATTGAACAGACAAAGAATGATCAGTTAGATGAGACAATTTCATTGGAACCATTATTTTTATCATACAATTACTTTATTCAATTATATACAGTCCATTTGAAAACAGAACCATTATTTAATTGTAACAATAAACTGTTAGATTTCACGCGAACAATTCTATCCGCTGTTGATGCCTTATCTGTTGATTCAACTGCCTTAATGATATTGACTGGGCAGAATGTTAATTGTTTATCACAAGTGGCTAAAACAGCTGCCACTTGTGTATCTGGACCATTGAGTATGGGTAATATGGATAATGTTGAATCATTACTGTTAAGCACTCCCACGGAAGGCGGTTTAATTGGCCTCCTCAGCGAATTAATTCATTTCTCTACAACTGTACGTGTTGTTACGCGTCGAATAAAACGAAGAATCCCAAATAAGCCTACAAGTCAACCGTTATCATTTAACCAAGATGTTTCACAGAAATTAGATTCCGCTATACATCTGTTAGGATCAGTTGTTGGCGCTATGTATCAAACAACTCGTTTAGCTGGTCAGTTAACTGTTCGACAAGTTGTAAGTTTTTTCTAAATAATTTGTGAACATGTACTTTTTCATAATAATAATATTGATATTAAATATCATTTGGGTTATTTTTTTAAAGTTAAACGTATCATATCTTATAAACCATTTAGTTATTCACAATACACGAAAGCACTTATTTAGATTTTGAACTGAAATGCATAATTGGGATGTTAAGCACCACCGATGGCTGAAGACTGGTGATATAGCTCGAAACTGGTATCATTAACACCATTTGCATTCCCTCTTTTGATATCTCTCATATCCATTAAACTCTCTTGTTTTTCCATTTTTACTTTTCTGTCTCTCTGATGTGTGTTTCTACTCATTAGAATTCCTTTGAATCCCTTCTTTGTCTCTTTTCTCTACTCTTGTATGCTACATAGAGTGTGGCAGCCTAAATTAGTGCACTTCTGTGCAAAGTTCTATGCTAAAATTCAGTCAGCTGTCAGAAACCCCCAATATTCACATTTCATAAATCCAAATTTGCGGTGAGAGCTGGCTGCGAACAAGCCAAAAGTGTAAGCAACAATTTACGTCAGTGTTACGTCCGGAATCAGGGTCATGAGAAAAACGATTTTTCCCCTTCACGTTCCCCAGTAGAACATAGGGCCTCAAGCTAGTGGCTTGAAGTTTCTGTAGCAGTGTTTAATTTTACAGGATGGGGTTGCTAGCCTCATGCCCCCACCTTTCCACTTTACTAGCATTATTTCGGGCTTAGGGAGGTAAAAGAGTTCGTCGACCGGGGATCGAACCCCGGACCATGTTCATGGTCGGCGAGCGTCCTGACCGCAATGCCATCGACGCTTATGAGAAAAACGATGACAAAGCTTAACCTTGAGGAAATCAACAACCAATCACAGCTGACTTAGTGTGTGCAAATACGATTCGCACATACGTGGCTTAATTCTCTGAGAAACGGCCAGAAGCAATAGAGAATAACCTTCAACAAGAAAACAACCAATCAGAAGACGTTGATTCTTTGCTAACAATAACGCTAATAATGGTGTCCATATAAATCTATAAATGCCTCTTGATTTTCTCAATAAACAATCTGTTTCCTGGCTCTCGTCTTCTGTTGTTACAAATTCAGTAATTTATCGTTATTGTATGCGAACGTCGTTATTTTCCTCTTTACATATTTTCGAACTCATATGACTTATATACATCCATCGACTGTAGTGTTGAGTTCGTACAGGTGCATTTCTGAACTTTAATTTCTTTGAAATATAAGATACAATCAAGGAAAGGAGACTGTCTCTAGCTGAATTATTGTCATCTCTCGGCAGATCGCTGGTCAGAATCGTGTAACTTGTTTCATTTTATTCAAGCAGACTTGGTACATTTTTTGCACCAATAAATGTGCCACAGAAAATCTTCATAGTCTGTACGACACCTGGGATACTGCCTGTTCGCCCAGACCGAAGCAGGTAGTCGTTTTAAGGGGCCACCCCTCCCGAGCCTATTAGTTGAGGTTTTATCCACATGGTTACCAGGTGACCGAAGCACGTTCATACTCCATTTTTATCCTTTCAAGTTCTGGGGCCCATTTACACACTGTAGATCTTGAATCACGGTAATCCAGCCTTTCTAGGTAGACCAGCAGGTTCACCAGTCCGGTTGTAGGCGCCAGACGTTCAGATTCACTGTTAGATGTTTTTAGGATCAGGTAGTTTGAAGTGGTTACACTTTGAGTTGCCTCCTTTTCAAAATCGGTCTTTATTTTACTTTATGTGTCACCTTAAGTTAACCAGTCAACTTTTTGGTCTGATTTTAATTTAATTCTAGGAAGATACAGCCAATTTAGACCCCGGTGTTGTTTTCGCTCAATGTTTATCAGAAGCTTGTAAAGAATATTTAACACCAGATGCATCCAATACTCGTTCCAGTACCATTGCACCAGATATACCAGTTCGTAATAATCTAACTCAAGTTGCTCGTATTATCAGTCAAATCGCGTTAGCAATGGAGAATGGAGAATATGACTTTGATGGAACAAAACCAACAGCTGTAAGTTCGCTGGATGTTTTCTCTTTTATTGGTAGTAAAGAAAAGCTGAGTGGATTATGCAGTCTCCTAGTCTTAACTGCTTATCAAAGTCTACTTATCAGATTTGTGACACGTCCATTGACTAAACACTGTATAAAACTTGAGTTGATATCAGATCTAGACAGTCGATCTGCGTAGTGCTCTCCGAGCTGAGTAGAACTGGGTAGACAGCTGATGAGTTTGGCCCGAAACGACTCCCAGTGTTTAGACCTCCTTGATTTGGCCAGTAAGCGCTACTGGTTGGTATGTAATATGTTGTTTACAGGGGTCAGGGGATAATGCAAGAAGCAAATAGTCTTAACTGATTGCAATTCACAGATTTAATGAATTATGCAATTTACACAAAGTAATCTCAGAAAACCACCTGTATACCCGACAAATAGATACATATTTGTAGAGGAAGAAGCAAAGCAATAGATGGAAAATGGTAACTGCATATAGTGCATTGCACAACTGTTAAAATCGACCAGCTTATGTGGGCTCGAAGATCAAAATGTGTTAACCTTTAAAAGTACAAAACTCAGTATTTTCAGTCGGTTGAATATTTTGGAATAAATTTTAGTCAAATTTAATCGTCAAAGCGTCATTAAATTAACGACTGTGTATTTTATAATACATAATCTCGTTTTAAACATTTTCATGCCTATAACTCTCTAAACAGGGATAAATTGAAGCCCTTCTGTATTGATCACATGCGTCGGTGGCACAGCGGTTAGGAAGCTCGCCGACCATGAACATGGTCCGGTGTTCGATCCCCGGCCAACGAACTCCTTTACCTCCCTAAGCCAGGAATAATGCTGGTAAAGTGGAAAGGTGGGGGCATGAGGCTAGCAACCCCATCCTGTAAAATTAAACACTGCTACAGAAACTTCAAGCCACTAGCTTGAAGCCCTATGTTCTACTGGGGAACGTGAAGGAAAGAAACAATATGTAATAGGCACAGTGTAAATGACCTTTAATAAGTTGATTAACTTCTTAAGAATGTGACTAATAGTTATTTTTGATGGTGACTAGCATTAGAATCCACGATGTGCATTTTGGTTTCATTTAAGACTTGCCGGCTGGAAGTACCTGCATCCCTACTGAGTAGTGGTGACGGTACTCAGACTCAGACTCGAACCCTGTACCCATCGTCCCTAACTCTACAGCATTATCCACTGGGCCACGACAGCCATCCCTTGTGCAACGAGTATTAGTTATTATTTTTGTTTTTAGGTTAATTTTGCATATCCCGTTTATTGTTTATGTTGCACTAAAGGGTGTGGTCTTTGTTCACGTATCGCCTCTTAGAACGAATGCTTCGACAATGTCTAGAGTTTAACGCTGATCCTAAAATATGAATTCATTTCGTTCTTTCACGATGTATTCTTTTGCATATATACTTTTGATGATATATGTACTAATTTTCATTTTCTGATGTTATGTGTGTGTGTGTTTATAGCCTCAAGAACCAGTCTCCGCTCGTGCTGTTGCCTACAAACGTGCTCAAGCTGAACTAGAAGGATGTCGTTCTAAGTTAGAATCTAAAGCTGAAGAAGTACGAGAATTACAAAAAGCACTGAAAGCACGTGCTGAAGAACTCAGTGAAATGTCTGTACGTGTTGGTTTAGCAGAGAAGAAATTAGAAACATCTGGTAAAGGTAATGAAGAGAAAATAGCTCGTTTAGAACAACGCTTAGAACAAACAGAAGCTCAATTAAAACGAAGTGAAAAGTAGGCCCTGTTTGCTTATTTTCGGTGTAATTAGATTTTTATTTCTGATTTATGTAATTGATAAGAGACTTCGCTATCCGATAAGAATTTTGACGAACTGTTACCAATCTTATCTTTGGTTCCAGTGTCAAACAGATTGCCACAAATGGAGACAGGAAGTTCTGAATACAAGAGCGCTGATCTTCAATGAATAAAAGCGGACATGTGAAGAGAGAGTGGACAATCTGTTTGATGTTTACGTTGATGATACACAGTACATGTATTTGTGCTAGTTCGATAAACTTTTCACGATGTCACTGAGTATCTCCTAATTTATATTCTTAGGTTCCAGGTGTTGTTTTAATATAAGGATTTGATTGACCAGAGACTTGATCACGAGCTGATATTGTAACGATAGAAGACAAGGGCTAGGCAACAGATCGTTTATTGAGAAATTCAACAGATATTTATATATTTTTATGTACATTATTATTCGCAGAGAAACAGCGTCTTCTGATTGGTTGTTTTCTCACTGGTAGTTATTCTGTCATCTCTTTGTGGCCCGCTTCTTTGAAGGTCAGGCCATACATCTGCTAATCGTATCCGCCCACGCAAAGTCTGCTGTTATTGATTGTTGCGTTAGTCTTTGTTCTTGTATTTTTCTCATGACTAAGATATGGGACGTAAACATTGACGTAAATTGCTGTCTACCAATTTTGGCTAGCAGGCAGCTCTCACCACAATATGTCCAGGGAGTACTGGACATATCTTGTCCTAAGTGGGGGACTCTTCATCAGTATTCATCTACCGGAGTTTGAGCTCAGGACGTTCTTCTCACAAGACTGTAATTGAACTAATGAGCCAAAAGCGCTATTTCTTAATGAATAATCTTTTTATGACGTATGTCTTTTCTCGGGAAGAAATTATCAATGTGTTTTAGGTGTGAACCATCATAGCTGTCAATTTTTATCTCTCATTTCTTCTGGCTTTCAGGGAATATGAACAAACCCTTGATGCACTTCAAGCAGATATTGAAGCTTTAGAGCAGGAGAAAGCAGAACTTAAAGAGAAACTGAAGACTTTAAGTAAAAAAGCCTTATTTGAAGGAATCATTAAAACTCCACTGATAACAGGTAAGTTTTGTTTTCAGTTAATGTACATGTATAATGCATATACTCCTCAAGATTCCATATGGTCTAATATTGTAGTTGTATACATTCTTAGATCGTTCAATGGTAGAATGATCGCCAATCGCGCACGTGGTTTGGGTTCCATTCCTGACTGACTCATTCTTAAAATCTCACCTAGATTACTAGCTGAGAGTAAGCCCAGTAAAGAATGAAGGTCAGACATCAGACTGTACTGTATAAGAAACACATTACCTCTACTGAAAATTTAACACTTGAAGCCTTGCATTGTGCGCGATGTCATTCAACGGCCTCCTGAACGTACACCCGATCTATCTCCATTTTCTCCTACATATTTTTTGAGCGATCGGCTTTTGGTTAGTTCGTTGCCCTCTAGACTTTCTTGTTGCTAATGCTTTCTGGCGAGTCACTTTATCTTCAACAAGGAACCAGCGAAGGCACCTGTTGATAAGAGTCTGCAGTAACTGGTTGGAAATCCTTTTCGTGACCCGCAGTGCAAGTTTTCCATTCACACAGAAGAACTGACTGCCTTGACATTTGTTTTGGGAATCCGAATCTTGGTCTTTATGCTGACCGGGTACAGAGGATTTCCAGTCTGGTTTTAGGTTGATGAATGCGTATCTTGCCTTTCCGATCCTAGCTGGCTGGCTTTGACCTCTTCACTGTTCCGACTGCCTGTTGTTGAAACCGTGCTTTCTAGATAGATAAAAGAAATAGCCTCTTTCAAGTTTCTCCCATTGATGTTGACTGATACTGGTTGTTGTTGCTGTTGGTTGGTTGGTTATCTTCATCACCTCCGTCTCCTGTATGTTCACATAGAGTCCTGTCTTTATTGGTTGCTTCTTCTGCCATTTTTTTGGTCTTCACCTGCAAATCTTGCACTCTGTGTAACATCAAACATCAGTCATTCACACACGAAGTCCAGATCTTCTAGAATCTTCTTATCGATAGTCCAACGTATTCCTTTCTTCTCACCCCCATGGCATAGTCTCGCGCATAATACAGTTCACCACAATTAAGAATATCATCGATGATAATAGGCCTTTAAAGCCTCATGATGGCCGGGGGTGGGTGCCTTGCGCTGCGGGTTGGCCACCCCTCCGTACACCTCTTTAAATGCTCCCATATGACTGGGCGTCTTACATAGCCTCTCCTGAGGAAGTCCTACTCACTGCCTTCACGTGGCGGAGGTGTTTTTCACAGAAGTGAGAGGGCAAAAGCGGATGCCCGGCGCTCTTCACCGGGTTGACTGTGCATTGGATAACAGTTTAGGGGAGATGGCTAAACCCTGATTCCAAACCTCCAACGACTGGCGTATGAAAGTCACCGGCAGACGTATGGACAAAGGGCTTATTGGATGCCTTGGATGTCTGGGCCCCATTCAAAAAGGCGTATGAACCGGACTTCGGTCACCGGCTGCCAATGGATAGTGGATTCCCTACTCCACTCCTACTGCCTTGTAGGTCACACTTGGTTGTGTAAAAGCTAGAGCTGCACTTTCAAACAAAAGGCCGAGCGATGCTGGGGACATCACTCGTACTTAATTCCCATGAAACTTCATGAACTCTCTACAACATCAACCAAATTCCAGTACTGGTCCAACAACGTCGCCTTCGGTGGTTTGGCCATGTTCTGCGCCGACCAGATGACGATCTGGTCAAATCAGTTCTAAATCCCTCGCCATTTCCATCTTGGCGATGTCGCAGGGGTGGACAGCTGAAAACATGGCTTGGTACAGTCAAGGCTGATATGGAGTGCCTGGACTGGGGCTACAAACCGCCTACGGACTCCGTCTGTGGAACAAGAATTGGATAACCCTGTCGCAAAACCTTGCATCAGATCACCGCGCCTGGGCAGCGACGATTCGAGATGTTCATGAAGCCGGCTCATCCTCCCGTAGGAGATAGCCGAAGTAAAGTAAAAAATTAAGTAAGATAATAGGCAGTCAGCTCGTCTTACTCCTGTATTCACTTCAAACGCCTCGCTGAGTTTTCTTTTGTGGATCACCTGACATGCGACATTTTCATATAGCAAGCTGTTGGATGGGTTGATAAAGACTTAAGCACTGCACGGCATACTGTTGAAGAAGTTTCCAAATTACTTCTCGGTCAACACTATCGAAGGACTTTACGAGGTCGATGAAGTTAAGATACAGGTTTGACTGCCATTCTATGATGATGTGTAGAGTTGAATTTGATCAGCATATGATTTGCCTTTCCTGAATCCAGCTTCCTTCGGCGGGCGAAGTTCTACATGTAGTACATCTTTTATTCTCCCCAGAATGACACGACTTAGTAGTTTACGCCAGTCCTTGCTGAGGTGTAGGTCACCCTTCATTGGTAGCTTGACAAAGTAGGCTTTCTTCTCGCCGATAGGCACCTTTCCTTCCTTACAAAACTTTTTTTCAATAATGGCGTAACCCAACTACACCACTGATATAATACTTTCGAAAATACTGGACAACAGATAGGCTTCTCATATATATTCACCTTTTTTCTAACTTCTAATATTAATAAATAGTTTATGTGGGAAAGAGTTGTATGCTACAACAAATATGATGAACTAAATAGCACTTGTAAGTCGGTTCATACATCGTAGAGTATTAAAAATTATTTATCAGTATGGATAAAATGGCTTTTAAGCAGACTGTCGATACTGTCCTACTTTTATTAGTAAAAAGTGATGAGAAACAACAATAATACAACATGTAGACAGATTATTTATACCAGTTGACTACCCAAGCCTTGATTAGTAGGTGGACAGCTGTCAAATGTACTAAACAACTGATACATAAGACAGTTTGATTTTCTTACCAGTATGTCAGTTCTCCCTAGTCATTGTTTATCTTCACTTGGAATACGTAGCATTGTAGACACAATGGTGAAAGTCTGTAGTTCAGGTGGATAATTTTGGTGTGGTTTATGTTCTCTGAGCTGGATCATCCAGCTTACCAAAATATGCTTTATGCACTAGATACTCGAAAGGAAGCCGAATAGGAGAATGATGAGTTGCATGTGGAACTGAAGGTGCCATGGTGGAGATCTTGTGAAAGCTTATCGCCAATTGTGAGACCACCTAAAAAACTGCAGAGAAGAGGGTGAAATGGAAGTGTGTTGTTGAAACCGTATGGTCTGGTCGGAACTCGTGGGAATAATAACAGTCTTTTTTTTATTCCTTCACGTTCCCAGTGGAAGATAGGGCTTCTAGCTATAGGCTTAAAGGTTCTGTAGCAGTGGTGATTATTTTTTACGGGATATGGATGCTAGCCTCATGCCCAAATTTTCTCTTTACAAGCTTTATTAATGGCTAAGCGAGGCCGGGGATCGAACCCCGAACCATGTTCATGGTCGGCGAGCGTCCTAACCGCTGTGCTACGGACGCACTAAATAACAGCCATAGCAATGTATTTCCATTATTATTATTATAATTGGTAAAATAATTAGCAGTTTAAATTAAATCATCAGAGAATATGTGATCATTTACGTAAGATTCATGCTTATTTGCTTTATAGTAAGTGATAAACGTATGTTACTTTAATTTTTTCCCTTGTATTAGGTCAAACTCCACCTAAGAGTCAGACTGCTGCACCCGCAACTCCTTCTGTTGAGTCTGCATCACCTTCACCTGGTCCTGCACGTCTAGCTGCTTACAGAGATGCTTCATTCATGTCATTGGAGGTTGGTTTTCACATTTGTTTTCTAATAAACAGACGTTTGTAATCCCTTATTTTAAAATATCTTAGAAAAAGTCATTTTTGTAGTGGATATTACTAGTTCACGTATTTAACTTGTTAAAAGTCGAGTGGTTTCAACTGTTTCACCCTCATGTAAGCTAAGCCATGCCTAATAACACCGTTGATAAGTTCGACCGCAGACGAGCGAAACGGCCGTCCAGCGTTTAGACTACGTTGATATAGCTAACACTCACTTCTGGTTGATGTGAGTGGTTTACAACTGCTCGTCCCGATAAATCAGTGACATATAGCGCCTTGCATTTATGTTTGCTTTCTTGACTGTTTTTTTAATTCCTATACGTCCCCAGTAGAACATAGAGCTTCAAGCTCTAGAGCTTTGAAGTTTCGGTAGTAGTGGTGTTTAGTTTTACGGGATGGAGTTGCTAGCCCTATGTCCAACCTTCCCTCTCTACCAGTCTTATTACTGGTTTAGGGAGATAAAGGAGTGAGTCGGCTGTGGATCGAACCCTGAACCACCTGCATGGTTGGAGAGCATTCTGCCACTGTGCCATCGACGGACGTTTTCTTGATTACTATTCATCTGTCTGTCTGGATTCAACATAGAACTTGTCACCGAAGTGCAGCAGTTCGAGTTGCCACGTTCCAAATAGCACACAGAGGTAGACAAGAAGATGAGTGAAGAGAATTAATAGAGTTTGACAAATATAAGAGTGAAACAGAATGGGTAATGGTAGAAAGGAATATGAAAGATTACAGAGATTGAATACATCTGCGCCATTGACAACGATTTTGAGCCATGTCACCTATTGTCTCCAGCCATTGATTCCTAGAGTCGCGAGGGCCCCAACCCGGGAGTCTGCATCTCCCTACCTGACTCAGTTTAACTGTCAAGGATTTCATGGATTGATGCCATGTTTTTGTTTGGCCACCACTGGCTCTTTTCCAACCTGAACCTATATCAGCTAGCAATGCCCGTCGGGGGAGGCGGTGGTTAGGCATGCGCACCACGTGACCTAGCCATCTTAGTCTATGTAACTTTATAACCTCGTCGATTGATTTTCCCTCTTTGCCCAACACTCTACGCCTAACGTCAACATTACTTACCTTATTAAACCACCTAACGTGAGACAGAGATCGCAGACATCTATGATCGAAAGCAGTCAACCTTTTCATGTCTTCAACGCGTATTGGCCATGTTTCAGAGCCATAGAGAAGGACGGAGCGAACTGATGAGCAGTACACACGTCCCTTGGTTGATAACCGGATGTCACGCCTACGCCAGAGATGGTGTAAGTCAGCGAAAGCAGCTCGAGCTTTTTGGATCCGTGCTGAGATTTCACCGCCAATCAGTCGGTTGGTGCTAATACAACTTCCCAAGTAGGTGAAGTGGTCAACATGTTCTATCACTTCACTCCCTATCACTAAGTTAGGGGTTGACGTCGTCCAGTCCTGATATTAAGTATAACATATATTGTTATCTAAATAATTTCGAAAGGGAACTCTGATCGAATTTCATCTCCTTGAATTGTGTAAATTGCAAATCGCAAATTTGATTTAGTTGGTATAGATGTCTAGTTCAAAAGTGACATTAATTTTACTCACTTACTTTCAAGTTTAAACTAAAAAACAGCTTCAGATAATCTCATTAATTCATATTAGAACAAGAAATATAAGCGAACAATATTGTTTTCAATTTCGATCGTCTTCAAACTTTACTCTAATTTATATAGATTTATATACAAAATTTTTAACCAATGATGGTGAATTCGTGGATCAAATAATAACGTGTTAAATATTTTGAACGTCGTTCATAACGATGATTATAATGATGATAAGGTTTATGCACGTGGTGATAAGATTAACGAAGGTATGTGTATATTTAAACAATTCAATAAATAATTTAGGTCAAATCTCAGAAGTTACGTAATACTGAGGGTGAAGTGGACAGATGGTTATAGTTCAAAATAAATATCATAAAACTACGAAGGAAATAGAAAATAAGGGAGGGTTTGGATTAGAATTTACCTATGCGAAAGGAGAGACAAAGGTAGAGCAAATTTTTTTTGTACGCAAAGACTACGATTGTTCTCTCGAATTCCCATAGCTTCGGCTCTGTGTAAAAGACGGATTCGAATTCCGTTCGAAAGGCTCAATGGAATGCGATAGATAATTTTGAAGGCACTATTTTTGTCCACTTGGTGACCGGTGTGGCGACTTGAACTGGCGCACATTTGTGCAAAGTTCTATGTCGACAATAGACAGACAGACAGACTTGGTGACCGGTATCAATCAAATGAGTCAAAATAGAATTTCTTATAGATTTTATTTGGCCTTTTCCCAACCATGGAGGAAGATGCTCATTAGTGTTACGTTTTTTGAGCTGCCTAGTTGTTCGGCCTATATTTTAGCTTCCTCCGTAGGAGCATAAACTCACCGTCATTAGTTAAACTTTTGATATATCAATCTATGTAAATTAGAGTAAAGCCTGAAAAAGATCAAATTGAAAACATTATTGTTCGCCTATATTTCTTGTTCGAAGAGCGACTTTACAATGCTTTGATAAAAAGGTGGCTAGGTTGTTTTTTAAGAGTTGTCACTTGTATATTCCGACTGTAAGTATTATTTCAAATCAATTAGCTCAGCAGCTAATGTCGATGACTTTTCACTCAAGACAAAACACACTTCCCTGTAAATTCTGATTTCTAGCAACTGGTTGACTGACTTATGGTCGAAGTCAGAAGTTTCTAAATGCCTCATCTTGGCTAATCGCTTGCATCTAATTTTTCTAAGTCCTATTGACTACCTTCACGCAGCCGGAGGCGTTTCTGACAGAAGTGAAAGGGCAAAGCCGAACTGTAACGGCACAGCACAAGAGTATTTGGCAACGGAATTAATTTTTGGCAACTCTGTGTACAGATATAGGTAAAATATGTCTGCCGTACAATTTGCAAACGTGTGGTGCTCAAATCTTGACTGGTGAACGTGCTGATTTACCTAGGGCAGCTGAGAAACCCCGATTCCAGACTTATGCTGTGCACAGCCTCTACAATCCAAACGGATCGAATGGCGTGTTACCTCCTTTCGGTCTCTGGAAGCCATCGGAACACAACTCCTGATCGTGCTTCATTCACTGCCTTGTCTTTCTATCAAAGGCTCGGAAGAGGCGGTGGCTTGAGGACAACCACTTGTTTCGATCTAGGCGTTCAGGCAGTACCAAAGTCCTTGTACAAACTGTCTGAATTAGTGTGGCAAGTCTCTTATTGCTCATAATGTACCTAGTTTATGTTTTAGTAAATAAAAAATAATATTTTTGTGGATAAGTGACAAAATTGTAATACAGTATAATAGATGAATTATTACTTTACTGAAACACATTATATGTAGTGCCTGAAGTAATATTTCAACATAGGATATGATTACATGAATTGACATTGTTACAGATATAAGTCGAAATAGAAGCAGGAACAAGCTAAACAGAATAATATGGAATCATTTCGATTAACTAGACTCTATACACATCCTTAAAACATGGAACACATTGTATCAAATGTAGGAAAATATTCACATGCATATTGTAAAATGATGTTATTTCCTGGGTTATTATTTTGGTGCTGACTAGCAGTAGTTTTCGGTACGCTCACCTCCTTCCAATTAGGACTCGTTAGTTTGATGTTCATGCATCCCCAGTGTGCTAGTGTACTCACTGTGAATCAAATCCATCACCCATTTTCTCAAAATATTACCCACCAGACCACTGTGCCAAGAGATCCACCTCGTGTGCAACAGGTACCACTTGTTCACAGATAAATCCAGTTGATGTGTACCAAGCAGGGGGAAAAGCGCATCACGGACGACAACTTCACACTGCAAACCACAACTGACCAAGTAATGTTGTGCCAATTTGAAGGTATTGCTGAAGTGTCCATGTTAGAAGTCAACATATCAACATATGTAACTTATATCACTTCGTAATTACCTTATAATCGTTTTACAACTAATGCAGTTGGAAATAATAAAGTGTTTGACGATGGATTAATTATGTTCTATGATTGATTTAATGACTGGATATTCTATTACAATATTTTATCGTCTGAATATTCAGTTAAGAATGAAAATACACTAATTGACAGTGTAATTACAATCAGAGGAAATGTACCAAAAGATTACGTATTACGTATTATTTCTTTTAGTTCCTAGAGGAACATAGGGCCTCAGCCGCACGTCTCCATTGCGTTCGGTTCTCTGCCAACGTTTTCATTTGGCTCCGGTCTGCCCAAATGCTTTCAACTCCTCTTCACATCACCTCCTCGATGTCATCCTCGCACTGACGACTAACTCGCCGGTTCCCATTCGGGTTTCACTCGAGCGATGGCCTGGCGTGTTATGTCACTCACTTGGTCGTTTTTTATCGCAGATTATGGCCAATCCACTTTCATTTCTTCCTGCTTATTTGTTTCACAATCGGTTCCTGCTGTGTTGGTTCGTTCACTGCCAGATATCCCTGTTGGTGATCTTTCTGGTCGGCCATCTGATCTTGAGTAGTATTGAGTGAAGAGCTGTTGATGAAGGTCTGTAGTTTGTTTGAGGTGCTCTTCATGACCCGTTATAGTAAGTAGCACTGACTTCACATTGGAATTGAAAATCTGGATCTAATTTTCATTTTCATGCTGAGTGCCGTTGACTTCCACACAGACTTTGAGAGTAATGAAAGCTTGTCTTGCTTTCCTGATCATAAGTTCCGTCCGACTGTAGTTGAAACGATGCTTCCCAGGTCAGTAGATAAAGGAGTTTGCTTCTTTCATATTTTTCTCATTTATCCTGATTGTTGTCTGTCTGTTGTTGTTTTTGCTGTTGCTGTTGGCCAGGAATCCTCACCATCACATGTCTTCTCAATGTTCACCTGAAGGCCTATATTCATTGGGTGCTTCTTCTGCCAACTTGTTGCTTTTCACATGCATATTTTCCAGTTTGTGGGAAATGGGACATATATCATCGGTGAAGTCCAGATCCTCCAAGGTTTTTGTGCGGGTCCACTAACTACTTATAATTTACGTGAATACAGAAAGTGGTTGGGAAGAGAAACTTCTTAAATTATGAGTTCACCTGGTTACTCTATATGGATTTTGATACATCTTTATAATTCAAACCATCACGCAGTTGACAAGACATCTAATTAAAGAAAATGTGTAACGCCAGAATGATAAGAAAGAAGTGGTAACAGAATTTCTTATTCAAGAAATAAGCACCATATTTATACATTTTAAACTACATTAAAAGTCGGTTAGATCAGCGGACAATAAATAAACTGCTCTGAGAGAATGGTTGTCGATTGGCTGAAGGTTAAGTAAAGGGACAAAAAGTTGTCTAGTGAGATTATTTCCAGACCACAATCTTAACTGAATCGGGATTCGAAGAATAAACACTTCTATTCCCTTCAGTCATTGACTTAAAATGTTGATTTCTACTCTGGCCACTTCTTATCAAGCTGTATATATATATATATATATATATATATACATAACACACGCCACAGATAATGTGCATTTTTTGACTTACAGATCGTTTGGAATGTTTTTCGAAATGCATACAAGACTTAAAACTTTTTAATGGCTGACTTTATTTTTTTCTTTTGTTTCAATGTATTTTTATTTTAACATAGATTGAAGGTCTTCGTGAAGCTGTCCGGCGTTTGTCTTCTGAAGTATCTAGGCTACGTGGTGAAAAAATGCTTGTGAGTTTATTGAATTTGTTTTCTTCAAACGAATATATAATAAACTATGTGTACTACAATAATACTCCTCTGTGAAATATACACAGATTCCCTCAAAGTTCCCTCGAGTCTGTAAAAACTGAATACTTTTACACTAGTAGAGTAAGCTACTAAGAAATCTTTCTAGTAGCCTACCGCCTGCTTCACTATAGCTGAAGCTGTTCATTCTTGTTGAAATACTCTTGAGCTTATGATTTTCGTGTTGTTTTTCACATTTCTTTGCCCCCCCCCCCCAGTGGAACATACAGTTTCAAGCATGAGCTTTAAAGTTTCAGGAGTAGTTGTTGTGTTGTTTTTACGAAATAGAGTGTCTAGCCAAACACCCAACCTTCCCACTTTATCGGGCCTACTACCAGCTAGCTAAATCAGGTTTATGAGTGAGTCGTCTGGGTATTGAAGCTGGACCTCGGGCATGGTCGATCAGCATTATACCCCTCAGTGACTGTGGCACTTAATTTTCATGTAGTGGGAAATTTTCTGTAACTGAAACTGAACACTTTTTGGACATAATAAATGGACGAATTCATCGACTACGTTGTATTTCTGCTCCCAAATGTAATAAACATTTTTTATAAGGTCAGCTGTTACCGGGTTCCAGCCCCAGTGGGTGCTTGCTGATGAAGAGTCCCAAACCAGGACAAAACAGCTGTCCAGTATTCCCAGGTTTTCCAGTGGTTCTCTAACCAATGTCAGCTCATGATGAAATCCTGTAACCAATCAACCGAATCCCTACAAACCAATACTTGAGAATATCATTGACATTTCCCTTCGCTAATGCTTTCTATGCTAATCGTGAACTCTTTTATACATTACGTGTATCTGAGCTCTTTTGTTTGAAAGGACTGTTTTCCCATATTTTCTTTATACTCTATTAGGTTAGGTGTTGTGCATGAGCAGGGGATTTACTGTTTACTTTTTCTTATAGTGTTTTAAACCTTTCCATTCATTAACCTAACTACTGATTCATACTCTTAACTTCAGACGAAAAATAATTTAATAACTTTTCCGTTTTTATTCGATAAAATAGTTGAATTCTTGTAGTCGGCACATCTGCATTATAGTCCTTTTTAGCTGACTTCACTATTGCTTCATAATCTTTCAAATACTCTTCACACTATCTCCTTCATTTTACCAGCAGACACCCAACTTCCCGTTTGGATTCCACTCAAGGATCTGGTGCGTGATACTACCCAAAGATGTCGACGTACCCCCTATCCATCTCCTCTTCTTTCCGCACATTATTTGGATAAAAGTTTCTTAGTTGTTTTCTCTCTCTCTCTTCTAGAGTTCCTTGTCGCTTGTCATTTCTGCTTGTCTGATCTTCAGTATTTAGTTGTTGATAAAATTCTGAAGTAACCTGTTGAATCTGCTATTGATGACACTCGCGCCAAGTTTCTGGACCACGCAGACGCACTGACCAATCTGACATTAGTTCTGAAGATTCTGATTTTTGTTCTCTTTTTGCTTAGTGCGATGGATTTCTAGACTGATATCATGAAAGCAATGAAGATGTCTTACTTTTCCAATCTTGATTCCCTTTGACATCCTCATCTGTTTTCTACAAGTTGATCATGGATTGATATCAGTTAGAGAACCATTGAAAACCAGGGAGTACCTACTGGACAGCTGCTGTTTCATCCTAGTTTGGGTATCATCGACAGTGCGTACCTACAGCCAGCGTTCGAACCCAGGACCTTTCGGTTACAACGCAAGCTGGCTCGTATACTATTCAGCCACTGGGACCTGATTCAATGGCCATTCCATGAATTCTAACTTCTACCGATTCGTGATTTAACGCGATCCCAACCATTGGCGTAGGTGGGACATCCATCCTCACACATGACATCTAGATGGACCTCACTGGTCACGACTTCTCGTTAGAACTCCAGGAAATTTAATCCTGTAACAAGTCACTAGCGAGCATCAGATTAATTTTCTATAGTTTGGTTTGTAAGGGTTAATTTTGTTTTTCACGAGTTGATCACGGATTGATATCAATTAGAAGAGAACCATGGAAAAAACATCGTAAAAAATAAAATTAACCCTTACAAACCAAAACAATAGAAAATCCTCATCTGTGCTGCCTATTGTTGTGATCGGCGCTTATTGTTTTCGTTTTGGTATCTTCATCACCTCTATCTATACTATATCCATTTGAAGTCTTGCATTTGTTGACTCTTCTGTAAACTTGTTGTTTTTTATGCACTTTTGGTAGACCATACATGCGTGAGATGGTGCTCCCTGTAGGTTTTATGTTTTCGAAAGTTTTTGGTGATAAATACCCTTTACCCTTCAAATCCTTTAATAAGTTTGTTATTTCTCTCTCTATTTTCTCCGTATGATCTTTCATTGCTTTCGGCTTCTGAAACTTGCTTCCGTCAGCTAGTATAGAGTTCATCTTATTGATGTAGTCCTGCCTATCCATAATTACTATCCCCGGTCCCTTGTCCGGTCTGGTAATAACTATGTTTTCATTTTGTCTTAGTCTTTTGACAGCTTCTCGATGCTATTTTGTGAGTATACTATGGGGCTTATTCTTATCCTTCTGTCTATACTGATAGCAATAGTCTACCAGGGTTGATTTGAATCTTTCTAGGTCCTCATCAGAAGAGGCGACCAAGTCCCTGTTTGTATATAGAAGTTCTCGAATTGTACATCAGTGTCAATCTGACTAATCTCCGTACGGATATCACAAAACTTAGTCCCTAGAGATAACGCTTCAAGTTGTAGTTTGTCAAGAATCACACTAGAAAAGTTATGGACGTACCTTTCTGGATTAGCTGGAAATCTACATTCCGGAGTTCGGCTTTCTAAGCCTTTCATCAGTTGTGTTCGTTTTTTTCGAGGAATTAGATTTGCTTCTTTACCTTCCAGTCTGTGTGACACTGAACACAAATCGTGAACGAGGTCCAAATCTTGTAGAGTCTCATTGTTAATCCAGTGTATGCCTGTCTTCTCGCTCTTCGCAGATAACAGCAGTAGTTACAGTTTACTGTCAGCTTTTCATTATCATTGGTAGTAAAAGGCCTCAAAATCAGTCATTTTAACTACCTTTGAACGATAGACTCGGTAGTATTTATTTTTAGCCCTCAATAAACTAACGGAATAAGTTAGCTGCTTTATGAACACGATTGAAACTGACGAAGAATATTTCCCCTGTCGGAGTTTAAACCATCTACCACCTTCAGATTACTTACGCATTCTCAGCCGTTTAGATCGATCTGTGACAAGTAACTGACTCCACAAATATATGGTTATCATTTTTTTAATTGAATGGAGGATTTCATCATGAGCTGGTATCAGTTAGAGAACCATTGAAAACCAGCCACAGGTAGTACTGGGCAGCTGTTTCGTCCTAGTTTGGGAATCATTGGCAGTACGCACCCACTGGGATTCGAATCCAGGACCTTCCGGTTACAAGACTAGCGACCTCGTAGACCATTGAGCCACTGGGACCTGATCCAACCGTTCTTGAATTCTAACTTCTGCCAATTCACGACCACTTCACAATGTCTTCTTCGATGAGTTACTGCGTCATCTTCAACCTGCTGTACCCTACTGGTCACGGCTTCCCACTAGAACCTCTGGTTAACTGTCTGAATACGGCCAGTCGCTAGTGAGCATCAGATGAATTTTCAGGTATTGGTCTTGTAGGGATTCTGTTTGATATGTTGGAGGATTTCATCATGAGCTGACATCAGTTAAAGAACCACTTTTTAATTTTTTTAATTATGGAGGTCAGATATTCCAAATGGTAGTCATTTTGTACAAAAAAACAGTTAATTTAACGGTCCCCTTTTTCACGTGTTTGTTTAAAAACCAGGATCAAATGAAAAGTCTTGGAAGTCTAAAGAAACCAATACGTCGTCAATATCTCAAAGCTATTGATAACACCTCAAAGGATGAATCTAAACCATCCACCACAGAAAAAGAAGAAGAAGAAAAAGAACAAAAGCCTATGATATCACAGGTGGCACGTGATGCTTATGCACTTCAACAACAAATGCTTTCTGTTCTAGCTAATCCTCAAGTAGTTCGACTGTCAAAACCATCGAAACCAATTGAAGAGCCTGCTTCAGGCGCTGGTGATGGATCCACACAACAACAACAACAGTCGGCTAAAGTCATTGGGCCTACAGCTACAATTCAATTCAATAGACAGACAGCACAATTAGTGAAATTGAGAAGTGATTTAGAAAAGGTATGGATTTCTTCGTTTTACTTTTTTGTATGAGCCTAGAATATTACTTAGTAGTTCAAACAACACGTCTGGTTAATAAAAGAAAGTGGAATTTGCAATAATTTAGGTATTTTTAAATTTATTCACGGAATAATATCAGTTTGACAACCATTGGAAACCAGGGAACACTGTTTTAGCTATTTCACCCTAGATTTCAGGAGTCTGACTGATAGAACTCAGTCTGCACCAAAGAGAGGGGACTAGACACATCACACTAGTGTCAAATCAAAATAAAGAAAATATTGAACAAATTATTTTTATGTCTTTCTAACTATTAGAATCTTTTTTTTCTCCTCCTCGTTCTCCTATCCTAATTCTTTTCTTCCGGTTATTTTATATTTTTTCTACACGTGTTTAGTTACAACAACGTGCATTTGAAGCTATCAAGACAGAAATTCCCAATGCATCAATTCAAGCCGATTTTACATCCTTCCCATCTGTGAAATTAAAACATTTATTTAATACTGAAAACAATGAAAATCTGCCTATACGTTATCGTTTATTATTCCCTGGTGGAAATGATTCTAAAATGAATCCAACAAAAGTTTGCATGACTAGAGAAGATCTACACATTCTACATTCACATTTACTTACAGTATAAAAAAAATGGATGGCTGCTGTTTTGCCTTTTTCTTTTGCCGGGGGGTTAAAGTTTACTTATCAGTCACAACTGAAGATATTTTTTACTTCTTACTTATCATTAGTACTTTTATTCATAATGACTATTTTACACGCATACATACTGCTACACATACCTAATATATTATAAACTTGTATTTCATGTGATGATGTATGGTGTTGTAGTGTGTACGACCATGTAATCTCCTTTATTATATCTTGAATGAAGCGTCTTTTTGACTTTCTTCTTTTCATTCGTCGACGTCATTTTTAAATGCTAAGAGTTTCCCTTTTTTTCGTGGTTTCATGGTTTATCCTACGACTAACTGTGTTAATTAATAAACATAATAAAGTATTATTATTTATTATTGTTGTTCTCTTGGTTTTATTGTGGAAAATACTGCAAAACATCGCCATTTCACTCTGTTTCCTACAGTCTTTTCTAGCTGGCTCCACAATCGCCAATAAGCTCTTACCTCATCTACACACCATCTCGGACAAGCCACTCTTGCCATCCAAATTTCACTCGAGGGTATGCCTGGCGCGTGATGTCACTCCACGGTCTCTTCAGGGTATGTTCAATACATTTCCATGTTCTCCTACTTATTTGGTGGGGTGGTAGTAGGTTATTGGTTGGTTCGTTGCCACAGATCCATGATATTTATACTTTCTGGCCATCTGATATCCAATAACAATAGGTAACCGTTGGTGAAAATATGATGCTCCAATTCTCTGACCCATGTTGAATGACTCAGTGGGCATTAAATGTTTCTCACGCTGAGTGCAGTAAATTCCCACTATGTGATATCAGAGTAATGAAGGTGTATCTTGCTTTTTTTTCGATTCTGTCCTTGAATATCTTCATCTGTGCCAACGCGTATGGTTGAAACGATACCGCCTAGATAGATAGATAGATCAAAGAGGTGGCTTCCTTCAGAGATTGGTTAGGTGTCTTTACAACCTGTCTTCTTATGTTCACATGAAGTTTTGTCTCCTCTACCACTTCTGGCAACTTGTTGGTCTTCAATTTTAAACTTGTCGAATTTGTGTAACACAAATATACATCATCCTAAGACTCCAAATCTTCTAGTATCTTTACCCTCACTCCACAAATTCTCAAATAACGAAAAGGATTTCCAACAGCCATTTGCAGACTTTCATTAACAGCTGCCTTCGCTGGCTCCATAGTGAAGATCAAATGACCAGAGAGAATAAGCGACAAGACACTATGGGAACAAACAAAGCAAGAGTCGATCGCTCAACAAATATGTAGGAGAAAGTGGAGATGTATTGGGCATACATTGGGGAGGCCGCCGAATGGTATCGCACACCAGGCCCAGTGCTCGAGTGGAATACAAATAGGAAGTGACAAGGGGGTTGTCAGTGCGAAGGTGACATGGAGGAGATCGTGTGAAAAAGAGATGAAGGAGTTTGGCCAACCGAGGACAGCAGAAAACAGAATAAAGTGGAGATGTGTTGTTGAAGCCCTATGCCCCACTTGGAACGCAAAGAAATAATAATAACCTGATGACTGCTAGTATATCTGTCTATCCGATTAGTGTGTTAGTCAAAGTATATCGATAATTTTCGCAAGTGATTATTCAATTTAAAAGATTGTTGATAGCGGGATTATTTGTGACAGACCACTAGGTTTAGTGAAAATTATGAGTACAGGCTACTTGCACAAATATATTTGCTAATATAATACCATAAGAATTTTAATTCTATGTAGGCAACGCACATCCGTCATATTGAAACGGTAGGAGAGGAAAGACTCGGTGTCTCTATATGGCCAAATGATATGCACCTTATCTTCAACGCACCATTTGCACAGATCTTACGTACTGTACTACCTCTTGCCTTCATATTGTCATTCTTTGTGTTCTTTTCACATTTTCCATGCATCTCCAGAACGCTGTATCATTTGCTTTCTCTGATATCAAATCGATCTCCCTGCTGTTTGATGTTTTATGCCGATGAACCTCTCTCTATTTATACTACTGATAAATCTTATCAGTAGCACGTGCCATAGTATGTATGTTAATTTTTTTCACATTAAATGGCTTAGATCTTCATCAATAAAGGTGATTTAATATGGCGATGATAGTCTTTTAATGTGCTAGTGAATTTATCAGTCTAATTTCTATGATGTTCTCTTAGTGAGATTGTTATTTTTACCTAGAAGAGTATCAATTTAAAAAGATCCTCTTCCGTGTTACATATAAAGCTGATTTTGTATGAATATAATATAAACGAATAAATAGGATATATATATCATTCCATATACACGTAGAGTTGAAAATTGCACCCGAAAATTAATTATAACCTGGAAATAATTAAGAATCGAATGAACATTTAAGTGTTGGTTTGCGGGGATTTCACCATCGGTTAGAGAACCATTGGGGAACCTCGGAGTGCTGGTCACTTGTTTCGTCCTAGTTTGGAATTCTTCATCAGTGCGCACCCACCAAAGGACTTCGAATCCAGGACCATCCGGTTACAAGGCAAGTCCGCAGAACACTAATCCATTGGGAACCGATCCAAAAGCCAGCCCAAGAATTCAAACTTCTGCCAATATAGTGCGACCACTAACCAATGTCATCACTCGCGAGTATTTGTCCTCACACCCGACCTGTTATACCTCACTGGTCACGATTTCTCACCAGGACTCCGCCTGAATAGCTCCAGTAGCTAGGGAGAATCAGATCGATATTCGAATGTGGGTTTGCGCGGATTGAATTAGGTTACAGGATTTCACTTACAGCAAGCTGCATAGTCGAGGTTAATCAGCTTATCGATTAAATATATTCATCAATGAGTATTAAGGGTTGGAGAACACTAAACATTTATCAATACAAAACATAATATCACTCAGTGAAGATATTTACTATTCGTCTAGGCTCTATGGAGTAAATGCTTTAAATTAGTTCTAAACTGTTTATTTTCTTTAGATGTTTTCTATACATACACATAACGTGTATTACTGACTAAAAATTTCTATGTAGTATATTGTATGACGTCTTCTGTGTGAGTCTTGTAGAAAGAAGCGATGAATTAATTTGCAAACAAGAGAAATGAAGCTAAAATCGTCCGACAGCGCAGAAAGCATGACATAGTGAGAAGAGAAGCAGAAAACGGATCTTTTAGTCAAAAGCTACATACAAAAGTTTGCAACAATTATAATAGTCATGACATTTTCGTCAAACACAGGCCAATTTCTCGTCAGTCAAAGAATTTACTCAAGTACAAATGAAGGAAGAAACACCAGTTACGAATGATAAAAACAGAGTCTGCATAGATATTCACAACTTACAACCGTTAGTGAAACTTCGAAGCTTGAGGAACTATGTTCCTCTCGGAATGCAAGAGAATGACGCTTAAATGATGACTTTCAAATCAATAAACTTCAAAAACGTGTAGGTTCTAATCCATGTTGTGTAAAAATACAGCTATTTTTCATTTCATTTTTTCATTTTTGATTTACAGCTTGATTCCACACTGTATTTTTTGTACAAGTATGGAATTTTCAGCATGGATATCGGTAGCCCAAATTTTGCAGGCCGACCATAGATATCAGATGTGCGTCGGTGCGGGCTCGAACCCCGGACCATGTGCATGGTCGGCGTGAGTCCTAACCACAAGTACGGTAAATGAATACAGCATTAGTCTATCAATAAAATCAGTCACGTACAATACAACAGATGGTAGAGCTGTACATTAGTTCATGTAAATAAACACCATATCAGCACAAATGTCTTCAACTACATACTACTGATTGACTGAAACGAGTAGTTATACGTTTGCTAACCAGATCAAAGTAATGTAAACACCGGATGTCCGTTTCGGGATCGAGGTTATTAGCGATGTAGCAGATTTCACTCAGCACAGAGAGCCGAATCAGTTCAAACTACCCGATTTCTTGGTCAGCTACATGATTGAACTGATCAAACCTCAATTCTATATGAATGCTACTTTTAGCCACACTTTGAAGACATTGGCTAGTGGTCGCGCTATGTCGTGAATTGGCAGAAGTTGGAATTCATCGACTAACCATTGGATCGGGTCCCAGTGGCTTAATGCTATATGATCTCGCCTTGTAATCAGAAGGTCATGGGTTCGAACTCCCGTTGGTGGGTGGGTACTGCTGAAGTGTCCCAAACTTGGTTCTCTAACGAATGTCAGCTGATGATGAAATCATGTAACCAATCAAATCCCTACAAGCCAACACTTGAACACTCTGATATCATTGAGAATCATCAATTAATTGTGATAGGACTTCTATTCCATTTCGTCGAACCATAATCCCATCTTAGAGAGTTTATTCTGTCAACTATACAATATGTACCTACCTTGAAGTGAGTAAGTGGACCTATAACCAGCGAAAGGGGACATTCGAATAATTTCAAATCTGTACTATGGACTAAACCTTCAAAAATGAAAGACACTGTCATATATATCAGAGACTCTAACAGTCTTAAAGTTGCTTCAATAAAAAGGAAATACCTAAATTCAAAACAGGGAATATACAGTCTAAGAAATCGATTAAATAAACTAGCATTTATAACTCATAATGGAAATTCATTACAAAATACCTACAAAGAAGCATGTAACAGGCAAATTCTAACCGCTCTTCATTTCTTTCTTAGGCTTACAAAGACAAAAGCAAATAAATAACTGTTATGCACACTTACCAGTATGGTGTACCAATAAATGAATTCCGACGTTGAATTGTTTGAGTTATTTGTGCTGCAACACCGAAATCAGCGATTTTGACGTCACCATCATTCGTTAGTAATATATTTGCACCCTTAATATCACGGTGTATTTTTCCAGCTTTGTGCATATATTCTATTCCACGTAATGTTTCACGGGATACAAAAGCAATACAATTTTCTTCGATTGGCCGCTGAATATGTGTGTAAATATCCTATTGTTCAAGAGCTGCAAGCTAACGCAAAATGTTGGTGTAGTACAACAAAATTTTTACTACGTCGTTAGCTACTGCTGGTTCGTGATGAATGCTGACATAAAACTAATAAATTCCATTCAAGGCATCCAAGCAGTTGTTTAAATACGACTTTTAAATTCAGTGTGATTGATCACAAACTAAATTCATTAAGAGAAGCACTGAAAATCAAAGAACATCTCTCTCCTCTCAGTTGGAGGACACTTAGCAATGTACACCTATCACCCCACCAAGGATCAGATCCAGGACTGTCAGCTTGCAACAAGGCGAGCTCGTTGACCATTCCAGATACTGCGACACGATGCAATGACCAAGCAAGTCTAACTTCTGCCAATTCGCGATATATAGGTGCGACAGAAGGCCAATATCATCGATGAGTGTTTGTCTCCACATCTGATGATCCTGGGTTAGATCATTGCTAAGGTAATAGGTGCATACTGACGAAGAGTCCAGTACTAATACCTATCTGGTTTACGATGGTTCTTTAATTGAAGTCAGTTTGTGACCAACCCTAAAATCAATCAAATCCTTGCAAACCAACACTTGTAGTAAAATGAATTACACTACAGAATTGTGAATCAGTTCACTAATAAACGTACGTCATTCACTGAAAAGTCAACCCACAAAATATCCCATTTGTAAAACATATCTTTATTAAAACCATGCAATACAAAAATAAGAATAATAATAAACACACACATGATTGTAGCAGTCATTGATTGATAACTGAAAATTATTCTCAATATATCAAAACCAAAAAGTATACTAAAATTATCAAAAATAATTTCATACAATGACTCTCTGTTTCTAAATAGATTAAGAAATGAATAAAGTAAGCAGAGAAGAATGAGAATTCAGTTCATATCGTCGATGTGTTGTTGATAGATGCTAAACGATAACGTTTCGCTTCCTCAGTGACATTCTGGGCTTCAGTTATCCCTCTTCCAACAATCATAATAACAGGAGATGTAGTATGGTCATTAGTAAATCGTTTATACACATGGTCTGGAGTGTTATAGTTCTGACCAAGATCATCATTAGAGTTAACTAGCTTTATACCTGAAGAAAATAAAAGAATGGATATATATATATATATATATAAAGTCAACAACAACTCTGTGTGTGTGTATCAAAAGTAGTCTGCTTTAGATGAAGACAAAAGCTGATCAGCCAGCTAGTGTTACGACAAACGCCATGTAAGAGCTTACGGAGTATTGGTGTCTGAAGTGATGACAACCTTTGGTGTCCATCAGGGATATCCAGTGTCCCCACTTCTGTTCACTTTTAATATTTTATACATTTATTCGCCTTAATGAATTTGAAAAAAGCAAGAACTACAGTTTTAACCGAATAAAATGGTACCATCTTTTATTTCGTTGCCTTCTCATCAGCTGCTTACAGAGCAAAGACATTATTAAATATTTATACAAAAACAATTTTAACACACTTGCACAGACAGTTCATTTTAAACAAAAATCAATCGATCACTATATTCATACACTAATTATATATATATATATATATATATATATATTAAACACTATTCCGAACAATAATAATCATACACAATGGAAACTTTTCAGCATTTCGCATTCAGATGAAAGAGAGATGAAAAATATCCAGTTACCAGGGCAAAGAAAGACTGATAACCGCTTCTTTCTGGACGCATGAATCAGGTTTCAGGCGCTTGGTGTAAATGGCTTCAGCAAAGCTAAAGAGAATCGAGTTCTTTTGCCTATTGATAATTTCGAACGACTTTTCGACGTCTATCTCATGACCCGTGTCGAGGAGATGCCTCGCAATGGCACTGTGTAAAGCATTTTTTCTCTTTAGACGTAAGCCTTTTGGTACATGTTCAGAAAATCGTAGATATGCCCTTCTTTCTGTCCGTCCAATGTAACTGCTCCCGCAGATAAATGTAAATTTATATATACATATACATATCCTTGAAACGGGTCATGAAGTGGACATCGAAAATTCGTTCGAAATTTCATACATTTGGTTCCCTTGATAAATTTCGAAAAATTTCGTTCGAAATTATCAACAGGCAAAAGAACTCGATTCTCTTTAGCTTTGCTGAAGCCATTTACACCAAGCGCCTGAAACCTGATTCATGCGTCCAGAAAGAAGCGGTTATCAGTCTTTCTTTGCCCTGGTAACTGGATATTTTTCATCTCTCTTTCATCTGAATGCGAAATGCTGAAAAGTTTCCATTGTGTATGATTATTATTGTTCGGAATAGTGTTTAATATTATATATATATATATAATTAGTGTATGAATATAGTGATCGATTGATTTTTGTTTAAAATGAACTGTCTGCGCAAGTGTGTTAAAATTGTTTTTGTATAAATATTTAATAATGTCTTTGCTCTGTAAGCAGCTGATGAGAAGGCAACGAAATAAAAGATGGTACCATTTTATTCGGTTAAAACTGTAATTCTTGCTTTGTTCTAATTTTAATATATATACTAATGGAACTGACGCTAATCGACTTTAAGGACTTAGGAACTGACTTCTAATCAGTACGTCGATAAAATTATCCTCCTAGGTGAAGACAATGGTGAAATGCAAAGTCTTTCGAACACATTGAGCAGTAATCTTCGCGTGTTTGGTGGCATGTGATTTGCGCTAGACAAATGTAAGCAGGACTGAAGTATACCGACTCCTAGCCTAAAGATGAGGAATAAAGTAGTTAATCCACGGTCATCTTAGAGTATATTCAATTCATAGGCCATTTGTTTTTCTGCATGTTTGTTGGGGAATCGATTCTTTCTGGTTTCGTGCCCGAGTTCCGCGTCACTCGATATTTCTGGCTGGCCAACTAATCTTCAGTGTTGACCCAGTCGTTGAAAACGCTTTTCGTGACGCCCCAAGTCTCGGAACCACATGGAAACACTGACTGATGAGCTTTGACCTTCTTGAGTTGCCATGTTGACACTGTTTATTAGATTTTTCTGTCTTCTTTTACCCCCCCCTTTATTTTCTTTTTCCATCGTTTGACAGCATATAAATTGATGGTGACTTAGATTATAATACTCATATTCTAGATGCGTTCACCTTATAATGTCTTCTCTATTACCTTTCAAACAATGAAGTATGAAATGTTACTATTTATAACCATTGTAATTTCAGGTAGTTTGCAGCTGATGAGAGCCTGTGAAATAGAATGATATCATTTTATACCGCAAATCTGGTCTTTCTCTTGATATCAGTCACAGATTCTGATTTTCTTCCTTACACTTAATGCAGTAAATTCCAGTGTAATGAAGGTCTGTCTTGCTTTCTTGTTCGGATCTTGTACCGTCTGTAGTTGAGACAATACTGACTAGATAATTGGAAGAGGTGCGACTTCCTTTAAATTTCTCCCGTTGATGCTGTATGATGTTTATTCTTGTTGGTCAGATATCATTATTGTCTCTTACTTCTGTATGTTCACTTGATGACCTGTCTTTCTTACCTCTTCTTCCACTTTGTTGGTTTCCGCCCGTAGATCTTTGAATTCTTGTATGAAATCTGTCTGTCTGTCTGTTTTCAACATAGAACTTTGCACCGACGTGCGGAAGTTCAAGTCACCACACTCCATGTAGCACACAAAGCAACAGAAGAAAGTAGAAGAAATGCATAGTAGAGACAGCAAACAGAGGTGCGAGACAAAGGAATAGCAATAACGAAGAACAATAGAGTTTCATTGGAAATCATAAGTCACAAAGAAGGGATGCATCTGCGCCATCCATCGAGAACGATTTTGAGCCATATCACCAATTGTTTCCAACCTTCATTGGTTTTTACCGTCCCTAGGACCCCAACCAGGAAGTCTACACCCTCCTACGTGGTTTAGACTAACTGTTGTAGATTTCATTGACTGATGAAGCCATGTTTTGGTTTGACCATCATTAGCTCTTTTCCAACCTGACCCATATCAGCTAACATTGGCTAACATTGATTTCCCCTCCTTACCTAGCACTTGACGCCTAACCTCAATATTGCTCACCTTATTATACCACTTCACATGTGAGATAGAACGCAGGCGCCTATGATCAGAGACAGCTAATCTTTCCATGTCTTCCACTCTTAATGGCCAGGTCTCACAGCCATAAAGGAGGACGGAGTGGACTGATGAGCAGTACACTCGCCCTTTAGTCGAAAGCTGGATATCACGTCTACGCCAGAGACGGTGTAAACTGACATATGCGAAACAAGCCTTCTGTATCCGTGCTGAGATTTCGTCAGAGATCAACCCGTTGGCACTGGCTGATGGTACTTCCCAAATAAATGAAGCGGTCAACGTGCTCTACCACTTCACTCTCTATTTCTAAGCTAGGAACCAGTGTAGTCCATTCCAGTCCTGTAACATCATCTTGCACTTGGCGGGAGCGAATCGCATACCAAACATTCATAGATTGCAGCTCAAGGTGTTCAGAAGAACCTGCATTTTGTCAGCGTCCTCGCCTAGAAGGACTATATCGTCTGCATATTCTACGTCAACGAGATTATTCCCTGGTAGTAAGTCAATCTCTAAGTCTCTAAAGTGAGTACATCTATGATGAAACTGAATAGAAATGGGGATTTTGGGCATCCTTGACGGACACTTCAGATGAGGACTCGCCATAAGTCCTCATGTGGCTGCATGAGTACGAGTAGAGTGCCTTAATCAGTACAATGTATTTTCTCGGAATTCCCTTTACAGCCAAGCATCGCCAGACAACCTTTCGGTCAACAGAATCGAATGCCACCTTTGAGTCAAGAAATATCATGATTGTTGGACGGCGGTAAGAATGCCTATGTTCTAGAATCTTTCGAAGGGTGGAGATATCATCAATACACACTCTTCCTGGTCTAAAGCCCGCCTGGTTCTCTCGTGTTTGTACCTCCTGAGCACCGCCTAGTCTATGCAATATTATTGATTCTAGGACTTTAGATACTATATTAGTCAAGCTTATTCCTCTGTGATTATCACAGGAGGACTTGTCTCCCTTCTTGTATATGGGGAAAATAAGTGACTTACACCAACCCGACGGGACTTCCTCTGATTCCCAGACGCTGCCTAGTACCTCAGTTAATGCACACAGTTAACTATCTCCCTAGTACTTAAATACCTCTGGAGTCATTCAATCAAGTCCTGCTGTTTTACCTTGTTTCAGACTAGTGGCAGCTTTAGTAACCTCAGTTACGGACAGAGGACCTGCGTCTATATTCCCATTCAGGGAGGTGTTGGATGTTCGGCAAGTTGGGTGTGGCTGTAGGCCAATTAAACTGCTCCTCATAGTGTTCTTTCCAGCGTTCCAGTCGTCTAACCTGGAAGCTAATTATGGAACCATTTTTCTCGGAGATTGTTTCACTAATCATTTGCCTTTCGCCACCTGTTACCCTGATAAGCCTAAATATTTGTCTGGTATTACCAATCGCCGATGCCTTTTCCATCTCTTTCGCTCTTGTCACCCACTACTGTTCACGGTCGTTGCAAAGACTTCTTGTTAGTTTTCATTTGATTAGCTTTCGCTCCTCAGTCACATAAATACAGTCTCTATCACCACCACAGTCTCACACCAACAATCACATAGATGGAAATCAAATATTGTCAAATATATTTGAAAGTTTAATTAGCATTTCAAGAGAGAAAAGGCAAGACATTACAACTATGATGACAAAGTTTGAGAGTAATTTAAATTAATTTTCATAAGAACATAAAGCGTAATTTATTTTCGAATCGAAACATCATCTAACATTTTGCTTTGTGATAAATTTATAAACGAAATAATATAAAATTATACTACTAATTATACAAAATCTTACAAACTCGATGAATGCAAAATGTAAGAAAAGAAAATCAATAGACAAACATACCTGGAACCCAATAAGAAATAGATGATTGTTGAATATGCAATCCTGGAAGTGGATGTTGGGCGACAAAACCACCAATAATATCAGAATTTGTTTTAATTAAACTAACGGATTGATCCATATAAGATTCAGTTGTTAAAGTACCCTGTAAAAATAATTTTTATAAAAACGCTCATGAAACACTGGGTGTTTATTTTGAAGTAACTTGGTGAAAGTAAAATGAAGCGTCCGATAGCATCAATAAATAGGCATTAGTTAATCCTTATTTGATGATTGGTCAGTATTTTTATTAATAAACCTTAACTAATATACCTGGTGGTCAGAAGCATTAGATAACTCCATTATGGATAAGATTTGATTTTGATAAACCACACAGTGTTGTTATACAGTAATATTAACTGATAACCACGTTTCGAGCACAAATTATCGCCACTCATAATCATATCAAGCCAGTACTCACACAACTTTTTCCCTACATTTATATACATGTGTGTGTGGAATTGACTAGATATTAAAATAAAAATCAATATTGGATAATGTGCATTCAGAAATGATAATATAAGTGCTATTGATCAATTACAATCAGATGGGAAATAAGACGAGTGCTTTTATAGTCAAATATAGTCAAAAGACCCGGTGGACCCAATTAAATAAAATAATGTCAGCTATTGCACTGCATGCATTAACACACACACACACTATAGGGTGGGAGATTCTAAGAAATAATCTATGTACGTGTAGAGAAAGAGAGATTGATTACTGAATCCTGTTTCATTGAGTTTGCACAACACATGCAACATAAATGACTCAATGCAAACACCAAAAATATAGAAGATATTACTGCCACCAGTCAGTCAAATCAGAAGAGGATAATAAATAATCTCAAAATTCTATTTCAGTTCAAGTACATTATAACATTCTAACAAGTTACTTATTATGACTATGAAAACACTCGTCTTATTTCCATCTGATTGTAATTGATCAATAGCACTCATATTATTATTTCTGAATGTACATTATCACATATTGATTTCTACTTAAATATCTAGTCAATTCCACACATGTATAAATGAAGGAAGTTGTGTGAGTAGTGGCTTGATATAATTATGAGTGGCAATAGTTTGTGCTTGAAACGTGGTTATCAGTTAATATTGCTGTGTAACACTGTGTGACTAATCAAAATAAAATCTTATCTATAATGGAGTTATACTCTACCACCGTGCCCAAGTTTTATACTTATATCAATAATTACCCTCACCTTGTTTATCAATCACACGTTACTACGTAAGCATCCGTAAAATAAATTAGATGTGTAATGCTTACCTGTAGGTGACTGCCAACAACTTGGCAGAAGAAGCAAGCAGAGACGACAGGACTCCAAGTGAACACAGAAAAGACAGAGGTAATGAAGACACACTAAACCCGCAACAACCGGCAGTAAGCATTAATCACCGCTAATGGGAGAAATCTAAAGGAAATCACCTCTTACACTTATCTAAACACCATCGCTTCAACTACAGCCGATGTGGCAAGGATGAAAATGTCGAATATGGGATAGGATTTGAAAAGGAAGATAGACAGACCTTCATTACTCTGAGGACATTGTAGAAATCAACACGATCCCGATCTTCAACACTAATATCAATTCAGTGCTTCTGTGCGCTTCAGAAACTTGCTACAAATTTCACTAAAAGTATTCACTACAGGCTGTAAACGTTTGTCAACAGCTGTCTTCTCCTGATACTGAAGACCAGTTGCCCCCCCCCCAAAAAAAGGGATAAGCAACAAGGAACACCGGTACACAGCTTGACTACCAAGAACCCATCACCAAACAAATATGCAGAAGGAAATAGAGATGCGTTTGGAAGACTGTTGAGTGACATCATGCGTCAGGCAAGCCGTCGATTAGAACCCGACAGACAGGGAAACAATGAGTTTGTTGTGAGCGTGAGGGTGTCGTGGAGATCGTGTAAGGACAAAATGAAAGATTATGAACAATCTCGGAGCCAGCGAAAACGAAAATGTCTTGTTGGAACATTACGTCCCACTCAAACCCAATAGCCTTTAGTAGTCGTCTAAAAGTTTGTAATCCAATTTACTAACATAAAAAATCAGATATATTCATTCGATGTATTGAATTACACTTACCTGACAACTCATTTCAGCAACAACTAAAGCTGCTATTTGATGATTTTTATCACTTTCAAGTAATTTTTGATTCACTTTACGAAAAGCTTCAAATAGACCAGGTCCAGGTAGACAATGCACTGTGACCAGATCACACCATTCAGCAATTTTATAAACACCATGTAATAATTGATTGAAAACTGTTTGACCAATGTCAGCTAATTTTCTTTAGAAGAATAATGAGAAAAAGATGAAATCATAGAAAAATGTTAAAATTAGGATATAAATTTTGATTTATTTAAGTTTGATCACAAACTGACTACAGTTAGAGGACCATTTAAAACCAGAAAGGTACTAAACAGCTCTCTCTCTCTTCCTAGCCTGAGACTCTTCAACAGCACGCACTCACCCCCCCCCACCCAGGGATAGAATCCAAGACCTTAAGATAACAAGGAAAGCAAGTTGACCACTCAATCAATCCAATGACTAATGGATTCTAGCCTGTGTCAAAAGTTATTTAGTTTTAATTTGCAGGGATTTGACTGCTGATAGGAATTCACCATCAGCTGACATTGGTTAGAAAAGCATTGGGAGACCCGGGAGCGCTGGACGGCTGTTTAGTCCTAGTTCGGGAGTCTTCAGCAGTACAGACCCGACCGAAAGCTGCTACCTTGACGTGGTGGTCGGGCTTGAACACCGCAATGACCTAATCAAGCTATACTGGCTGAGACTTATGTCTCTTGAGGTTCTACCATGCCAGGCAGGTTGTTTGGATAGCGGTTAAACAAAAAGCAGCTACCTCATCCAATACCATGATCCAAACAAATTCACAAAATTTCATGCCGGATCGGCCGTGGCCCGGATTAACAACGACCGCGCTTCCTGCTGCCGTGTCACAGGGCGGGAGTGATAAGTATGCTACTGAGGCACACAAAACAACGAAGAACGAACAAAAACAGGCCGCGTGTGACCGGCCACAAGCAGTTGTCCCCTGGGCTCTGCGGTCACGCAACCAACTTCCACGGTGTGGGCAGCCGGGAAGTAACAATCGCCCTCACAATCCAAAACGCACACAAAACCTCTCTAATCCTCACTTATCTTTGTCTTCATCTTCATCTCTATTACCTTACCTTCCCCCAGTGATGCAACTCCTCTACTTGATGGCTCCTCACTCCCTCTTCACTCTGTGTCCACTAAAAACGACGAAAGCCAAAAAACCACCACGGATAGTCTCCTAAAGCCACGCCACCAATTTCATATAGGAGCATTTAATGTAAGGACACTTTGCCAAATAGGACAACAAGCATCACTAGCTAAGACCCTGGCATCTCGAGCCATTGATGTATGTTGTGTTTCAGAAACACGCATACAAGACCCAAGTGTGGTTATTCACCTAACCCCACCTGGCCAACAGGATGAATCTTCAAAATTCACCTTGAGGGTGTCAGGAGATGCCACAGCTAGTTCACGGGGATTAGCTGGCGTAGGGATAGCTCTGAGTACTAGGGCAGAAAAGACATTGCTTGACTGGATCCCAGTAGATAGCCGAATGTGTGCTGTCCGTCTGAACGGATCAGTAAGAAGGAGAAAGGACTGCACTACTCGCCGATGCCTTTTCGTAATCTCCGCCTACGCCCCCACTGACTGCAGTTCGGATGAAACGAAGGATGAGTTCTACCAAAAGCTGTCTAGTTTGGTGAGAAAGGCTAAACGCTCAGATATAGTCGTTCTAGCTGGTGACTTCAACGCTCAAGTAGGGAAATTGTGTCAATCTGAGAAGGATGTCGGTGGCACCTATGGAGTTCCGTGCCAGCGAACCGACAACGGTGACCGTCTCCTACAGTTCTGTTCAGATAATCATTTGTTTCTTGTAAGCACTAACTTTAAACACAAGGAGAGACACTGTTTAACCTGGCGACCCCCATCATCAAACCAACGCTGGACACAAATAGACCACATAGCAATAAGCTATCGTTGGCGTGGGTCGGTAGGAGATTGTCGCTCCTTCTGGAACACGTGTGTAGATACCGATCATGCACTGGTCCGGGCTCGTGTGTGCTTACGACTGAACGGACGTAGGAAACAGCTGGCGGTAAAACCATTACGCCCCCAGCTCGATCAGGAAACTAAATCCCTATTTGAGGAAGAACTAGCTAAACGCATATCTGAATCCGACAGCTGTGCTCACCCTGGAGAAGCCTGGAAGAATATTCAGTCAGCTATAGATACAGCTGTAAAAGCTGTGAATAAGACAAATCCAAAGGTGAGTAAAAACCACTGGATTTCGACTGCCTCATCCGAACTGATAGATGCTAGAAGACTTATTCCGGCGAGCTCCGAATTCAATGAGGAGCGAAAGCTGCACAAAAGGAAACTTACTAAAAGTCTCCGCAAGGACCGTGAACAGTGGTGGGTGACAAAGGCGAAAGAGATGGAAAAAGCATTGGCGATAGGCAACACTAGGCAACTCTTTAGACTCATCACAGAATCGGGCGGGAAAAGGCAATTCATAAGTGAGACTATTTCTGAGAAAAATGGCTCCTTAATTAGCTCTCAGGATAGACGCCTTGAACGCTGGAAAGAACACTTTGAGGAACAATTTAACTTGCCTACAGCCACACTGAACCTCCCCGCCATCCACCACGTACCCGAATGGGATATAGACACTGGTCCGCCGTCTGTAGGTGAGGTTACAAAAGCTATCAGTAATTTGAAACGAGGCAAAGCGGCAGGACCCGACGGAATTATTCCGGAGGTGTTTAAATATGGGGGTGACATACTAGTTTGTAGATTAACTGAGGTACTAGGCAAAGTCTGGGAATCAGAGACAGTACCATCAGACTGGGGTAAGTCACTCATTATACCGATATTCAAGAAGGGAAACAAGTCCTCGTGTGATAATCATAGGGGGATCAGCCTAACGAACATAGTCTCTAAAATCCTAGGCTCAGTAATCATGCATAGACTAAGCAGAACTCGGGAGGAACAGACAAGGGAAAATCAAGCAGGCTTTAGACCAGGTAGAGGGTGCATAGATCATATCTTCACTCTTCGACAGATTCTAGAACATAGACACACTTTTCGGCGTCCAACAATTGTCATATTTCTTGACTTGAAGGCGGCCTTCGACTCCGTGGACCGAAAAGTACTATGGCAATGTCTGACTGTGAAGGGAGTGCCAAGAAAGTACATTGCACTAATCAAGGCACTCTATTCAAACTCACGTAGTCGTGTAAGGGCTTATGGGGAATTGTCATCTGAATTAGTAACAACCAGTGGTGTCCGACAGGGATGTCCACTTTCCCCATTTCTGTTTAACTTCATCATAGATATGCTAATGGAAGTATCCTTAACTGAACGTAGTGACTTAGGAATCGACTTGTTACCAGGGAATAATCTAATGGACTTAGAATATGCAGATGACATAGTCCTGTTAGGGGAGGATGCTGACAAAATGCAGAGTCTTCTGAACACCTTGAGCAGCAATCTTCGTATGTTTGGCATGCGATTCGCCCCTGCAAAATGTAAGATGCTGCTACAGGACTGGACGACGTCAACCCCTAACTTAGTGATAGGGAGTGAAGTGATAGAACATGTTGACCACTTCACCTACTTGGGAAGTTGTATTAGCACCAACGGACTGATTGGCGATGAAATCTCAGCACGGATCCGAAAAGCTCGAGCTGCTTTCGCTGACTTACACCATCTCTGGCGTAGGCGTGACATCCGGTTATCAACCAAGGGACGTGTGTACTGCTCATCAGTTCGCTCCGTCCTTCTCTATGGCTCTGAAACATGGCCAATACGCGTTGAAGACATGAAAAGGTTGACTGCTTTCGATCATAGATGTCTGCGATCTCTGTCTCACGTTAGGTGGTTTCACAAGATAAGTAATGTTGACGTTAGGCGTAGAGTGTTGGGCAAAGAGGGAAAATCAATCGACGAGGTTATAAAGTTACATAGACTAAGATGGCTAGGTCACGTGGTGCGCATGCCTAACCACCGCCTCCCCCGACGGGCATTGCTAGCTGATATAGGTTCAGGTTGGAAAAGAGCCAGTGGTGGCCAAACAAAAACATGGCATCAATCCATGAAATCCTTGACAGTTAAACTGAGTCAGGTAGGGAGATGCAGACTCCCGGGTTGGGGCCCTCGGGACTCTAGGAATCAATGGCTGGAGACAATAGGTGACATGGCTCAAAATCGTTGTCAATGGCGCAGATGTATTCAATCTCTGTAATCTTTCATATTCCTTTCTACCATTACCCATTCTGTTTCACTCTTATATTTGTCAAACTCTATTAATTCTCTCCACTCATCTTCTTGTCTACCTCTGTGTGCTATTTGGAACGTGGCAACTCGAACTGCTGCACTTCGGTGCCAAGTTCTATGTTGAATCCAGACAGACAGACAGCAGTACAGAAGGTCGGGTGTGAGGAGAAATACTCGCCAGTAATGACATTGGCTAGTGGTTGCACTATGTCGTAAATTGGCAGAAGTTTGAATTTAAGGGCTGGTCATTGGATCTGGTCCCAGTGGTTTAATGATCTACGAGCTCGCCTCGTAACCGGAACGTTATGGATTCGAACCCTGGCGGAGGGCTCGTACTGATGAAGGGTATCGAGCCGAGGGGAAACAGCTGCGCAGTACTCAGGTTTTCCAACGGCTCTCTAACTGATGTCAGCTCATGATGAAATCCTATTTAAGTAGATTTTTAGTTCCGGTTAATTGGTTGCATTGAACCAAACTAATCGAATTCTGTTGACATGTCGTCTATTAATACGTATGCTTCGAAGATATTTTGAGAAAAGCATGATGTTATTTAGTCGTTAATGTGGTTGGGAGATGAATCCAGCATATGAGTTTCATTCTTTATTGGATTCGTCATCTGGATGTACCTGGATTCCCTAGCATGTGGCGGCGTAAGTTTAGAAAAACAATTATCACACTCAGCTTTCAACACAAACTGGTAAAGTTAAAAAATATATATATGGAAAAATATGGAAAATTACGTGATCTTGTAGTATGATTAGAGAAAAAAGAAACTTTACTATGAGATGAGAGTCGGTGGTTTAGTGGCAGGATGCTAGCCAACGACGCAAAAGGTCCGGAATTAGAATTCTAGTCAGCGCACTCCTAAACCTCGTTCAGTTTACTACTAGCCCAAAGTAAACACTTCCTTTTCTTCGTTTCTCTGCGTTCTGAGTATAAGATGGGATCTGAAGATTTAGCTTTGGAGTTTCAGTAACGTGGATGTTTTCACAGGATAGGGTTGATAGCCACACACCCAACCTTCAGTCTTTACCAGATAAGCGAGGTTTCTGAGTGCGTCAGCAAGGGATTAAAACCGGACTACTTCTATATATATATATATATTTATATATGTGCGGTAGGTGAGCATTCGACTATTGAACCAACGACGTATCTTCACCTCAACATTTCATATAACTGTAGATAAAAGACTACAGTGCTGCCTAGGTATTTAAACAAGTATTATCCAGGGATGATTCAAAATTTATTTTATTTATTTATTTATTTATTTTATTACAGCTTGATTCCACACCGTACTTTTGGTACAGGTGAGGAATTTCCAGCATGTGATAGTGGAAGCCCAAATTTTGCGGGCCGACCATAGATATCCGGTGTGTGTCGGCAGAGGATCGAACTCCGAACCATGTGATTAATCGGCGAGTGTCCTAACCACTGTGGAACCGACGCACTACTGTAAAGGTCAATGTAAAACAACAATAGTTTCAAAATCAAAGAAGTCAATAGTTATAAAACAGTAAAGCATTATTCCTAACGTAAGGACAGTTAAGCCTATTGATTTGACTTTTCTTGGCTGCCTGTTTGACACCTGGACTACCCTTCTGTGCATCTACATATTGCATCTAATACATCATGTTTTCATTCTTACTTCTAACAAAATATGATCACAAATCGTATCAAATACAGTAATGCATTCATTAAACGTTTCAAACCATATGACTTTCATGCATCTAATAAAACTAACAGAAAATATCACGGTGGTTGGCAACGTGCTCTTAAACAGACACCTTTATATCGCACAACTATTCCTGTTATTGTCATTTCAAACTGCCGTTCACTTCCCAACAAAATTATGTATCTCCAGTCTCTCTTGTCATCTGATACTTATCACAATATGGCGATAGTTGCATTACAAGAAACGTGGCTCCATGAACTTTATGATGACAACCTGGTTTCCCTAAATGGTTTTACATTGTTTAGACTTGTCCTGAAAATTCCACACTGTACCGCTAGTACTGTTTCTGGAATAAAGCAAATAATTATTATTAAGTGAATTAACCATAAACACCTTGATACAAATACTTATTACCACCTTAACACGTATATTTTCTTTAACACGTTTGCATAGCTTATATTCCCCAGATGTGAGGGCAGTGAGTAAGAATGCTTTAAATGAAGATAAAAAACGCGATTCAAAAAGTTATCATTTCAAGAGCTGAGTGAGATCAGTCTTTTTTTCGTTATCTTTGGGTCTTCGTGGAATATAGGACTTCAAACTTCAGCTTCGTTGGGGTTGCTGCTATTTACAGGGTCAAGTTGCTAGCATCACACCTCCTAACCTCCCCTCTTCCTCTGGTTTACTACTGGTTAAAGTTTGGAAGTTTATTGGCCAGGAATCGAACCGTGTCACTTATAGTGTATTTCAATCTGGATAACTGAAAAAATACCACAGACAAAACAGGGGACATTTTCTAAAAAGAAACACTGAATTTCACAATTACACTACAACAAATCAAAAATCCCGATTTTCTTTTCTTTTCCAACTAACCTGTCTTCAACAATCAGGAAACCATGTTTGCTGGACAAATCACACAGACCTTTAATTATCATTTCAGGATTTTCAATAGAATGTAAAATGTCTAAGTGTAATTTAACAGCACAAATTTCCGATCCAATCTGATCTGTCAATTTGAGTAATTCATATGGACTGGAGGTATCAACAGCTACGCATAGACGTGATTCTTTCAATTTGATTATCTGATTCAATCGATTTAATTGGTTAGAATGAAATTTCAATTCTATAGGTACCTAAAACAAAAAAGAGGATAAAAATTATCATATATGGATAAAAAGACGGGCCTACTTAAAAACTAAAACTGTTGTCCCTCACATAGGCATATGAAATCCAACGTATGTATTGCGCAGCAGTTCGTTCCGTCTTTCTTTATGGTGTGTGAGACCTGACCACTGAAAGTGGAAGACCTGAAGAGGCTAGTTGTTTTCGACTACAGGTGTTACATTTTATCCTTCGTATTAATTTATAATATGGTGAGTGACATCGAGGTTAGGCGTAGAATGTAAGGTAAGGGAGGATAAGTCAATCAATGAGATTGTGAAGCCACATTGACTGAGATGGCTAGGACATGTGTTACGCATGCCAAACAATCGGCTTTCTCGTCGAACAACGTTAGCTGGTTGGCATTGGATTAGTCCGGATAGAGTAAGATGTGGTCAAATAAAACACAGCATCAACACACCATGAAGTCTTTGACTGATGATTTGAGCTACATAGAGAGGTGTAGACTATTGGATTGAAATCCTTGTTCATCATATCGCTCAAAATCGTCCACGTTCGCACAGATCCATTCAATCTCCGTAATCTCTCAGATTCATTATATTCTCCTGTCTCTCCATGTAACCATTCTTTCTACTACTCATTTCTTCCCCATTACAGTTCTCATGAACTTTCTTTTCCTTACCTTTATGTGCTCTATATGGAATGTGGTAACATGAACTTCTGAACTTATGTGGAAAGTTCTATGTTAAAACTCAGTGAGTCAATCGATTCATAATATCCCTCAGCTAACTAAACTACATTTTTCTACATGCCTAAGGTCAACAAAAAATAATTTCAATTGAATTTTTTAGATTTTCCCGTCGATTGATTGAACCGAAGTGCTCGGTCTCAGGTTGACATGTCGGCTTCTTGTGAAGATGCTTCGACGATGTCTGGGCATTTAATTAGTGGATTGTTACTAGCAGTGGAATCCAGGGTGCACATTTTGAGCCTCGGTGGGAACATCATTACTCATTGACTGGGGAACGCAGGTACATCCAGCTGACGAGTCCCAAATAGGACAAAATGCACTTTATCCTGGATTCCACTGCTAGTCACCATCCACAAATTAAATTCTAATTACATGCCCAAACATCGTCGGAGCATCTGCACAAGAAGCCGACATGTCAACCTGAGACCGAGTACTTCGGTCCAATCAATCGACGGGAAAATCTAAAAATACAATTAAAATTAATATGACCCGTTTCACAACAGGTGGCTCTCGTTGCCCAAGTGGTTTAATTGATACGCTGTGGCATTCGAAAATATGGGAACTGGGTTCGAGACTCGGTGGGAACATCGTCACTAATTGACTGGGAAATGCAGGTACATACAGATGACGAGTACCAAATAGGGCGAAACGCGCATCCTAGATTCCACTGCTAGTCACCATTCACCAATTAAACAATAACTTCGTCAATCTGATCGATGAAGAAAGATGCAGCAACAGGCGGGTAGTAGTACTTAATTATCAACAGAGAAATTGTTGATCAAACACAAACATGATACTCGGCATGATCACCAAAATTTGCGCCAAGCAAATTAATATTGACAATACAAGAAGAACAAAATGAATAGCTAAGAGTTGGAGAATAATACGCGAAACACAATAATTCTCATTAATTGTGTACACAGGAATGTGCGTTACTTCATAGTCCCATGGAAAGCAGAATGAACAAGGCGGATGCAGCATGATCACGACTCAGTTAGGTTGTGAATTATATTCAGTAATGTCGCAAGCTGGTTCAGTTTCATCATCTCTGAGACGCCACATAAAGAGGTATGATGCATTAAGAGAAGCTAATCTAACTAAACCTATCTTTATCCACACAACCTAACCTCTTGTTTCGGCCTGACTACCTCTTTGCTTTTACACCTACTCCACCAAAATAGAGAGAGGTGAACAGTATGGAAGCTGCAGGAATGACATCTGTAATAAAGTCGAGCTCAAGCCACAGAGACTGGTCTACAAGGATGGCACTATGTGGTGAAAGACAAACTTCACCTTCTTTAGAAACTCACTCCTACAGACACACCAACATGTGGTCAATACCACACACTCATTTGGAGACTCTCTTTTCAAACTCTGATACACTTTGACGTCACGCTTAGCTTGCTGTTTAGTATGGTGATTAGGACTTCAATAAAGTCATCAGCAGACAATTTCTGAATTCTGCCTCCACCTGATCAATGATTCTTAGGCATATCTTTCCTACCACATTTTTTTGCATAATGTAATAGGCCTATTCACAGATTATTTTCATAATCAAATCCTTTTTTTAAAATCCCAGTAATCAAAACTCAGTCGACCGAGAGTAAATCAAAACGCATCTATCTAATAAGCACTGCATTAATTCTGACGAATTGCAAGTACCATACCATGGATATACACGATGAGAATAATATAACCCTTTTTTTCTTCTTATTCCTTTGGGCTCTCAGTGGAACATAAGCCTTCAAGCTAGAGGCTTGAAGTTTCGGTAGTAGTGGTGTTTATTTTTACGGGATGGGGTTGCTAGTCGCCTCATGCCCAACCTTCGCTCTTTACCAGTCTTATCACTGACTGGCTTAGCGAGATAATGAAGAGGTGCATCGGCCAAGGATTGAACTCCGGACTACCTGGGTGGTCGACGAGCATTCTACCGCTATGCCACCGACTCACAAAAAGTTATTTCGGGTAAAACAACACACAAATTCGGTTGAAAGACAGTTTAAGCTATAATAATGTGTCAATAGAAGAACACATGCATCAGCCAAAGAAAAAAAAGCACAGCAAAAGTGCATCAAATTACCTCAGGTGCCGGAGAACTACGAATAAACTGAATAGATTCATTCAACTGTTCTGAAGTAATACAATTTTCTTGAAATAATATACTTAACAATTCAGTCAAGGTGAATAAACTGGAATTTAAAAAAAGGTTAACTAGATTGAGTATTGGTAACAAAATACTGCTTTATTTTTACAAAAGAAGAACAGAACTCATTGATTGTTAGACAAAATGAATACATTTCAGAAGAATTCAAAGCAAAACAGGACAAAATTCTAAATGTCTGTAAAAAGAAATGCAATCACTTTGTTCGAATGACCGACGAAATAGATCTTCAACGTCAAAACTCAATGACACATTATTAGTAGGTGGATAACGTTTTGACCACAATTTATTACTCATAGTCACACTGTAACGGTAGAAGACGAGAGACTTGGTAAAGAAATGTTTATCTGTAATTTAGTATCTCTATATAACCGAATTATGTACACCTTATCTTCAGTGCACCATTTGCTACTTCTGGTCTTCATATTGTGGTTCTTTGTGTTCTTTTCCCATCTCCCAGGTATCTTCACAACGCTGCATCATTTGCCTTCTCTGACATCAAATCTATATCGCTGCTGTTTGATGTTTTTATTGATTTTAAGCTGCTGTTTTCCAGGCCGGCTATGAAGCAGTCTGCCAAAAGTGGGCCAAGGGGAGAGCCCATTACAATCCCATCTTTCTGTCTATAGATAACGTCGTGGAATGTAAATTGTACATGGAGTGTGCATCTTAATAACAAGTCTTTCAGATATGAGGTTGGTATTCCGATACTTAGATTTGTGTCATCCATATATTTGCAGAGAAAACAAATTGTATCTGTGAGCGTCACATTCGTAAATAGAGATTCTACGTCCAGTGATAACATTCGATTGCCGTTTACACTCAAGTCTTTTATGAACTCAATAAATTCAAAAGTATCTCGGAGACAGTACTTACAGAGTTTTCGTCTCACAGGCTCTAGCATTTCGGACAACCATTTGGCAATCTGATGGTACGATGATCCCTCCATGTCTAGAATTGGTCGAAGTGGCAGACCTGCTTTCTGAACCTTTGGTAGACGGTAGAGTCGAGGGATAATTGATCCTGTTAGTCTCAAACATTCAAATAGGTCATCAGTTATGAAGCAGTCGTTCTCTATTCTCCTAAAAACATATGTCAGTTGCTGTTCCATCTGTCGTCTCTTATTCCTCTCATTGTCTGGTTTTGAAAATTTATTATCATTAGAGATTAGAGCCGTCAATTTATCGATATACACACCTCTGTCCATAAGGATCACTCCTAAGTCTTTTTGTCTGGACATGTAATGACTGGATCTTTGTTGTTTCGCAAGTTTTTAAGCTGCTGTTTGTGTTCTTTTTATGCCGATGAACCTCTCTTTATAAGCTACTGATAGATGTTATCAGTAGTACAGACCACAGTATAGTTTTCTGTCACAATGCCCAAATCCCACTCCTGCATTATCAGAGATGCTGATGAATTTGGCAGGCTGGTCAGAGTAAATGAGGCTGATTATTGAAGCTGAGGCACAAAAACTAAGTTTCAGGAGGATTCGAACTATGAGACTGTGGAATATAAATATTCAGGGTGTAATAACATACCTGAAGTCAATTGTTCATAGAATTAGAAATGAAAGCCAGGCATTAATAAAGTGTAAATCTAAAATATGTAGTTGACAGAATGTTTAACCATCACTTAGTGACGAATAGATTATTTATTATTATTATTTTCTTTAATTCCTAGAGGAACATAGGGCTTCAGCCACAGGTCTCCATTGCCTTCGATTTTCTGCCAACGTTTTCACCTGGCTCCAAGTCTGCTCAAATGCTTCCATCTCCTCCTCAAAAGACCCCCTCCAAGTCACCCTTCCACTGACGACCAACTCGCCGCTTCCCTTTCGGGTTCCACTCGAGCAATGACTTGTCCAGTTGTGTCACTTGATGCTTTCTTCAGAGTATGGCCAATCCATCTCCATTTCTTCCTGCCTATTTGTTGCACAATCGGTTCCTGCTGGGTTGGTTCGCTCATTGACAGAGATCCCTGTTGCTGATCTTTTCTGGCCGGCCATCTGATCTTGAAAAGCATTGAGCGAAGACAACTGTTAATGAAAGTCTGTAGTTTGTTTGAGGTGCTGTTGATGAAGCGCCAAGTCTCTGATCCGTATAGTAGTACTGACTTGACCTTGACGCGCTTTTCGATTACTAAGCTACATTCACGTAGTTACATAAAACTCTTGTTTCTGTGGAATTTCTTGCAACGAAGTTGCGGAAATTATTGTAATTATTTGCCTTTCAAACAGTGAATCTGTGGATATAATCTTGTTGACGAATAGATTATCAATCTCACTTACAGTATAAAATCGGATTTATTTTCCAACATACAAAATTTCACATTTTCATTAGTTTTATACCAACCCCAGTTAAACAACATTCCAATGACATTATTTATGACGTTGTTAATGTGTGCTTTAACAATGACATTATTTATTGTCTTCCATAATGTTGAATAGTTTAGCGGCATGTCACAAAAAGGTTCTCAGCATGCTTCGATTTAATCGGAACTTGAAACTAAAACAGACAATATCTTTAAGTGTGTCTATCACCAACGCTCGCATAAACGACACGTTCTTCATCTTAGATCACATAGGCACATTCCATTGTTCTTCTCACCACTCACTCATATAAGCTAAAATTACAGGATCTATTGACGTTACCACTTCAACAGATTTAAAATTTCCTCAACTTCAGTTTTGGTAATGATCTGACTTCAGGGAGTCTGTCTGTCTGTTTTCGACATAGAACTTTGCACAAATGTGCACCAGTTCAAGTCGCCACATTCCGTGTAGCACGCGAAGCAAGAGAAGAAAGTACAAGAAAAGCATAATAGAAACAGTGAGCAGAGGTGTGAGACAAAGGAGTAATAAAGAAATACAAAACAATTTCATTGAAGATCATAAGTCACAGGGAGTGGATGCATCTGCGCCACTGAGAACGATTTTGAGCCATGTCACCAATTGTTTCCAACCATAGATTTTTACCGTCCCGAGGACCCCAGCCTGGAAGTCTACACCTTTCTACGTGGCTAAGACCAACTGTTGTGGATTTCATTGACTGATGCCAAGTTTTTGTTTGACCGCCGCTAGCTTTTTTCCAAAAAAAAAAAAAGCTAGCGGCGGTCAGGGAGTATACTGGGCAGCTGCTTCGCGTCATTGTTTGAGATTCTCCAACAATACGCAGCCCACCACCAGAGATCGAACCATCAGGATACAAGGTTAACTTGCATACCATTCAGCCATTGAAAATGTTACAAGATTGGTGAGAGCCTGTACCTGCACTCACTCTTACGGGTGAACCGCTTGAAGTTGTTGATAAGTTTGTGTATCTGGGTAGTTGTGTGAGTGCTGGCGGAGGGGTAACGGATGAGATTTCCAAAAATATAATGAAGGCTAGGGTGGCATACATCAATTTCAGCCACCTTTGGCGCCGTCGCGATGTTAGCCCGGCTGTCAAAGGTCGGATATACAAAGCTTCGGTGGGGGCTGTCTTGCTCTACGCCTGTGAAACCTGGCTTCTCCGAGCTGAAGATGTGGGGCGATCATCGCTGTCTCCGCAGGATTGCCTGCGTTCGATGGATGGCATCATCGCGTGAGTAATTCTAAGTTTCGGCGGCGTGTGTTTGAACACAGTGGAGATAACCATTCATTGAGTATCATCATCTGGAAACACCGGCTCCGGTGGCTTGGACATGTGCTCCGAATGTCACCCCAGAGGCTTCCGTACAGGTCTCAGTTTGCTAGCCCTGGGACGGGATGTAAAAGGCGGAGAGGTAGTCAGTCCATGACGTGGAGTCGTGAGATGAAGGATGTTTGTGCTAGATTAGCATCGGTTGGTGCATCACGACTCCCTGGTTGGGGTCCGCGAGATAGCTCAAATCGCTGGTTCGAAACGTTATCGGATATGGCCAAGAATCATAATCAATGGCGAACGTGTTGCAATTTCCTTCTTTATTACCCTTCCCGATGATAGTTGACGAATACTGTTTGAACCTGTTAAGCATGACTGTTTTCTTTCCAGATGAAGTTCTTTATCCGTTTTCTACATATATTTTTACTTTTGATATATGTTGTTTTATTATTATTGTGTGGCGCATCTTTCTTGGTGCCATAATGTACCAAGTATTTTTCTGCGTTTAAATAAATAATTGGGACGGAATCCAATGGCCGGTTCATGAATTTTAACTTCTGCCAATTCGCGATATATAAAGCGACCACCACCAGTCAATATCATCGCTGAGAATACATCCTGACAACTAACTTGGCGGGGCCTGCAAAACACGACTTCCCAATATAACTGCAGGCAATATCATCTTGTAGCCAATCACTATTAGTGAGCATTTGATTAATTTTCAAGTGTTGGTTTTCAGGGATTTGGTCGACTTCATAGGTGCATACCATTGAAGAGGCCCAAAGAAGGAGGAAAACTGGTTCTTAATAGTTCCCTCACTGAAATTAATTCATGAACAAAACTGAGATCAATTCAATTCCTGTAAACCAAAGCCTGATAATTTGATAATGTATATGTGTAAGCTACGTTATAGGCGTAGGCATTTGTGCTTCTCTACTAGAGCGTGCTAAAGATTGTATCACTTGATGAAAAAACAATTAAAAATTTACAGTAGGGAGTGTCTGAAATCTGACATACTGATATTTTAACATAATCATAGACTTCGCCGATGATATATGTTTGATTTCCCACAAACTGGAAAATATGCAAATGAAAAGCAACAAGTCAGCAGAAGAAGGGGTCCGGGGTTCGATCCCCGGCCGACGAACTCCTTTACCTCGCTAAGCCAGAAAAAATGCTGGTAAAGAGGAAAGGTTGGGTATGAGGCTAGAAACCCCATCCCGTGGAATAAACACTGCTACAGAAACTTCAAGCCACTAGCTCGAAGCCCTATGTTCCACTGGGAACGTGAAGGAAAAATTATTATTATTTTACCAGCAGAAGAAGGACGCAGAGAAGATAGAACTTCAGGTGAACATAGAGAAAATAGAGGTGATGAAGATTCCTGGCCAACAGCCATAGCAACAGCAACAATAACAGATAACAATCGGCATAAATGGGAGAAATCTGGAAGAAACATCCTCCTTTACCTACCCGAAAAGTATCGTTTCAACAACATGCGGACGAACCTGACGAGGATATCAAAGGGAGGATGGAGAGAGTAAGATAAGTTTTCATTACTCTCAAGTCTGTGTGGAGGTCAACAACACTCAGCATGAAAATGAAAATAAGATACGGATTTTCAACTCCGATATGAAGTCAGTCAGTGCTACTATACGGATCAGAGACTTGGCACTTCATAAACAGCACCTCAAACAAACTACAGACTTCCATTAACAGTTGTCTTAGCTCAATGCTTTTCAAGATCAGATGGCCGGCCAGAAAAGATCAGCAACAGGGATCTCTGTCAATGAGCGAACCAACCCAGCAGGAACCGATTGTGAAACAAATAGGCAGGAAGAAATGGAGATGGATTGGCCATACTCTGAAGAAAGCATCAAGTGACACAACTGGACAAGTCATTGCTCGAGTGGAACCCGAAAGGGAAGCGGCGAGTTGGTCGTCAGTGGAAGGGTGACTTGGAGGGGGTCTTTTGAGGAGGAGATGAAAGCATGTCGGCAGACTTCAAGCTAGGTGAACCGAACGCAATGGAGATGCGCGGCTGAAGCCCTATGTTCCTCTAGGAATTAAAGGACACTAGGTAGTAATATCATTAGTCCAGTGCTAAAATCTACCAGTTAAGTTTGCAATATGGTCCCTATTATAGATGGTTTGCCACTCTGAATTGATGTTAGACTGCTAAAGGCATTCGGAAGGAAGCCTTCCACCCAGGTAAATTGTTTGTTGCCATTCAACAATCAACAGGGCATATTTGCAGTCTTGAAGGAATTGATATCCCACCAGATATCCAAATCTGAGTCACCACCTATTGCTGCAATCAAAGAGGTTATCATTCACAGAAGCTATTTGAGCTCGTGATTGACTCTCCTGTAAGACTGTATTGAACACTAGACACCAACAGAGAATCAAAACAATACTCCTGAATGTAAACCTTCCAATACATCAAGTTTCAACTGTAATGACATTACTACTTATAAGTAGGCATGGAATAAAAGCAATCAAAAGTATGAATAGTTTTCAAGTTCCGAGAACAAACAGAAACAGAAATATAATGATTAATATTTCCTTTTAAAAAGGTAAAGGTAAGTACCTGGAAACTTTGATATTTTCCTTTTTTAAATAAATAGGTCCACCTTGCTCACGATCAATTATAATGACTGCATGTTCAATGCACATACCAGACTCTCGAAGTAGCTGTACAATTTGAATAATAAAGCACAATGAATTAAAATTCACTAGATTACTTAAACAAATTATCGTTAATATTTAAATAAATAGATAAATAAAAAATCAATTTCTGTCGAGTTCATGTTGCCAACAACAACAACAACAAAAATGGCAGTGATGCGAAGTAAGCAAATAATGCTGATGATAAAGTATCGCCTCTGATAAACTCATTTCTACATATTCACTAATTGATCAGTTCAATTCACTTCGTGTTTCAAACAAAGGTCAAGTGTATGTGAGGCAGTAGTCTGCTGCTTGTAATAACAAGTTTGTGAGACTCTTATTATACTGTTATTATTCTCACGGGTTCTGAGTGGAACATACAGAGAGCTTCAACAGAACATCTCCACTTTATCTATCCTGTTCTCCGTTGTCCTCTCTAGCTGGGTCCACGAATGCCCATAAGGTCTTCATATCCTTCTCACACGATCTCCTTCATGTCGGCCTTGTGATATATAGAACTAATTTTCTATATATCATTTTTACATATGTTTTTATCTCATTCACTACATTTATTGATCTATGACCTAATTTTCCCTCACACCACTTATGATCTTTGAAATCCTATTGGTTGTTCACTGTTTAGTCTATTAATAACATTAATGCATCTCAAAGTTACTTGAACAAACATATACGCAGGCCTTTTTGACTGTTGTTTTGAGACAGTGAAAGTGAAGGCCTCTTATCAACGTCTACTCTTTTCTTCTATCTTTACAGCCCGCGGTGTTATGGTTATTGTTGTTGTCGTGCTCTTTGGTTGAGCAAAAGATTCTTGGCTAGTTCATTCCCAGAGTTCTTTTATGATTATCTTTTCTAATCTGACTTCCAGTATCTAGCTCATGAAGATAGCTGCAGTAGCCAGGTTGAAATCCAAGTCTGTCTTTGAAGCACACACATGGAAACACTGATTAAGTTGACATTAGTGTTAACTGTTTTGATCTTGTTCCTTATTCTGAATGAAGCAGATTTTCACACTGATTTCAGAGCAATAAAAGTTTTTCTCGCTTTCCCACTTCAATATTGACTACCTTTGACCTCCTTATCCGTGTCACCTATAATTAAAACGAAGCTGTCTAGATAAGTGATAAACAGGTTGCCGTATGTTCCAGTTCACCACAATCAGGAATATATCATGAATGATATCGGGCAGTCTTGTAATACTCCAGTCTTCAATTCAAACGTTTCGTTTAGCTTTCCTCTTGTGAATCATTTGGTATGTGACATCACATAACTGTTGAATAGGGTTTATAAAGGTTTGAGGCCCTGAGTAGAGTTTCGAAACAGCTGACAGGTGGTTACTTCACAGTCGATGTTGTCGAAAACCTTTCTAAAGTCAATCACGGTGTAGTAAAGAGTTGATCGCTAATCTATTCTGTGTCTGATGATGATGCGTAGCATTACAATTCGGTCCTTAAACTAACTGCTTTTTCCTGAATCTAACTTGTTCCACAACGAAAAATTCAGCGAGGCGTTTGGAGTAAACACAGGAGTCAGACAAGGGTGCTTGTTATCACCAATGATATTCCTAATCGTGGTGGACTGGATTACGCGTCAAACAGTGGGAAACGAGAAGACAGGAATATCCTGGACGGACGACGGAAGAACCTAGAAGACCTGGATTTCGCGCGTGAATGGTTTATGTTTGATGTCACACAAAATCGAAGACTTACAAGCGAAAACTGACAAACCGGTCGAAGAAGCAGCCAGTGAAGACAAGACTCCAGGTGAACATAGACAAGACGGAGATTATGAAAATAACCAACCAACAACAACAACAACAACAGCAACATCCAGCGCCAATCACCATCCACGGGAGGGATTTGAAAGAGGTTACTTCATTCACTTATCATCTAGGGAGCATTTTCTCAACTAAAGGAAGTCGGAATGGACGAGGATTTCAAATCGAGTGAGAATCGGGAAGGCGAGAAACACATTCATCAACCTGAAACTAATCTGGAAATCTTCGTCACTCAGCCACCGTCAACAACAAAATCCAGTCGGATTTTCAATACAAACGTCAAGTCAGTCAGTTCTTCTATACGAATGGATCAGAAACTTGACGGGCGCTTCACAAAGAATATTTCCAACAGCCTGTTGCAGACCTTCATCAACCAACAACTGTCTTCCCTGGATCTATACTGAAGATCAGATGGCCGGGTCGGAAAGAATCACCAACAAGAAACGATGTCAGTGAACAAACAAAACAAGAACCAATCGCCAACCAACAGATATGCAGGAGATGGAATGGAGACGGATTGGACACTCGCTGAGGAGGCCACCGTTGGGTGACATCGCGCACGCATCAGGCCATTGCTCGAGTGTAACTAGGCGGAAAGGGAAGCGACGAGTGGGACGTCAATGCAAGGGTGACATGGAGGAGATGGTGTGAAGAGGAGTTGAAACAGTATGGACTAACGTGGATGCAGGTGAAAAGTACAGCAGAAGGAAGACAGAAGTGGCAAGTGGAGACGTGCAGTTGAAGCCCTATGTTCCACTGGGGACTCAAGGGGACAATAATAATAACTTGTTCCAGGCGGAGTTTTGCATCCAGAGCAACATTTAAACTCTCCAGGATGATGCGCCTTAGACAATAAAATAATCACCAGTAAATACATTTGAAGAACTAACAAATAAAATTTAAAAAACAGCTTTGCAGTCACAATCTATGTTATAAACTGAATAAAGTAGGATGAACAACCGACCAGAGAACAAAAAAGGGCAATAAAAGCATTCATTACCTTAGCCACTGAAGATACACTACTTCCTGATGTTACAACATCTTCGATAATGACACAACTTTGTCCATTTTTCCATAATCCTTCAATCATTTGTTTAGTTCCATACGATTTACTTTCTTTACGACACATAACCATTGGAATATTTTCACGAACAGAGATACACTAATAGTTAACGAAGATAAATATAACACTTTTTAACGAATAAAATGAAAGAGCCGTAAATGATTTTGATATTAGTTAAGGAGCTTTTGGTTATCTTTTAGTTTATTATTATTAAAACGTAGACCTTTTTAAGAAGCAGTTCCACCCTTCAATTTCAACGAGCCTCTCCTGTTTCAGATCTAACTAATACAAAATCTCTGAATAAACTGCAAAAATATACTTTACTATATGAAGATTCAAAGTATTAAATGTTAAAAAGAAACATTTAGCGAGAAGTCGTGCAACTGAGGGTTTGTGTTTGTTAACACATGTGAACAACTAAATTGGCTGAGGTTAGAATTCATGGGTCATTGGATCGGGTGCCAGTGGCTCAATGGTCTACGAGCTCGCTGGCCTTGTAACCATAAGGTCCTGGGTTCAAACCCTGACAGTGGGTGAGTGCTGCTGAACAGCTCCAAACTAGGACGGAACAGCTGTCCAGTACTCTCAGGTTTTCCACTGGTTCTCTAAGTGATGTCAGCTCATGATGAAATCCTCCAACCAACCAAACAAATCCCCACAAAACCAATACTTGAAAAATATAAACGTTTACTTTGATAACGAAATATCCTTTTCCTCATAACACAATTTCCCAAGGCACATATTACACCTTTACAGTGTGGAAACCATCAATGCGTAAACTAACTGAATTCTATTCTTACGCAAAATACAACCTGAATGCGTTGATGGCTCAGGTGCCCATCAGACATACACATGTTCCAAGTTCAATTCCCAGCCAAGGCACTCACTCCTAAACTTCGCCTAGACGGGCGTAAGTCCAGAGAAGAGGGAAGGTTGATTGTGAGGCTGGCAATCTTACCCCATAACACCACAAGCGCTAGTGAAAATTCAAAGCTTGAAGTTTGAAGCCCCCTATGTTTCACTCGGAACACAAAGGAGTTAGAAAAAAAGGATACAACCTGAGAGAAGCACACATTTAAAGACATCAATATATTGTTTTCGAAGTTGAATTTAAAGGTTTGATTGGTCTACCATATACAAGTGGTGTGAATATAACAACAAATAGTGCAACTGCATTGCTTAGTACGTTTTCTTTTATATATCACGCCATAAGTAAAAGTTAGAGCTCACGATGTTGCATGGTTAGACTATATAGCACACTAATTTAAAAATAAGGTGTGAAACAGGAATCTAGTAGTTTGTTAGTGAAGTGTCAAAGGTTATATGATGTACAGTTCAAAATCGCCTTCCACTTAATACACGAAATTGTCTTTTATGTTACAGTTATATAAAATAACTATGACCAAATATGTGAATGATTGAAGATCTCAACTTACTGCTGCTATAGGCAAAGCTGAATACGGTACACCACAAATAAGATCTACTGGTTTGTAAGTTTCCTTATCGTGCAGTAAAGTAATTAAAGCCTGTGCTACTTCATCCTGGAAAGTAAGAGAAAAGTAAACGTGCATATAATCTTGGCAGATTAGACCACTAATAATAGACATCAATCGAAGAATCACAAAACACAAAGCAGAACGGAACAATTATTTCATCCTCCTTTGGATTTCTTTAGCACTGAACACTTAGAAACCCCACCCCACCAGATAAACAAACTGGAACCTTTGGGTTACAAGTTGAACTCATTAATCATTAAGTCATAAAGTTACAGGCCCTCCTTCCCTACTAACTAAGGTTACGAAAGTTGTCACTAGTCTGAAACGAGGCGAAGCTGCTGGAGCTAATGACACCAGAGGTGTTTAAGGACAACGGAGACAGTGTACTGTCTGCGCTAATTAAGGTATTCGGAATCAGAGGAAGTCCCTGATTATCCCCATATACAAGAATGAAGACAAGTCTTCCTGTGATAATCGCAGGAGGATTAGCTTTACCAAAAGAGTATCTAAAGTTCTAGGCCCAATAATCATGCATAGACTAAGCGATTCTCAGGAGGAAACAACATGAGAGAACCAAGTAGGCTTTAGACCAGAAAGACGGCAGTCGTTGACGAAATTTCAGCGCGGATACAAAAAGCTCATTTGGCATATGCCAAGTTATGCCTTTTTTGGCCTAGTAGACGTGATATCCGACTGTCGACCAAAAGGGGTGTGTACTGCTTAGAAGTCCGCTCCATCCTCCTTTTTGTCTGTGAGACATGGCCGTCGAAAATGGAAGACATAAAGAACCCAGATAGCCGTCTTTGATCATATTTGTCTGCGTTCTATCCCTCGTATTAGGTGGTAATAATAGGATGAGTAATATTGACGTTAGGCTTCAGTCGAAAGAGTGCTAGGTAAGGAGGGAAATCGATCGATGAGGTTGTGAAGATACATCAATTAAGATGGTTAGGACATGCGTTATACATGCCTTCCTAGTCATCGCCTCCCTCTTTGGAATCTGCCTTTACTTTCTTCTCTTGTTTTCAGTGCCACATGAAGTGCGGCAACTCGAACTGCTGAACACCTGTGCAAAGTTCTGTGTTGAAACCAGTTAGTCAGTCAGTAGTCATTAGGTCGAAATAACCTATGAACCACTTTACCTATCGATTAACATACACATTCGCCGCAAACTAAATCGATCAACTCAATCACTGAACAAACGACGGACTCAGTTCGCAGCTTGAAGGTTCCAGATTCGATATCTAACATAGTCGTGGATGCGCACTGTTGAAGAAGCTCAAACCACAACTACATAACCGTCCAGTCTAATGTTTCTTGGTTTTCGAATTCTGCACACTGAAACCGATCAAAATCCTTACAAAACATAAAAGCCAACCATTTAGATGAGATTAAAAGACAAACCAAATCAGAAAATAGAAGTTGTTCAGCAAAATGATTTAAATCCGGAGGAGAAGAGGGTTTAAATGTGTCTAAAATTTAATTTGCAATAATTGTCCTAACTATTCCCAAAACTGCTATAGGATAAGGACAATTTCAAAGGGAGAATCTAACTTACCATAAACTTCGGAGATGAAATAAGAACTCGTAGATCCACATAGATGGGTGAAATTACACCAGATTTAAGTTTATATTTCCCGAATTTCACAACACCCATATCAAAGAAAGTAAGTGCAATATGGCGTTTCTCTACAGTCATTATTTCTATAAGAGCAAAAATAGGACAGATAGGTCAAATGATATTATCACTAAATAGTAGGTGATGAATATTCCTTTCCAAAAATCTTAGCAGCATATAAAATAAAACAGAAATATGAAAAGTTGCACATTTGAAATCCCCAAAGAGAAAGTCCTGCTTAGTCTGGCTTTTTTTCACTTATTTGTGCTTTACAACCGAATCTATAATGAATGTTCAAGCAACCCAGTAACCATGTAACAACAGAAGACTAGGGCCAGGAAACAGATCGTTTATCAAGGAAATCAACACATATTTATAGATTTTCATGTACATTATTATAGCTTATTCAAGCAAACAAACACAGTCTTCTGATTGATTGCTTCTCACAGAAAGTTAACCTTGCATCTCTTTGTGGCTGTTTCCTGAATGTCAGACCATATATATGTTAACTGTATCCGCCTACGCAAAGTGTGGTGAGGTTGTTTATTGGAACTAGTCTTTGTTCATATCTTCTCACGACCAATATTTGGGACATACACATTGAAGTAAAATACTGTCTACCACTTTTGGCTAGCAGCCACCTCTCACCGCAACCACTGTCTGACTGCTAGAGATCACATGAGACGGTTTCCAAAACTAACTACAAATTAAACGGCATGTTGCTAGGTCATTCACATTCATTAGAATAAATCCGTTCAAATACTGGTTCAGTCATCCATCATCCAATGTCTTTTGAACGACTTGACTACATATCGTGTACTGTCAATCTGTCTATTTCTAGCCTAATCACACTACCTTCATAAAACCACTAACACTGTAGTTTTATATGATCAATAAGACAGGTACCTAAGAAAATAACATAGCTACTAAAAGCAAACAGCTGCTTATATCTCAGATAAAAAATCTTAACAATGTATCGAACGCCTGCTTAAAATTATTAATTAATACGTATATATCTATACAGCTTGTACGCTGTCGTACAACGCATACTATGGTATGTGAACTCAAAGAACAGACATCATTTCATCTACCAAGTCTATCAGCACCACCAACCTTATATATATATATATATATATATATATATATATATATAAAGAGAGAGAGAGACGAAGGGATCATTCCCACGCTTCAATATTTCACTTCGCGATTGTAGTACGAATATTTTTTCAAAAAATGATCACCGATCTACCCAATTCAGTGGTAATCATGACTGGAAAGTAAGCGCCATGTTGTTAGGCTGCTCTATTCACATACATTAGAATGAATGCATCCAAATGCTAGCTAGTTCACTTATAATCCTACGTATTTTGAATAACTTAGCAACATGCCAGTTACTTCCATTGGTATTCACAAGACATGTAGTTAATTTTACAGGCGGCATTAATCTCTACTTTTGATGTGAAACGGTTACGTTTATACATTATGTCTTCTTATAAGCTGTTTTTACACATAGTTATCATAGTGCATAAATGTGGGATCTATGCATGATATGACCACAGCTGAAAATGCTAATGATGATTGTAGTTCAGTTGAAAAATCGTATATGCGTGAATGGGTAGTAGTCAACGTTATAACTAGAATTTAAGTATCGCTGCTAAGTACAGCGATTAGGTATTGATTAAAGGACAATTATGCCCATTCATTCGATAGTTTGTGTCGGTGGCACAACGGTTAGGACGCTCGCTGACCATGCACATGGTCCGGTGTTCGATCCTCGGCTGACTCACTCCTCCCTTACCTCGCTAAGCCAGTAAGAGAACTGGCAAAGCGGTCAAGGTTGGGCATGAGGCTAGCAACCCCATCCTCTAAAAATGAAAACTGCTACAGAAACTTCAAGCCTCTAGCTTGAAACCCTATGCTCCACTGCGAACGTGAAGGGATTAAAAAAAAATAAATTGTGTTTTCAAGAACGGTTTCTTTTGTGTATCTTGAGCTGATTTGTCTTCAAAAACCAAGAAAATATACTTCATGTGCATAGATTTCCTGCATGTCTACAACTTAGTTGATAGGACCGATTCAAGAATTTCAAGTTTGGTCACGGATTGACGTTAGTTAGGGAACCATTTGAAAAAAAATAAGTACTGAAGAGGTGCTTCGCCCTCATTTCGGACTCTTCAACAGTAGTACATACCCATCACACCACCGGGGATATATATCTCTTACATCAATCATCATGGAACAAACCTGAAACCAATCAAATTAGAACAAGCTAACTCCTGGAAATTTGTGAGTTACATTCATTTACTGTTAGTAATTCACCATAAATTTAAGTGATACGACCACCATTGTCACCATGATCACAAACTTTCCTAATTACTAATAATAATTGCAATTATAAACTTTATAAAAACCCAACATTAACTAAAACAAACTTATAATTGATAAAGTATAAAACTTGCGCATTATGGTAGAGTATATAACTCCATTATGGATAAGATTTTATTTTGATAAATCACACAGTGTTGTTATACAGTACATCAGTTACTGATGACCACGTTTCGAGCACAAATTATCGCCACTCATAATTATATCAAGTCACTACTCACACAACTTTTTCCTTTCATTTATATACATGCGTGTGTGGAATTGACTAGATATTAAAATAAAAGTCAACATAGGATAATGTACATTCAGAAATAATAATAATAATTTGAGTGTCATTGATCAATTACAATCAGATGGGAAATAAGACGAGTGTTTTTATTTTATTTTTTTTTTTGATTACAGCTTGATTCCACACCGTATTTTTGATACAAGTATGGAATTTTCAGCATGGATATCGGTAGCCCAAATTTCGCAGGCCGACCATAGATATCAGGTGTGCGTCGGCGTGGGCTCGAACCTCGGACCATGTGCATGGTCGGCGAGAGTCCTGACCACTGTGCCACCGACGCACACATAATAATAAGTAACTTGTTAGAATGTTGTGATGTGCTTGAATTGAAATAGAATTTTAGGATTATTTATTATCCTCCTCTGATTTGACTTGACTGGTGGTAATAATATCTTCCATATTTCCGGTATTTGCATTGAGTCATTTCTGTTGCATGTGTTGTGGTGGGTGTAGACTCCATGAACCAGGATTCAGCAATCAATCTCTCTCTCTCCACCTACATAGATTACTTCTTAGGATCTTAACCCTCTCACACCCACCCTATTGTGTGGTTGTGTGTTAATGCATGTAGTGCAATCGTTGAGCTTTTCTCTAAATTATTCTGGATGTCAACTATCCTTACCTTAGCTAAATTCTTATGTTGCGACAATCTGATTGCCGCCGCCCGATCTACTAGTTTGACTTATACAGTTGACCTCACTCACAGTCATTGCAGGGTATTTTTTAAATGATATTATTTTGTCTAATTGGGTTTACCGGGTCTTTTAGCCTACAGAGCTTGTCTCTGAGTGAGTTTGTAGGTTTAAATGCCACCCTAATTCCTATTTTATTCAGAATCCTACGTAGTGTCTCAGACGTCCCCTCCTTATATGGTATAACAGTAGATGACTTATATTCTCCCTTATTTATGTTATTATTACTAGTTTCACAATTATTTTTATTTGACTTTTGGCTTTTTTCCATCTTCCTAATGAATGTTATAGGATTTCAATTCAAGCAAATCACAACATTCTAACTAGTTATTTATTATGACTATAAAAACACTCGTCTTATTTCCCATCTGATTGTAATTGATCAATGACACTCATATTATTGTTATTATTATTTCTGAATGTACATTATCCTATGTTGATTTTTATTTAAATATCTAGTCAATTCCACACATGTATATAAATGAAGGAAAAAAGTTGTGCGAGTAGTGACTTGATATGATTATGAGTGGCAATAATTTGTGCTCGAAACGTGGTTATCAATTAATATTGCTGTGTAACACTGTGTGATTTATCAAAATAAAATCTTATCCATAATGGAGTTAAAACAAACTTAGACTTCCAGTTTAGTAGATGAGAGCAGGACACTAAAAACTTCTAATGAGGTACAATAGGAGATGAAACATCGACAGCATTCATGTATTCAGGTCAAACAGAAATACATACACGAGAGTAGCTTTAAGTTTACTCTAAATTTGATCACGAATTGATTTCATTCAAAGGGCGATTGATTGAAAACCAGGGAGTAATGAACAGTTATCAATATCGTTGTTCGAGACTTTTAAACAGTAGTAACTCACCCATGGACTCGACTACCACCGGGGTCAAGTTCAGCACTTTCAGATGATAAGACGAACTCGTTCGCTGTTCCATAACTGGGATGGAATAAAATGGCCAGTCCATCAACCCTAACTACTAACAATTCGCGATTATATATATATATATATATATATATATAGCGTCACCGCTAGCCAATGTCATCTGTGTGAGTATTTGTCGTCACACGTAACTTGATGAACCTCTTCTCTGAGGTCGTGACTTCTCACCAAAAACTACAGACGACTTCATCCTACAGTCAGTCAGTCACACTACTAGTGAGCACTAGATCAATTTTCAAAAGTTGGTTAGCAGGAATCTGATTGTTTCTAAGTGTCATCACGAACTGATTTCAGCAGCTATGACAGTCGGCAAAAAAAGCAACCCAATCGTTAGAATGCATAGAAATCAAACACACACACACACGCATGCGAACATATACACATACATACACAAACACACACAAACATAGACACAAAAGAATCAATAAAATTAAGAGTAACTCTAAATTTATTCAGGGAATAATATTAGTATAAATAATAATAATATTTTCTCAAAAAATAAAATTTAAAATAAAAAAACTAACAGTAAGGAACGTTTAACTTTCTGTCTTATTTACAAGAAATTATATTTTAAGAAAGGAGAAAGGATATTGATAAATCTGGCAAAAACACGTTTTTTCTAGTAAAATAAAAAGAGAGAGAAAACAAACTCATTTACAAAATGTACATAACTTCTCGAAGAAGACGAAACGGAAGAATATAGACATGGTTGTTAAGGATCTGTATATACACACACACACGTAGGGCGTACAGTTGTAGATGAATTAACCTGTATGCTGATAGGAGAAATTCTCTAGACCTGATTCAAAATCATGTAGCTCTTCAATTAACTCAGGTCTTAGTATCATATCATTATGTTGATAAGGTAAGAAAGTTGTCTCAAAACGCCCAGCTCTTTCTCTTTGTTTCGACAACTGAATCCATCGTGTTAAATTTGTGATTAGACAAAAATAATCTGGTAAACAGTCTGTATATGACTGGAAATTTTGATCACCATGTCGCCAAAGTAATCCGATTAAAGCACGTGTTAATTGTCCAAAGGCAATTAAGACGGTTTTTTGTTGAAAGAGTAAGTCAACAACTACTGATGATGACGAGGAGACATTCTCAAGCCGTTGTTGGTGTAGTTGTGGATAATAGAATGGATCGGTTAAAACACTTCTAGGTATTGTCATCAATGTTTTCAGGGGTGAATCAGACAAATGAACTAGTGTTGAATAGACCTATAGATAATAAACAGTCAAAAAAAATTAAGTATACGTGGAATTAGAAATGATTTGAAATAATTCTTTTTTGGTTGTTTAGTTGAGGGTAGTTAGTTAGCAATGGAGTATGTGTTATCTGGATGTTCCCACATCACTATGAATGATATTGTTTCCCCCGCCCTCTTTCTATTCAAACCTCAAACCCAGTATCCATTGTTTCCAACGCCAAAACGACTAGATTATCCGAAGTAACACTCTTCAGTTTGATACATTAAAATGATTTTAAAGGATGAGACACCATACACCACGGAGGATAAGTAGCAGTCTTCGAACTTCCTCTTGGAATGCTCTCATATGGCCACACTTCATAGCCTCTGCTGCCACTGTCTTCACATCACGATGTCTGTGTTCCTCATAAAAATGAATGGGTGAATGCAAACATCTGGCGCTTGCGACCAGACTGGTGGACACTTAGGTCTCTTAGGGGAGCAAAAAAACCCTGATTCCAAACCTATGGTGTACAACTCAAGAATCCGAAAGGATCAAATCGTGTGTGAACCTGTTACGGTCACCAGCATCCATGAGAGCTTAGTTCCTGACGCTGTTCACTGCTGTGTGGAAAAGACTTCAAGTCAAAGACTCAGAGAGTAGTCCCTTAAGACCTGACTCGGTTTGGGCGTCCAACTAGGTATACACCAGCGCTAGCACAAATTATGTGCGATGCATCTCTCTCTTGGTGCCCATAGTGTATGTACCAGGTTAGTGTTTTAAAACATAATAGTAATTTAAAGGATGAGGATTTAAAATAAAAGAGTAAAATTCGTATCGTGAAATAATTGAAACTAGACAAAGAATCTACAGGACGCTTCTTAGAATCCAGTCACCAGAGAAGTCTTTATATCGATTTTGATTTCCGGTCAATTTTAATTAAACTGCTTTGAATTTAACAATTAAACATGGATGGTTCGATAACATTATCAGCACCAGCAGTTTTAAAAAGCAAAAATCTCCATTATCTCTCGATTATTTTAAGGCAGTCCTAACTACAAGACGTTTTTTTTCCTATCGTTAGACTTGATATTGTGCAGGTGTATACGGTAAACGATCAAGTAAAACCCCAGTCACAAACAATGTCAGGTAATTTGCTATACTAAACACAAGTGTGCCTATGGTTCATGGATAGAATGCTCACCAGCCACACAAGTGATCAAGGTTTAGTTTCCGCCCGACACACTCTTAAAATCCACCTAGCCAATAGGCAAGCCGCGGAAGAGTGGGACAGTTGGTCATGAGACTGGCAACCCTAACCCATAAATAATAGCAACATCAATGCTCCTGAAACTTCAAAGACTAAAGCTTGAAACCCTGTGTTCTACTGAGAACACATAGGGATGGAAAAAATAACCACAAAAGTTCTGTATATCTATCTATCTGCAACCAACAGGTTGCAGACTTTTATAAACACCTGACACCTTCGTTGGCTGGCTCCATACTAAAGATCAAAAATGGCCGGCTAGCAAGAAGGAATTAGCAACAAGAAATTATGGCTGGCGACAAACTAACGAAGTGCCTATCGTCCAACAAATATGTAGGAGAAAATGGAGATAGGTTAGGCAAACGTTGGGGAGACCGTGTAATGATATCGTGCGCAATGCAGGCCATTGCTCGATTGGAATCCCAATGGGAAGCGACAAGGGTGCGAGGGTGACGTGGAGAAGATGAGAGATTATGGGCAATTGTGGAGGCAGCTAAAGAGGGCGGCAAAAAACAGAATAAAGTGGAGATGTTCCACTCGGAACCCAAGGGGATAATAATAATAATAATAATCTGTCTTATGTGTACTACAATTTTTTGTATCAGTCAATTCTGTTAACGGAATGCAAACACTTACACACACACAAACACACACACAAAACGATACACTGTTCACTTACTTTAGCTTTACAACAACAACTATCAGACCAGACTACATCATCACGTTGAGTTAGCACAGCGATCATTCCAGAAAACTTTAAAAAAAGGTGGAGATGAAGGTGAGACAATATTGTGGTATTACATAAACAAAAAATATGTAGAAATTATTCACAGTCTTATATAGCATATCAGATAGACAAGAAGCATAGTGAATGTAACTCATTGTTACTTGACAATTTTTATTCTTTCCTTCACGTTCCCAGTGGAACATAGGGCTTCAAGCTAGTGACTTGAAGTTTCTGTAGCAGTGTTTATTTTTACAGGATAGGGTTGCTAACCTCATGCCTAACCTTTCCTCTTTACCAGCATTATTTCTGGCTTAGCGAGATAAGGGAGGAGTTCGTCGGCCGGGGATCAAACCCCGGACTATGTGTATGGTCGGCGAGAGTCTTAACCGCTGTGCCACCGACGCACACTTGACTAGTAAGCACATGAAATCAATAGTCTCTATGCACAGAAACTTATCTCCAAACAGACAGATTAGCTAAACGTTCTGAAAAATGTGATCTGTGTGCAAACAAAAAAAGACATTTTTTCCTTTGATAAACTTCAATGAACCGTGGAAAATACCCATCAGTAGATATATTGATGAGATAAGAACAAAAAAACTCAGCAAAAAGATCTCTTTTCGGCAATTTCATCCTCAAAAGTTGTACAAATCGCATTTTTTCATGCTAAAGTCCACATAGTAAAACTTCTAGTACAATGAAATTTCGGTTGCGTAAGTGAAACAATAGTAACAGGTTCCAATGAAGTGTTGTTGACTTGGACAAATGACACAGTCATTACTGGATTTCAACACAGACTCTATTACGATGAACTGCTGTCATCTAGTAGTGTGCAATACGACAAAAGTGAGCTATCACTTTTCAAGATAAGCGTAGCATTACTTAATGTGATCCTTCATTCCAAGTTTGACGACGAACTTCAGTTAAAGAACCATTAAAAATCAGAGTTCTTGAATTCCATTAAGGGTGCACCTATGAAAAGTATCCAGGTAAGACTAAACAAGTTGTTCAATGCTTCATGATTTTCAATAATTTTTCCAATTAATATTGATTTTCATGAACAAATCAAAAGACAATTCAGAGAAAGAAGTTTTTTATCAACGAAATTATCTTCAGAGGCTGTATATTCGTATTTATATTTGATTGGTCGGAGGACTTCATCATGAGCTGACATCAGTTAGAGAACCACTGAAAAACCTGGGAGTACTGGAGAGCTGTTTCGTTTCAGTTTGGAAATCTTCATCAGTATGCACCCACCACCAGGGTTCGAACCCAGGACCTCCTGGTTACAAGGCAAGCTCGTAGACCATTGAGCCACTGGGACCCGATCCAATGGCCCATGAATTCTAACTTCTGCCAATTCACGACAGAGCACGACCATTTCGCAATGTCTTCTTCACACTAAATACCTGCACAACCAATAACTTTTAATTGTCTAAGGTCATGCACCTACTATTCTTCAATCTGATCACAATAAATATGGAAACAAAATAAGTGCATAAGTAATCAAACAAATAATAAAACTGTAACTTCAGCTATAAAACTACCCATGAGAAGCATAATAAGGCGACCAAGTAACAAAGAATTACCAACATAAAATACTTTTCACTGAACAATTTTAATCGCGCAAATAGTCTCTGTCCCTAAAACTGGAAATAGCAAGGACGTAAAATTCAGGCCCATTGCCATTACTTCCCCGTTTCTAAAGCTGATGGAAAAACTAGTACTTCTTAAACTTAAACCCTCCCTTAGAATTTTTGAAGACCCCAAACAATTTGCATATTAACATTGCAGGAGCACTTTAGACGTTGCAGCCGCCTTACACAACAATATCGTCTCATCATTAGATAAATGCGCCAAACACGTCCGCTGCACGTTTCTCGACTTCACTTCTGCTTTTGACTCTGTACCTAGTTGTCTCTAGCCAAATAAGCTCTCAATGACACAAACTGAGTCCTGGGTCACAAACTGGTTGCATTCCTACTTCTCAAACAGAATGCAGTATACCGTATACAAAGCCAAATCCTCCTCTGCTGTGCTCACTGAAACTGGTGTCCCCCAAGGTGCTGTACTCTCCCCACCTCTCCTTTCTTTCTTTCTACATGACTTACCATCCTTAAATGACATTAATTTTGTTAAATATGCTGACGATCTGACTGTATTTTTGCCTATCAAATGTCAAAGTGACTGCTCTAAACTAAATGGCTTCTTATTAGAAATCAGCCAGTGGTCCAAGGAAAACGGTCTCACCTTAAACCCCTCCAAATGCCAAACAGTTAATTTCACCTTTAGGCACAAATCTGACCTAAACAAACTGGTTAGCACTCACGAGATGTGCAACATAAATGGCACTGAAATTGAAACCAAGTCGGAAATTAAATACCTAGGCGTCATTCTTTCTACTGATCTTTCCTGGTCGTCTCATATCTTCATGATTTCTAAAAAAATATTCCGTCTTACCTTCTACATCGAGAAGTTAAGATATTCTGAAATAACCCAAACCTTACTCCTACAATTCGTTAACTCTTGCATTCTGACTATTATTCTATATTGTTCCCCCTTAGTTTTTCCAGGGCTACTGAAGAAAGACTATACCTTATTACGCAGGATGTTAAAGGTTGTCAGCAGGGTAACCTACGTGCCACTTAACCGGCTTGTTAACATTCTGGTCGATAGGCACTTGGACTAATGTGAAAAATGGGCGAAATCCATTTTATCTAACTTACACTACCCTCTTCATTCACAACTCTCCCCTTGTATCTCGTCAGGCAAAACCAGAAGCCTATATAGAAAACTATATGCTCGAACTAGCAAGTACAAAAACTCAAATATACCCTACTTGGCTCGTGTTCTGTGCGATAAAGAAAGCATTAGGCGTGAAACTGATAACTCATTAAATAGTCAGTAGAACAACTGGATCTCGTCTTTCCAACTCATATCATTTATAGGTACGTTTTCTTTCCTCTTTTTCTGTTATTTGCTGCTTTGTCTCTCTCTTCCTTATAAACTCTATTTAAAACATTCTTCGTCTTTCTTTCATACTCTGTATATCTCGACCTTTTTGTTATCGATTACGCCAGTAAATATGCTACCATCTACTTTCCTAACACCTTCAAGCTTTCTGTTTAATTTTGGCTTTGCTACCAACATGCCAATATGTTGTTGTCAAAACTAACCGAGATTACCCTTAATCTATGTAGGATTTTATTTATTGTTAATGTACTAACTGGATGTAATAATGTAGTGAAATGCTGAGAATTCCATTCTGTATCACAAGTACTGTTTTGGAATAAAGCAAATTATTATTATTATTATTGCACAATTTTCAGAAACAACCATCCGGTGTTTAGACCACCTTGATCTGGCTAGAAGGCATTACTGGTTGATGTATCCAGCTACTCATATGAATCAGCCAGTAGTACACATCGTTTTATGCACTGATGCTTGCTTTCTTTATTGCCACTTATAGTATCAAACAGATCTCTTAGTGTGATGCGAATAATAATAATTTCACTTTTCAAAGGAAAATGTGTGGGAAGTTTCACCTCCTCAAATTGTGTAAGTCGTCAACAGCGAAATGACTCACTGATTGCGATTTTGGTTCAAAGTATTTCCAGTTCAGCCAGGTAGTCTAGCCAGAAATCGGGTCTTTTGAAGTGATTCATTCGTATGAGTTGAGTTTGATCTAATAACACCACTGAAGAACACAACCTCGAACTAGAGGAACAGCCGTCCGGTGTTAAGATCATTTCGATCTGGCTGGTAGGCACCAATAGTTGATGATGAATAGTATCCACCTACTTACTCATTTCAACCAATCAGTAGTAGTACATAACAACACATACTGAGTTATGAAAAGTTAAAGGAGTAAACACTCACCTCGTTCAAAAGTTCAATTCTTTGCATTTCTGCACTATCATTTAATTCAACATTATAAGGGTGTGAAGAGGTTGACCGGAAGGCGGTGGTAGTGGTGCTAGTTTTAGTACAATTGATGGTAGCAGTGAATTGATCATAAAACTGACAAATCCATACACATGTTGCAAGTAGTCCACATCGTATAGATGAGCCAAATAATTTTTCTATATACTGTTGACGAATATCTAGAAGAAACAAAAAGGATATTTTAAAAGTATAATAGTTTATCTTGAAATGGCGTATATCTTTATTGATAATTATATCTTGTATTAGTAAAGAATAGTTTCAGCTAAAAAATTAGAATGACAATAAACTTGATGTTCTCCAATTAAGATAATGTTTTACTCAGTTCAAGAGATTGAATATCTTTTCGTCTTCACAACAATCAAATACAATTGGACACTAAGCGAACTAAAAGTAGGTATATTGGCGCAGAATAATCTGGATCCATTTTATTTCGTTGGTTCTCATCAGCTACGTACAACCTGAATTCTTTAATAAAATAAAAATGTACAATTTTAACAAACTTTTGTCCATTAGCAAGCATACTGTCAGAGCGTTACAGTAAAATAAGGCGTTGAGATTTACAGGGTGTCTAAAGTGTCAAGATATATATATATATATATATATATCCTGTTAGAGAGAAGTTTCTTGAAAAAATTGATTAATAGTTGTGTTGTTGGTGTGGTAACAAAAGGAAATTAGTAATAGCTACGTAATTAGATAAGAGAAGATCAACATTTTAAAATTTCGGTGCACATGAGGTCAGATGGGAAGTTGATGATGTGATACAGTGAGCAGAACTCAGAAGATAAAGGAAAATTATTTCCTGAGAGAGTCAAGCGAAAAATAAAGCGGGGGGGGGGAATAAAAAGATAAGTTAACAAAATTAGAAAACAAAGAGTTACTAAGAAGTGAGTCACCAGGGTAATTGAAGTCCAACAACGGATTCTTTTTGGACACATAAGTCAGGCTTCAATCATTTTATTGCTATAGATTCAGCAAACCTAAGAAGACTCAAGTTACTTTGTCTGTTAATTATTTTGAATGATTCTAGCACATCTACTCGATGTCCTGTGTCAATCAGGTGTTTGTTCTACCAAAAGCTGTCTAGTTTGGTGAGAAAGGCTAAACGCTCAGATATAGTCGTTCTAGCTGGTGACTTTAATGCTCAAGTAGGGAAATTGTGTCAATCTGAGAAGGTTATCGGTGGCACCTATGGAGTCCCGTGCCAGTGAACCGACAACGGTGACCGTCTCCTACTTACTACTTTACTTTACTTCGGCTATCTCCTACGGGAGGATGAGCCGGCTTCATGAACGTCTCGAATCATCGCTGCCCAGGCGCGGCAATTTGTAAGAGAGTTCATGACCGTCTCCTACAGTTCTGTTCAGATAATCATTTGTTTCTCGTAAGCACTAACTTTAAACACAAGGAGAGACACTGTTTAACCTGGCGACCCCCATCATCAAACCAACGCTGGACACAAATAGACCACATAGCAATAAGCTATCGTTGGCGTGGGTCGGTAGGAGATTGTCGCTCCTTCTGGAACACGTGTGTAGATACCGATCACGCACTGGTCCGGGCTCGTGTGTGCTTACGACTGAACGGACGTAGGAAACAGCTGGCGGTAAAACCATCACGTCCCCAGCTCGATCAGGAAACTAAATCCCTATTTGAGGAAGAACTAGCTAAACGCATATCTGAGTTCGACAGCTGTGCTCACCCTGGAGAAGCCTGGAAGAATATTCAGTCAGCTATAGATACAGCTGTAAAAGCTGTGAATAAGGCAAATCCAAAGGTGAGTAAAAACCACTGGATTTCGACTGCCTCATCCGAACTGATAGATGCTAGAAGACTTATTCCGGCGAGCTCCGAATTCAATGAGGAGCGAAAGCTGCACAAAAGGAAACTTACTAAAAGTCTCCGCAAGGACCGTGAACAGTGGTGGCTGACAAAGGCAAAAGAGATGGAAAAAGCATCGGCGATAGGCAACACTAGGCAACTCTTTAGACTCATCAGGGAAACGGGTGGGAGAAGGCAAATCATAAGTGAGACTATTTCTGAGAAAAATGGCTCCTTAATTAGCTCTCAGGATAGACGCCTTGAACGCTGGAAAGAACACTTTGAGGACAATTTAACTTGCCTACAGCCACACTGAACCTCCCCGATATCCACACACACCCGAATGGGATATAGACACTGGTCCGCCGTCTGTAAGTGAGGTCACAAAAGCTATCAGTAATTTGAAACGAGGCAAAGCGGCAGGACCCGACGGAATTATTCCGGAGGTGTTTAAATATGGGGGTGACATACTAGTTTGTAGATTAACTGAGGTACTAGGCAAAGTCTGGGAATCAGAGACAGTGCCATCAGACTGGGGTAAGTCACTTATTATACCGATATTCAAGAAGGGAAACAAGTCCTCGTGTGATAATCATAGGGGGATCAGCCTAACGAACATAGTCTCTAAAATCCTAGGCTCAGTAATCATGCATAGACTAAGCAGAACTCGGGAGGAACAGACAAGGGAAAATCAAGCAGGCTTTAGACCAGGTAGAGGGTGCATAGATCATATCTTCACTCTTCGACAGATTCTAGAACATAGACACACTTTTCGGCGTCCAACAATTGTCATATTTCTTGACTTGAAGGCGGCCTTCGACTCCGTGGATCGAAAGGTACTATGGCAATGTCTGACTGTGAAGGGAGTGCCAAGAAAGTACATTGCACTAATCAAGGCACTCTATTCAAACTCACGTAGTCGTGTAAGGGCTTATGGGGAATTGTCATCTGAATTGGTAACAACCAGTGGTGTCCGACAGGGATGTCCACTTTCCCCATTTCTGTTTAACTTCATCATAGATATGCTGATGGAAGTATCCTTAACTGAACGTAATGACTTAGGAATCGACTTGTTACCAGGGAATAGTCTTATGGACTTAGAATATGCAGATGACATAGTCCTGTTAGGGGAGGATGCTGACAAAATGCAGAGTCTTCTGAACACCTTGAGCAGCAATCTTCGTATGTTTGGCATGCGATTCGCCCCTGCAAAATGTAAGATGCTGCTACAGGACTGGACCACGTCAACCCTAACTTAGTGATAGGGAGTGAAGTGATAGAACATGTTGACCACTTCACCTATTTGGGAAGTTGTATTAGCACCAACGGACTGATTGGCGATGAAATCTCAGCACGGATCCGAAAAGCTCGAGCTGCTTTCGCTGACTTACACCATCTCTGGCGTAGGCGTGACATCCGGTTATCAACCAAGGGACGTGTGTACTGCTCATCAGTTCGCTCCGTCCTTCTCTATGGCTCTGAAACATGGCCAATACGCGTTGAAGACATGAAAAGGTTGACTGCTTTCGATCATAGATGTCTGCGATCTCTGTCTCACGTTAGGTGGTTTCACAAGGTAAGTAATGTTGACGTTAGGCGTAGAGTGTTGGGCAAAGAGGGAAAATCAATCGACGAGGCTATAAAGTTACATAGACTAAGATGGCTAGGTCACGTGCTGCGCATGCCTAACCACCGCCTCCCCCGACGGGCATTGCTAGCTGATATAGGTGAAGGTTGGAAAAGAGCCAGTGGTGGCCAAACAAAAACATGGCCTCATCAATCCATGAAATCCTTGACAGTTAAACTGAGTCAGGTAGGGAGATGCAGACTCCCGGGTTGGGGCCCTCGGGACTCTAGGAATCAATGGCTGGAGACAATAGGTGACATGGCTCAAAATCGTTGTCAATGGCGCAGATGTATTCAGTCTCTGTAATCTTTCATATTCCTTTCTACCATTACCCATTCTGTTTCACTCTTATACTTGTCAGACTATATTGATTCTCTTCACTCATCTTCTTGTCTACCTCTGTGTGCTATTTGGAAGGTGGCAACTCGAACTGTTGCACTTCGGTGCCAAGTTCTATGTTGAATCCAGACAGACAGATCAGGTGTTTGGCGATTGAAGAGCTTAAACAATTCGGTCCCTTTAACCGGAAGCTCCTTTACCATGGTCGCAGAATCTGATGTAGGTTCTCCCCTCTGTTCTTCCTATGTAGCTGCTCCCACAGATACATGTGAATTGGTATACACAGTTGGAGGTAACATGTGACTGATACTTGTCAATCTTTGATTGCACCAGTGAGGAGGTTGTTCGGGATGGAGAGACTAATAATATGTCGTAACGCTTTAGACACCCTGTAAATCTCAACGCCTTATTTTACTATAACGCTCTGACAGTATGCTTGCTAATGGACAAAAGTTTGTTAAAATGGTACATTTTTATTTTATTAAAGAATTCAGGTTGTACGCAGCTGATGAGAACCAACGAAATAAAATGGATCCAGATTATTATGGGCCAATGTTTCTTCTTTCTTTGTTCAAATTTATAAAAAGGGAATCATTGTATAAAAGCAGATAATTAAGAATAATAACTAAAGAAAGAAAATATAGAATGATAGTTAGCAAAGCTTATGATACTTGTAATTATTTTCTTTAAATTATTTTATTTTTTGAGTTGTGAGTGGAGCATAGGGACTTCAGGCTAGACCTATGACGTCTCAGTAGCAATGGTGCCTATTTTTACGGGGTGGCCTCAAGCTTAACCGCACCCTCTTTGTCGGGCTTACAACCGGCAAAGGGAGATAAAGGTGGGTCCGTGACCCATTGTTTGGAAGTCAAGTCCATGTCTAAAGCAATAAGTCACAGCTTTTGACGAGGATTTACTAAGTTCGTCAACTCTCTTCATCATCTTCCATAGTTTATTGATAGCATTATAACTTCTGACAAAAGAGACCTTCCTAGATGAGATAAGTAAATTGCAAAAACACTAACTTCGAAAGAGAGTAAATAATCAACTGGAAAAATACAGTTGAATGAATTTAAACAAACAAAGTGGATTTAGATGTTTAGGGTCCCAATTAAGATAGGCAAAACTTTTTGATGAAGATCTCTTTTCAGGCTACACTATTTTCTCATCGTCCCTTGCCTTCCGATTGGAACATAGGGCTTAAGGCTTGAGACATTGAAGTTTTAGCAGCAGTGATATTGCTTTTGCGGGGTGGTGGAGTTGCTAGGCTCACGTCCAACTTGCCCTGTTCTCCCGGCTTACTACCAGCTAGGTGAGGTTTATGAGTGCCTCCGCCCATTATCGAACTCCACATCAGGTGCATGGTTGACCAGCATTTTACCGCTGAATCACCGATACGCGAGTACACTACTGATGCGTGTTTTTTTGTTTTGATTCCTTTTAATTTTAAGGGGTATTCTAACTTTCTATTTCAGCAGCTATCTTCACTGTTTTAACTAAAAAAGCTTTTTTTAATTACGTGTACTTAACACTTTTACTAAAAGGAACACAATAACAGTCTTTCCTAATAGTTGAAATACTGTGGTGAGAGCTGGCTACTAGCCATAATTGGTAGACAGTAATTTACGTCGATGTTTACGTTCCCAATATTGGTCGTGAGAAAAATATTAAAAAAACTGATTCAACAACCAATCACAGCAGACTTTGCGTAGGCGGATACAGTTAACATATAGATGATCTGACATTCAAGAAACAGCGACGAAGAGATGATAAATTAACTTTCAGTGAGAAACAACCAATCAGAAGATGGTGTTTGTTTGCTTACAATAATCGATAATAATGTACATGAAAATCTATACATGTGTTGATTTCCTTAATAAGTGATCTCTGGCCTGGCCCTTGTCTTTTGTTGTTACAATACGACCGCACTCATAATTTGATCATGCATAACTCAAGAAGGCAGTTGAATTAATTGTAGACGGAAATTTAAAATATAAAAAACAAATGATTAAGGGTATTATGAGTTAGACATGACATCAATCTATGAAGCTTTATATCGTGTCAAGCTATTAGAATTAGATTAGATTAGTAAGAAACCAGTCTACCATATCAGGACGAGACTAATGTTATACACCTACCTTTCGACGATGTTGAATCTGTACTCATTTTCTCACATCCTGTATCCCACCATGATGAATCTGTACAATGTCCACCATTCCAATGCCTTTGAGATATCATATTTCTCCAGAAACGAAGAAAACTAACCAATGGTTTCAAAGTTAGGATAGGACGATTTTTGATAAAAGTACTAATGTTACTTTCAATTTTAATGAAAGGATGTTTTTTCTTAGACAAAATGCTGCTTGATTTATCATTATGGCCAAAGCATGCTTCAGAGGCTATAATAATACAACTCAATAGTTCAGGAAGCCATGGGTACTGATTGAAGCTAGAACAAAAAGTTAAATAAAAAGAATATTTTTTTATTAGAAATCAGATACAGTCACCTCTAGGTAAACAAAATAAAGAGTAACACACCGTTCAGCCTAGTCAATAGTCTCTAGGAGTATACCTAGAAGGAATATCCAGAGCGACAACACGTGTCTTAGCAGTCCCGATCGATGTAGCTTCACAATCTTATCGATTAACTTCCCTTCCTACCTAGCACTCTACGCTTAACCTCGATAATACTCACCACATTATTCCACTTGACACTAAGAGTAGACTGCAAACATCTGTAGTCAAAGTCAACTAGCCTTCTCGTATCTTCTTCCACTTTTAATGATCATGTCTCACAGACATAAAGGAGAAGAAAGCGAACTGCTGAGTAGTACACACGTCCTGCGATTGATGGTCGAATATCACATCTACACTATAGATAATGTAAGTTGGTAAATGTCAAACGAGCACTTTGTATTCGTGTTGAAATTTCGTCAGCAATCAGCAATCAAGGCTGATACAACTTCCCAAGTAAGTGAGGCGGTCAACACTCCTCACCACTTAACTCCTTATCTTCAAGCTAGGAGTCGATGTAATCCAGTCTCCTGTAGCATCTTACATTTGATAGGGGAAAATGGAATACCAAACACTAGAAGACTGCTGCTCACGGTGTTCAGAAGACTCTGCTATTTGTTGACATCTTTACCTAGTTGGACTATATCACCTACATACTGTAAGATCATCGAGATCGTTCTTTGATAGCAATGCAATCTATGAGGCGCTAAGGTCAGCTAGAGTAAATTTCATCAGTACATATATATTGAGATTAAACAAAAATGAGGACAGTGATTATTCTTGCTGGACAGCAGTGATTGTTATTACTTCAGATGATAACTCTGTGTAAGCTTTTACATAGCTATATGAGTTTGAGTAGATTTTCTTGATTAGTGCAATATACTTCCTCCGTACTCCCCCTTCACATTCAAACATTTCCACACCACCTCCTGGTCGACAGAGTAGAATGCCGCCTTTAAATGACGAAATACGGCAAATGTTGGACGTCAGTAAGTACGCCTATGTTTTAGAATCTGTCGAAGGGTGAAGATATGATAGATACACCCTCGTCCTAGTCTAAAGCCTTCTTGTTTTTTCTTGGCTTATTTTTCTCAAGTACCTCTTAGTCAATGCATATGATCACTCAACCTAGAACTTTAGATACAGTATTCGTCAAGGTAATCCCCCTATGATTATTATAGGAAGTACTTGTCTCCCTTCTTATAAACTCAGATAATCAGTGATTTACAGAACTATCTCTGATTCCCAGACATTACTTACTACCTTACCACCGTCGCTAAACACCTCCGGAGTCACTCCATGAAGTCGACAACCACAAGTTAAAACTAACTAGAACTGTTTCACACGCGGCATCATGAATTTAAAAAAAACTTCATTCGTACGATTGCTTTTTGCGTTTCTGAGCTTTCAACAGTCAGTAAAGTGTAATCGAAAGACTTTAGTTAAGGTATTTAATCCTTCTTGGTGCCATATTGTACCAAGTTTTCATGCGTTTAAATAAATAAATAAAAAGGTATTTAATCTAATAATATTATTTGCAATTACACATAATAGTTTAAACGAGCAAACGTTCATGTGAACGTTGCTTTACAGCTTCCTAACAAACTAATATGCATTTACAATGTAGAAATAAACCAACTCGTAAGTGGATATTACAAAATTTACTAATATTTTACTCACGAATTGCCCTGATCTCCTATCCCATAGACTTCTTTATCAACAGGATTATTTGGTTTGTGAATGTCAACTCGAATGAAAATTGCAAATAATGCTGCTAAATTTAAACATCCAGTTATAAGAGGTAATATTATTGACAAGGATGGGAAAACATTGTGTTTCGAAGTATTCTGTGATAATTTATGTGGTGTAGAGTCGACTGAACATGTAACCGGTGTACTGTTATCATAAATGAACTCATTTTGTACTGATGATGTTGTAATACAAACAGTTGTTGTTGATGATGATGATGATGTCAGCAGATGATTTTCTTGTTCATTCTGACTTGATGACATATACACATAAGAAAAAGACAAAAAAAAGTGAGACCAGAATTAGCATGTGAATTTTTACGATTTGCAAACCATTGGACAAAATCAATCATACTCCTTTTAGTTTTAGTTGAAATGTACTAGTTAAGTTGACCATTACAGTACTGATAGGATATTGAAGTATAAAATGAAGACCCATCCTAGAAAACTAATTGATTCGTTCATCCATGTCGAAAGACATTTATTCTGCTCAAGAAAATAAGGTGGATTACGACTCACGAATGATAAGTCACAATCTCAGTATCATTGATTCTTCTAAGCCACCAATTATATAAAAAATAATAGAATTGCACACACAGCAATATCTAGAATTTTGCTCAGAAGAAATATATAATTCAATGAAGTGGTCAAACTTTAGAGTATGACAAGCAATTCTAAACAGTTTTAACCAGACTTGAAAGCAAAGAGCCTACAGAACATTGAGATTACCCATAAAGCAATAGAAATCTACGTTAAACGACCTGTTACGGCTAAGGGTGGTTTTCCTTCCGAAATCCTATTCATATGGCTATGCATTCACAGCCTTTGCTGTCACGTAAGTTCTACTCACTGCTTTTACGCCACGGTTGGGGTGTTACTTAGGAAAGTGAAAGGGGAGCTTACAAAGACCAGAATGGTAAACAGGGAGGTGGGAAACCCTGATTCCAAACTTACAGTGTACATGAGCTTCACAATCCGAACGGATCAAATGGTATACGAACCTGTTTTTGGACACCAGCAATTATGCGAACGTAGCTATTGACACGGCTTCACTACCTTGTAGATCAGACGTTAAATCGATGGCTCGGAGTATTGTGGACTCTTAAGACAACCACCACTTGCTTAAGTCTGAGAGTCCAGGCAGTTTCTCAGCCCTCGTACACTCCATGAGATAACACTTGCATTAGAGACTATGTGTGTAGCATCTCTTGGTGCCAACACTGCACCAAATTTGTCTTTGATAATAATAATAATAATAGTTTAAACTAGTGAAACTAATGATACGACGCTATTGTACATTATCCGAAAATAAATGATCCAAGATTAGATATGAAACTGGAGTAACAGTCGAGCTTACTATACTTCACCTAAGTGTACAGAAAGGGAGGGAGCTTCATAAAAGGATCACAAAAAAATAGTTACAGAAATATGACATTTAACGATTAAAATGACGAGGATACAATAAGTCGATGATTATAAGTAAGAAAAAAAAAGCCAACTAATACTAAACTAACTTACATGAAAACATCCGCGAGCTTATTGATGAATCGACATAAAACGCTAGAAACCATTCGAATAAGGCGTTGAAATTCATTAATAATAACAAGAGTACTGTCATCATCATCATCAGCCTCCTCATCAGTTAATAAGTTATCTAATTTTGATGATAAAGGACAATATGAAGAAAGAGTTGTAACTAAATATTTTAGTTGATTAATTCCTCTTACACTCTGATCAATCATTGCTTGACGATATAATAAAAAATTGTCATTATTATTATTATTGGTTTTGGGCACATCAGTCGCTGTACTACTGGATGATTCAGAATATTCAATGTTTGAAGGACATGATTTATTTCTTTGCATTGAGATAGAGTGTTCTTTAACTTGCTTTGTAAAAGCTACACGAAAAAAAAAGGAAAGCAAGCATAGAAATTAGACAATGTGAAAAGATGAAAAGACAATCAAAATATCCACTACATTCCTACAGGAGGTCAATCGCGAGCCCGAATAGCTCAGTGGCAACGTCTCTGACTGCATAACTCACTGGGTGACGCGGATTCGAATCTCAGAAGGGACAAGAGTTCCTTCAAGCTTGCGGATACGCCTAACTGATGAGTGCCAACTAGCACGAAACCTAGGTGGAGGGCTTCTTGTGGCCGATTGTCTTCCACCATCTAATATCACCAAATGTGAAAAGATGATTTGCTGAAAGTCACTGCTACTACTGTAACAACAGAAGACAAGGGCCAGGGAGCAGAACCTTTATTAAAGAAATCAACACATATTTATATATTTTCATGTACATTATTATAGATTATTGATAGCAAAAAAGCACAGTTTTCTGATTGGTTGTTTCTCACAAAAAGTTAACCTTGCACCTCTTTGTGGCTGTTTCTTGAATGTCAGATCATCTATATGTTAACTGTATCCGCCTACGCAAAGTCTTTGTTCTCATTTTTCTCACGACCAATATTGGGGACATACAAATTGACGTAAATTACTGTCCACCAATTTTGGCTAACAGCCAGCTCTCACCACACTATTACTACTAATTAAAAGGAAGCAAACTGTATATCCCGAAGGAGGCCGTTTATTCATTCATTCATTCACAGGTGATATACACCGCTTCTTATAAATAACAAAAAGTATTTAAGGCGAGTTGGTCGTCCAAGGGTGACTTGGAGGAGGTCATGCGAGGAGGAGATGAAAGCATGTGGACAGACCTGGAGCAGGGTGAAAAAGTTGTCAGAAAACCGAAGGCAATGGAGGTGCTCAGCTGAAGCCCTATGTTCCTCTAGGAACTAAAGGATACAATAATAATAATAATTTAAGACAATTAATTAGCTGTGTGTTCAAATAGCTCTTAAAAACGCAAGATTTTATATTCCCAGAAAACGTACAAATCCAATACTCGATTACATTTACAGTAAAAAATATACATAAAACACGAAATATTTGGATGAAAGATTCTCTCAAACACATCCCTTTCGCAATAATCTACACTTGTAAGATGGCTGTAGGGCAACCGAAAGGAAATCATCCACCTAGGTTTCATGTCTGTTGGCACTCACCAGTCAACAAGGGACCCATGCCCCTTGAGCTTTGAACCGGTGTCACCCAGTGCTGCAATCATCACAGACGTTACCACTGAGTTATTCGTGCTCGCGATTGACCCCCCTACGCGGCTATTATAATGGATACTTTGATTGGATACTAGGTATAGACTGAATTTTCTGTCCGTAAAGTTGTGCAAACGGAACTGCTGCACTTTTGCACAACGTTCTAGGCTGAAAATTCGTTCAGTCGACAAGCTCTTATGTTGATAGTTCGTTCCTGTGTCTTCCGTTCATTATTAACAATACGCAATCGACAGAGTTACATAGAAAATTAGAATAATCAGAATTAGAGCAGCATGTTAAGATGAACAGATAAAATCTAACAGAATCCAAAAGTTCATATTCAAGTATTGGTTTGGAGGAATTTGGTTGATTGATTACAGGATTCCATCATGAGCTGACATTAGTTAGAGAACCATTGAAAGACCTGCAGGGAGAACTGGACAGCTGTTTCGTCCTAGTTTGGGACTCTTCAGCAGTACGCGCCCACTGGGGTTCGAACCCTGGACCTTCTGGTTACAAGGCGAGCTCGCCGAAGACATTGGCTAGCGGTTGCGCTATGTCGTGAATTGGCAGAAATTTGAATTCAAGGACCATTGGATTGGGTCCCGGTGGCTCAATGGTCATAGAATGCACCAAAACAGAAACTACTCAAGTCCAATAATTAATTGTCACATCAAATAAATATACTCCGATGATATACCCTTTCAAACAGTTTTCAGACATTAAAAGTTATTTTTTCAAGGGTTTCCCTTTTTTTCTCTTTTTTGTGTTCCCAGTGGAACATATGAGGCTTTGAGTTTTGAATTTTCAGTGGTGATGGCTTTGTTTTTACGGGATAGGGTTGTTAGCCCCACACACCTGACCACCTATCCTCTCTCCTGAACTTGCTACCACCACCAGCCAGCCAGGTGAGGTTTAGGAGCACGTCGACGAGGAATCGAACCCCGAACCTCCTGCGTGGTTGGCCAACACTTTACCACCGCTGAACTAAAAGGTTCCACATAGTTCTTATCATTCTTATATGCTCATATTATCATAACTTGAACACTATTTTTATAAGCCTTACTTTAGCAGGACAATATCAAACACAAAATGTGTTATTTCTGGGTAGAATGTAATACAAAGTAAGATGTGAAATGTCAGCAAACGGTTAAATGAGTTTTTTTAATACACCATATCACGATAAGAATGAGAACAAATTATGAATAAACATTTGCATAATAGGAATTACTACAATGTTATACCATATAAGTCAAGATGAAAATTAATTTAATTCGTCTCTTGCTTGATCATGCAGGATGATTCTTAGAAATCTGATGGTACACATGCCAAACTATTATTATTATTTCCTTCAATTTCTGTCTGTCTGTCTGTTTTCGACATAGAACTTTGCACAAATGTGCGGAAGTTCAAGTCGCCACATTCCGTGTAGCACGCGAAGCAAGAGAAGAAAGTAAAAGAAAAGCATAATAGAAACAGTGAGCAGAGGTGTGAGACAGAGGAGTAATAACGAAGAACAAAACAGTTTCATTGGAGATCATAAGTCACAAGGAGTGGATGCATCTGCGCCACTGAGAACGATTTTGAGCCATGTCACCAATTGTTTCCAACCATAGATTTTTACCGTCCCGAGGACCCCAGCCTGGAAGTCTACACCTTTCTACGTGGCTTAGACCAACTGTTGTGGATTTCATTGACTGATGCCAAGTTTTTGTTTGACCGCCGCTAGCTTTTTTCCAGACTGACCCTATATCCGCTAACATAGCTCGTCGAGGGAGGCGATGGCTTGGCATACGTAACACATGTCCTAACCATCTCAGTCTTTGTAGCTTCACGACTTCGTCGATTGATTTCCCCTGTTTACCTAGAACTCTACGCCTAACCTCCATGTTGCTCACCTTATTATGCCACTTCAATTTCAGCCGCGCGTCTCCACTGCATTCAGTTCTCTGCTAACGTTTTCACCCCGCTCCAAGTCTGCCCACATGCTTTCATCTCCTCTTCACATGACCTCCCCCGAGTCACCCCACCCTGTCACTGACGACCAACCCGCCGCTTCCCTTTCGGGTTCCACTCCAGTAATGGCTTGTCTAGTGATGTCACTTGATGGTTTCCTCAGCGTATCGCCAATCCATCCCCATTTTTTCCTGCCTATTTGTTTCACAATCCGTTCCTGGTTGGTTTGCTCCTTGACAGAGATCCCTATTGCTGATCTTTTCTGGCCAGGCATCTGATCTTGAGTATTGAGCGAATACAATTGTTAATGAAGGTCTGTACTTGTGCGTCGGTGGCACAGTGGTTAGGACTCTCGCCGACCATGCACATGGTCCGGGGTTCGAGCCCACACCGGCGCACACCTGATATCTATGGTCGGCCTGCATAATTTGGGCTACCGATATCCATGCTGAAAATTCCATACTTGTACCAAAAATACGGTGTGGAATCAAGCTGTAAATCAAAAATAAAAAAATACTTTGTTTGAGATGCTCTTTATGATGCGCTGGCCAACTCTCTGATCCGTATAGTAGCACTGACTTCACATTGGAGTTGAAAATCCGGATCTTATTTTTGATGCTGAGTTCTGCTGACCCTCACACACACTTAAGAGTAATGAAAGCTTGTCTTGCTTTCCCGATTCTTGCTTTCATATCCTCGTCAGTTCCGTCCGCCTGCAGTTGAAACGATGCTTCCCAGGTAGGTAGGTAAAGGAGTTTGTTTCTTTCAGGTTCCTCCCATTTATGCCAATTGCTGTTGCTGTTGACAAGAAATCTTCATCACCTCTGTTTTATCTATGTTCACCTGAAGTCCAATTTTCTCTAGATGCTTCTTCTGCCAGCTTTTTGCTTTCCACTTGCATATCTTCCAGTTTGTGTGAAATCAGACATATATCATCGGCGAAGTCCAGATCCTCCAAGTTTTTCGTTTGGGTCCATTTTATGCCTGTTTCCTCATTGCCCGCTGTCAGTCGCATTATCCAATCTACTGAAATCAGGAAAATCATCGGCGATAGTAGGCAGCCTTGTCTTACTCCCGTCTTTACTTCGAAGGATTCCGTAAGTTTCCCGTTGTGGATTACTTGGCATGCACATGCCAAACTATACATCCAATGTAACTAACTCCACAGGAGCAGTCAAACTTGTAGATAAGCAAAGAGAAGGCGGTCTTTCCTTATTTCTCAAACGTAAAATTCGTGCAGTTGTAAAGAAACAGATTATCTCTGCTGCACTGAATGTTCTTTTTAACCGAATTTTCTAGGCGCTGTATTACTACTCCACCATTTCTCAATGAAAAATGGTTATGCAGAAAAATTCATTGAGACAAATATGAACTTAGCGCCAAGGCAAGTCAGTATGACGACAGCTCCAAAGAAGCCGTCGTTCATAAAACTGCAGTTTTTTGGTGATAACACCAATAAAGTACTAACACCACAACGCTTGAAGATTGCAGGAAAAAGAGTATTCATGAAGCAGAGGTGCCCTGTCTGTCTCTTCACAACCACTCCAATTTTACATTCTAAAATCAATTCATCAATTGAAATTAACTACTGTTTATAAAAAAGTCTCATATGAATAAAACTCACGTTTAGGTTGAGATGGAAAAGTAAATGATGTTACAATTTGTGATGCTGGTGCACCCGCAAAAGGATCTTCACCCAGATAGGATATTTCATTAGGATCAATGTCAGAAATCTCTACATCTGACTGCTGATTCTCTTTATATTCTTCTTCGTCGTCTAGTAGTTCTCTATCGTCCAAAGTATCCTGAGTATTCGAAATTTTCTTTCCTGAAATCCTTTTTGATTGATTACCACGGTCCAAAAGTGTGTTAATACATGCCTAATATAATGAATGCAATAATAAGAAACATTCTAAGTCGATTTCAACCTTTTACATAGTGAAGCGAATTATTAATGAGATCAATTATTATGAAAGATATTGGGTCCCAGTGGCTGAATGGTATACGAGCTAGCTTGCCTTGTAACCGGAAGTTCCTGGGTTCGAACGCTGGCAGTGGGTGCGTATTGCCGATGATTCTCAAACTAGGATGAAACAGCAGCTGTCCAGTAGGTAGTCCCTGGTTTTCAATGGTTCTCTAACTGATATCAATCCGTGATCAACTCGTAAAAAGTATATATGAGTAAATTTCTGATTTCTATAATCAATCTTCCATTAGAAGGCTATATGTTTAAACTTCGCTTTACTTACTGAGGTTAGGGAAGTTGAATGGCATGCCCGGCTATCATATAATATGTACGCTTGACATCTAAGCTCGAAAAACACCTTAAATTCCACCAGTTATTTCCCTTCCCACAGATGACAGTTCGCAATATACATAAGATCACTCTACATAATATATATAAGTTCAACACCATGGAGCTGTAAATTCCATATTAAATTGTTCAGTGTGATATATCTGATAAATAAGTTAATAAGGAAATACATTTTGCTAGTGTCCATGTTTTACATTGGCTCTCATGGCTCAAGTGGTTTAGTGGATAACGCTTTGGTGTTTGAAACTAAGGGCTCTGGGTTCGAGCCTCGGTGGGAACATCATCACTCATTGACTAGGGAATGCAGGTACATCTAGATGAAGAGTCCTGAATAGGATGAAACGCGCATCGAGCTGGATTTCACTGTTAGTCACCATCCACCAATTAAATTCTAATTACATTCCCAGACATCGTCGAAGCATCTGAACAAGAAGCCGACACGTCAACCTGAGACTGAGCACTTCGGTCCAAACAATCGACGGGGAAATCTAAAATTCAATTATACCCTAGTACTATACTAAATAATCGTATACTCATTCTATCTGATCCCATATTGAGAATAATTTCACTACTTTAGCAGAATAGGAAAATGAAAGAAATACTTAGTGAATATAGACTACACTTCGCAATTTCTGTTCGAATTGCCGAACACGCTGAGCAATTTGCTAAGTGAAAACAGTGATGTACCAGCCAAGATAGATACAAATATGGTGAAATACACACGTGTTGAATAAAGTGAACCTAATTTATAGTTTCGTTATCACTCTATGCTTGACCTTTACAAATCGCCTTAGAGAAGTTCTGATATAACAATTAGGTAGTCATATTAATTAATTAAAATGAGAGGTGTCAACCTTATCGTGTACTCGGATATGTGTTGATTGACATCGCTTTTCAAGCCCTCTCAAGTGGAACCCTATGGAGAGACGACGACACAGGTGTGCATCCGAGGGTGACATGGAAGAGATTGTTTGAGGAGGAGATGAGAGCTTATGGACAATCATGGAGCTAACTAAAGGGGACTGCAGAGAACAAAGGGGAATAATGGAGATATGCTGCAGAAGCCCATATGTTCCACGCTGAACCCAGAGGAATAATAATAATAATAATCAGTTAGAGATTAGATATAGCTTAACACAGCGTCAGATAGTGGGAAACGAGAAGACAGGGATATCCTGGACCGATGTGAAGAACCTAGAAGACCTGGATTTCGCGCGTGGATCATTTATGTTTGATGTCACACAAAATCGAAGACTTACAAGCGAAAACCGACAAACTGGTCGAAGAAGCAGCCAGTGAAGACAAGACTCCAGGTGAACATAGACAAGACGGAGGTTATGAAAATAACAAACCAACAACAACAGCAACAACATCCAGCGCCAATCATCATCAACGGGAGGGATTTGGAAGAGGTTACTTCATTCACTCACTTATCTAGGGAGCATTCTCTCAACTACAGGAAGTCGGAACGGACGAGGATGTCAAGCTGAGTGAGAATGAGGAAGGCGGAAATCTTCGTCACTCACCATCAACAACAAAATTCAATAGGATTTTCAATACAAACGTCAAGTCAGTCAGTTCTTCGATACGGTTCAGAAACTTGGCGGGTGGGTCACAAAGAATATTTCCAACAGCCTGTTGCAGACTTTACCTTTATCAACAACTGTCTTCGCTGGCTCTATACTGAAGATGACCGGCCCGGAAAGAATCACCAACAAGAAACTATGGGAAGAAACAAAACAAGAACAAACCAATCGCCAACCAACAAATATTCAGGAGAAAGTGGAGATGGATGGATTGGACACTCGCTGAGGAGGCCGCCACTGGGTGAGATCGCGCGTCAGGCCACCGCTCGAGTGGAACCGGAAAGGGAAACGACGAAAGGGACGTCCAAGGGCGACATGGAGGAGATCGTGTGAAGAGGAGTTGAAACAGGGTGGACTAACATGGATGCAGGTAAAAAGTACAGAAGAAGGAAGACAGAAGCAGGTGGAGACGTGCAGTTGAAGCCCTATGTTCCACTAGGAACCCAAGGGAATAACAACAATATAGCTGTACACAGGGGTACACAAAAAAAGCAGAATGTTAGTATATCAACTCATAACTGTCAATGGAAAATTACATATTACATGATAAGAAAAATAGTTGGAAAATGTTAGCAACAATGAAAGCTCACCTTAAATTGCTCTTCAACTCTAAGTAATAAATATGGTAAAGAGGTGGAAAATTGTTTAAGTATCCTATTCAAATGTGATGTACCGTTGTCAGAAGATGTTGTTTCACTAAGGACATCAGAGTGATTTGCAAGTAGTTTACTTATTCCTGTTAAATAATAATCTGATGTTATCCAAGCAGAATCCTCTGATTTGGTAAAATATGTAGGAATCATCCCTGGTGTTTGAGAGTTTGTATCAGTGGAATCTCTAAAAAGGAATTATATATGTGTTAGTCGACACGATAAAAAGATATTACAAAATGATCAACTAGTGAAGTTATTAGAGGTTAATTGGTGGATAGTGACTGACAGTAGAATCCAGCTCGATGAGCATTTCGTCCTATTTAGGACTCTTCATCTACATGTACCTGCATTCCACAGTGAGTGATGTTCCCGCCAAGGCTCGAACCCAGTGCCCATAGTTTCAAACGCCAGAGTGTTATCCCCTAGACCACTTGAGCCACAAGAGCCACCTCTTGTGCACCTGAACAAGAAGCCGATGTGTCAACCTGAGACCGAGCACTTTGGTCCAATCAATCGACGAGGAAATCTACCATTCAATTATATAGTGAAGTTATTAGTTTACAAAGCGTTTGACAATAAGTCGATGATAAGTTACACTTTTATTTTTATAGTTTGAATAGCGGCTACAAGACTACCAGTCAGTGGTGATCACGCATGAAACCATTTATTATACAACTAGGAAAAGCCTTTTACCAACATATTTCTATATTCATTGAGGTATCCACCATAAGGATGAGCTTTTTCACGCAAGAATCTCCATTGAAAAATAAAAGGTCAATGGTTTCCTGAATCATGCTAAAACTATCCAAGTACAACTGAGACAAATGTGTCCGAAAAATATGTCATAATGTATATATATTAGAATAGCCTAACAACAATATCATGTACTTTTTTTATTTTCCTTCACGTTCCCCAGTGGAACATAGGGCTTCAAGCTAGTGCCTTGAAGTTTCTGTAGCAGTATTTATTTTACAGGATGGGGTTGCTAGCCTCACGCCCAACCTTTCCTCTTTACCAGCATTATTTCTGGCTCAGAGAGGTAAAGGAGTGCGTCCGTGGCCGGGGATCGAACCCCGGACCATGTGCATGGTCGGCGAGCGTGCTAGCCGCTATGTCATGTACTATCAAACAAAAATACATCATCATAATTGTTAGTGTAACGACAGAAGACAAGTGCCAGGCAAGAGATCAAACCGAAGATACGCTTCACACCACCACGACGAGTGAGACGGCGGATCGCTGGCTTGGTGATGCCTTGGATGTTGTCACGAAGAACCTTGCGATGTCTTTTGGCTCCTCCTTTACCTAATCCCTTACCACCTTTACCACGACCAGACATGATTCAAGACAATGACTTCATGAGAATCGACACAATACCAAGATTTGGGACGCGAACAATGAAGTAAATTGGTGTCTACTAATTTTGGCTAGCAAACAGCTCTCACCACACTACTACTAATAATGATAATAAGTAATAAAGGGTTAATCATTTTAAAAACCTTTTAGAGTTTAAAATCATTTTCTACATTATCAAACATTCTGCTATACAAAAATCATCAGAAATACCAACATTTTCAGAAACATTCAAATCACTAATGAATTACAACAGCCGCAAGTACATAGACACAAACAAAAGACAGACGTTAAGCACTATCAGGATGTAAAGAAAAAAGTCAGCTCCTAATCTAATCGACGCAGTGAGTTAGTCCGAACTACAAGTGCGTTTACTTTGCTTAATTCTGAAACATTAACAGAGACATCACACTTAAGGATTTTTTAAAATGTGGTTCTTCATTGGCACGACAAATCACATGTAAAATATTTTTGTGAAAAACACAACCTGTAAGCCAGAAAATACTGGAAACTACGAAGATACTCAAAAATTTACACCTACGGTGGCTGACTTTTAATAAGTCAATTCTAATAATAATAAAATATATTTACACAGACATTATCTTACTCGTCTTTTTCTTTGTGGGGCTCTGAGATCGATAGGCTTAACAAGTCTGACAATAAGTCGGATTTCTTATTGGTAAATAAATGGGAAGACTGAGTAGTCGAAAAAGGAGAAATAATCCGATAGCGTAAAGGACGATCACAAGTAGAACTATTTGACAAATCTGCGGTCTCGACGCAGGCATCCACTACATATGTAGGCTGTTGGTGCTCTAATCGCTCAGGAGAGGTCTGTGGTGATTGAATATCCGGTGACATAACATACCGTTGTCGTTTTCTTGGTGCACTGGACAATGGAGCATCACTTACTGGTAAAACTTCATTTATATCATTTGGCTGAACAGTAGTCGACTTAAGTTGATCTTCAGAGTTGCTTGGAACACTAACATCCCAAACTAAACCATGCGGAACTCTATGTCGTCTGCTAGGAATAGGAGTAACTGGTGCAGGAAGATGAAAATCTGTAGATGGTAACCGAGAACTAGGTGTTCGTGCCTTTTGCTTAGATAGGGGATCAGGATTAGGAGATGTTAGGGAGACTAGAATTTGTGATGCAGGTGAATATTCAACAGAACGTTCTGAAATGGATATGAATACGAATACAAAAAATCTCTAGAGCATCAGATAGTAGTGTATCACAAAATAACAGTAGAAATGAAAATAAAAAGCTAAAGCAAGCTTCTTGTGCTTATCAATATATATATATATGTATATATATATATATATATATATATATATATATATATATATATATATATATATATATATATATATATGAACAGATTGGCAAAGTATTTTATTAATTAGTACTCAAATAAATTCCTAGGACAACAGATATTTAGATACTTGATGCATTATAAAACCTTAAATTCAGTTTGAACACTGCTCAATATACGAATGTATCAATGAATATTAGAAGTTGGAAAACTATTAAAGATGGTTGAACCAAAACCTGACATCAGTCTATGAAGGCTATGACAGTTGATTTCAACCAGCCTTATAACGAAGTGTAGGCTACCTGGCCTGGTTAGGGTCGTGCAATACTAGGAAACATTGGCTGGAGACTATTGGTGATACAGCTCAAAGTCGTTCTCAATGGCGCAGATGCAATCACTTTATGTGATCCCCCAGATCCGTTGTTTTTCTGCGTTTCTGTTCTTCTTCTTCTCTCACACTTTCGCTTACTATAGTTCTTTTGAATTTATTTTGTTATCTCTCTAACCTATTTTTGTGTGCTACATAGACTTTGGTAACTTGGACTGCTGCACTTCAGTGCAAAGTTTTATGCTGAAATTCAGACAGTCAGTCAGACATAATGAGTACAGAAATTCTTTTCATGTCGCGTTTTTAGGTAGTATTTTGTAGTTGTTAAAACAACTGTTCTTTATTCCTTTGTTAAAGTGTATATTTAGCTCATATCATAAAAAGTATAGGATGTGCGACTCAAAATGAACCTCGCTTTTATAAACTTTAATAATTTGACCAACTAACTAAAAATAATGAGATCGACGTAGACAGTGAATTAGAGGTTACAGTACAAAAAATCAGAGAAATACAGAGCGTGTACTGTATATTAAAATTATCAGTGTCAAATATGTGAGACTAACAGTTATACCTTATGACTTACAGTCTAATAGTTGGTAACACAGCGGCTATATCATCAGACTATGCGGCTTCACATGACAGGAAATAGCCCATTTTTTTATTCCTTCACGTTCCCCAGTGGAACATAGGGCCTCAAGCTAGACGCTTGAAGTTTCTATAGCAGTGTTTATTTTTACAGGATGAGGTTGCTAGCCTCATGCCCAACCTTTCCTCTTCACCAGCTTTATTTCTGGCTTAGTGAGGTAAAGGAGTAGGCCAGTCAGGGATCGAACCCCAGACCATATGCATGGTCGGTGGGCGTCTAACCGCTATGCCACCGACGCACAAATAGCCTATTGTCTACGTAGAAAACCAAGTGGAAATATGTCGCACATCATTTACTGTTTGATAATACGAAAAACGTAAAAACAGTAGTGTGTAAGCTAGCTAACTAACTAACTAACAACTATTGACCTAAAGTGAATTGGCTCGAGTATCCCAATCGTAAAATTAAAATTTAACGCTTATACTCAATACATCTGTATCTGTGTTTAAAGTTTGAGATTTATGCATTCTGAGGGTTTTCTGGATCAGCACTGACCAGTAAGCAGATCAGTATGACTGAAGAACATTGAATTCGGGGAAAACTACCTAGATTCTAAGCCTGACTAAAGCGAAGTTGACCGAAACCCTTACTCTTTATTGGACTGTAGAACACACATTTAACAATAACCCAGAAATAAGGGACACACTCAGATCTATCAGTTAGAATACATCTGTAATGCCAACTGTCTTTTATGGAAAAGATGTCTTTGAAATCAGACAAAATTACCGGTTTTCCACTCGAACTCATTTGACAGACATCATTAGCAGTGATGTAAACATAGGTTTATACATCCCTGCATGAGAGAAAACTGTTCTATAAGATCAGATGCACGTCCATTACACGATGGTTAAGTATCTGCACTACTCAACCTTGACACTAACAAAACACAGCCTCTGTCAAGGATATTCACTCTTCCTGAGTAACCAGACGTTATCGTAGGTAAACTGATGAAAATGTCTATATATACTCCAAACTTCTCGAAAAGTTTTTGATCGATTTGGATTAAATTTATGTCATTTTAATGCATAAGAAACATTTTGACACTTTTAGTTAGTTGAATGACGTTGAATGATGATATAAGAGTAACTTACATCGACCCTAATCTAAAAGTGACTGACTGTATGAGTGAGCAGGTGAGTAGGACAATATTGTTAGCGTTGAATGATTGCACTGCACGATTTCTAGTGATTAACCAATGAAATTTTGATACAAATGGAAAAAGCCCAAACTACACCTTTTATTTTCGCTATCAATATTATTATTATCAATAACTGCACTTCAAAACAACACATCGACAGAGAGAGAAAGAGAAAGGTCAGTAAGAAGACAAACAATGAAATATTCAAAAAATTAATATCACTCACTGTAAATTACTCAAACAAAGTGCGACTGAAAATTTAGAGAAATCGTCCAATACAAACCACTACTATCAATCTGTATTATGCAAAAAATAACCCTAAAATCACTTAATTAAATTCCCAGAAATGTGATTGAAAATTCGCAGTTGTATTGACTTACATCACATCATTATTATTGTGCGAATTCATTCACGCTGTATTTTCTGGATTTTGAACGTCATATTTATATACAGATAATAAGTTCTTACTGTGAATTTTTATTTCTCTTATATTAATTCATGTGACACTAAGTCAATATGTGCGTCTCCGCACACCTCTTGAAATGCTCCCATATGACCGGGCGTCTTACATAGCCTCTCCTGAGGAAGTCCTACTCACTGCCTTCACGTGGCGGAGGTGTTTCTCACCAAAGTGAGAGGGCGAAAGCGGATGCCCGGCGCTCTCCACCGGGTTGACTGTCCATTGGATGACAGTCTAGGGGAGATGGCTAAACCCTGATTCCAAACCTCCAACGACTGGCGTATGAAGCTCACTGGAGCTCACCGGCAGACGTATGGACAAAGGGCTTGTTGGATGTCCTGGATGTCTGGCCCCATTCACAAAGGCGTATGAACCGAACTCCGGTCACCGGCTGCCAATGGATAGTGGACTCCTTACTCCACTCCTACTGCCTTGTAGGTCACACTTGGTTGTGTAAAGGCTAGAGCTGCACTCTCAAACAAAAGGCTGAGCGATGCTGGGGACATCACTCGTACCAAATTCCCATGAAACTTCATGAACTCTCTTACAAGTTGCCGCGCCTGAGCAGTGATGGTTCGAGACTTTCATGAAGCCGGCTCATCCTCCCGTAGGAGATAGCCGAAGTAAAGTAAAGTAAGTAAGTAATATGTGCGTCTGTGGTACAGCAGTAAAATGCTCACCAATCACGCATGTGGTTCCGGGTTTGATCCCCGGCCATTAGGCCGGCAATAAGACCGGTAAAGAGGGAAGGTTGGGCATGAGGCTAGCAACCACACTCTGTGAAAAAAAACACTGGTATTAAAACCGTAAGACCCTAAGCTCCACTCTTCACTAAAACCATAACTAGTTATCAGGGTATTATACAAAAATGACTTGCAAAAAATAAATAAAAAGTGCGATTAAAACTCAGTTCATGAATAAGCGCAAAAAACTGCGTTACTTACCGTTTAACATCTGTTTATTAACTGCGGCTTCCTCTTTAATCCGAGCAAGCTCACTGCAAACCAAACGATAATCAGCTTCACGAAACGCTATTTGGGCGTTCAATTCACTCAATTTACGTTGAAAATCATTACGTTCAGAGGCGAGATGTGATTCTAGTTTACTAATAGTATCAGAATCGGTAGCTTTTGTTCGACTAGCAGACTCTTTAATGGTAGCTAATTCACCTAATTTCATATACAACTCTTCGCGTAATACAGATACCTAGAAAAAAATGAAAGTCGAAATTCCCAAATGAGTTTTTAAAAAGTTTTATAAAGTGCTGGATATTTTAATCAGAGATAAAGACAATTAAGCTTCCTTTCATGAAGATTTGTAGTGTTGGGCGTTAGGAAATGCAGCCTAAAGCAACAACTAGCCTTTTTTCCAAGATCCCCGTCGGTAGCATCGTAATCAACGAGTAACTATGTTCTCTACTTATGTTGATCAGCAGTTAATTTTTATCTATCCTCCGCAGTCAATACACAATGTATTTGTGTATAACAATAGTTATCACACTAATACGATAATTTTAGATGGTTGAACTAATAATTAATATTTTAAATCTTTTTATGATGGCATTCGTAAAGTAATATCACACAGAAAAGTGCTGACATCCTGCACAATGTTTAATAAGTTCCGAATTTCAAAAATCTAATATGTTTACGCCCTATTTATCCATAAAGTATCTTACCTGAGAATGCTCTGGTTTCAAACAATTGTAATTGTATTACTGTAGATCCCGTTCTACCATTCCACTATTTACTGCAAAATGAATTGGATGGAGGATTTCATCATGAGCTGACATCGGTTAGAGAACCACTGGAAAACCTGGGAATACTGGACAGCTGTTTCATCCCAGTTTGGGACTCTTCATCAGCACGGACCCACTGGGGTTCGAACGCAGGATTTTCTGGTTACAAGGCAAGCTCGTAGACCACTGAGCCACTGGGACCCGATCCAATGGCCAGCACATGAATTCCAACTTCTTCCAATTCACGACATAGCGCGACCATTTCGCAATGTCTTATCCGATGAGTTACTGACTCATCTTCAACCTGCTGTACCCTACTGGTCACAGCTTCCCAAAATGAATTAACGCAAAGAAGTCAGAACATTTTTGCCATGATGGGAAGCGCTAGTGATCAAGTCTTACCTATGAGATACTTAAATTTTCCAAGCTAAATCTACTTTAACTACAAATTGCGGGCTAAGTTAAAACACCAAAAGAGCTGTTTCAGAAAAATTAAACTTTCACGAAAACTTAGTAAACTCCAATGTGTTAATAAAACCTTTGCTAATAAAATGATGAATATACATATGAAGTCTTTACGTTATAAAGGCCATCAGGCAGAAAAAATGGCACAGACATTACGAAGAAAAAAACTGAACAGATGACTCTCATCTGGACCATATACTACGTTAATATAAAACCACAACCAACCTCCTTTTTAAGACTTTCAACTTCATCTCGGCTAGCACTTGATACTTTCTCGTTCAGTGGAAAGTGAGGCACCTGTACAGTACTTCCTAGCTTTGTATCTAAGGATGTTGACCGAGTTAAACCACTCGACGACTCTACAGTTCAAAATAATCAGTAACAAAGAATGTAAATTTACTTTCAGGATGTAGATTTGGTTTCGATAAACCTCCAACAACATGACTTGATACTGTAAGTACATGGATTATAAAGGTAATTTTCGCCTACCATTTTCATACTGATGCTGGGTACATATGAGGTCGAATTGGTCAAGAATTTCTTGAGTAAGCTCATCGTCATCCATACGTTAGCACAACTTTCAACAATCCTGAAAGCAAAACTGAGAGATGGAAAGCTATACTTGACGCAGTAATAGAGAAATAATTAAAATGACGGAGCTGAAAGTATGAAGTACAAAATGAAAATCAGACAGGTAAGAAAGAATAATAAAAAGATATTGATTTTGTTGCATAAATGTTAACAAAGTTTACGAAAATCCAATTAACTATTCTTCATCCACATGACTGAATAGAAGAGGTTCGTTTTATGTTTTCTCTTCACTTCAATTATCAAGGATTTAGTGGTCTCATTGAAACTCCATAGCATAATTGAATGACAAAAAAACAAAGCATCAAATCCTGTGAAAAGTTATACGCAGTCTAACAGGTCATGGTATGCTACAAGCAAACATGTCATCTAGCATGTCTGCGTGATTGACCTAACAACATAAAACTTTGTACAGTAGTGCATTATCCCAATCTCCCAAACTTTGGGAAAGTAAATATTAGGTAAACACAAATATTGACGGAACTACAGTGAATAATATGTACGGATAAACAATTAAATGAAGACCAATGAAAACTTCCACCGCTCGGAAGATGAAAGAGTAAATACATCTGCCTCAGTATAAATGAATTGAGGCCATATCAACAGCAGTGACCAAGCGCTGAGGAAGCATGTCCAAGGACCTGACAAACAGAGAAGGAATGACAGTTTTGAAGCCAATCGTCAGCTAAAAAATGATATCTGAATATGAGAATGTAAGTTATCCTCTGAGAAGCTACAAGTGCACCAGATATACTAGCTTATTATGATACACAAACATATATTAACAGTGACTTTGCTAAAGGTCCGTTGCTTTAAAGTGAAATACAACAATAAATTAATTAGATAGACGTAATGTGCGTTGAATAATAACAGCTAAGCATTTTTCTCACAATTTTGAGATTTTAAAGGATTAAAAGCCTGGGAAGTTGGATGACACAAGAGACAGAGTTAACCACATATATGAGCTAATGTATGCATATAATTTGTGATTTCTCAAATAAAAAGCTTAAAGACAATTTTGGGGTTTTTAAAGAAAGCTCAACACAAGAATCGTAAGAAAATGTATCGCTCCCCCTCCCTGAATTTTACTCCAAAACTCCCCCCCCCGAAAAACCCCGAAATTATCCCAAAAGTTTTTATTTGGGTCCACGTCAATCAGACACCTAGCACTTTCAGCAGCCAAAGAATTTGGAACAAATATTTTACCCCGTTTTAAGACTTTCACTAACTTAAAAATTCATGAACAGAGCTACATATCGGCAACCTACAGGTGCAGCGCGAACTGGTACGGACGGCCTTGAATACCTACCTGTAGCACTTAATCACAAAATGCGAGGCCATAATTGTACGGTTTTGGATACATTTTCAATATTCCTAATTTTAGAGATAAGCTTCATATATACGCTGGTTTCTGAAGTGAAGGAACCCAATATCTTGTAAGATAGTGAATCTACAAAAATCAGCATTCAAATTATGTAATATCTTATTTACTAGTTGGTATTCAATAATAAATTTCTTCAATTTCGATTTTTGACACCAAGATGAAGTCTCATGACATATTGTGTATTCATACGAAATTCATTTCCCTTTACTCGCCTGTCATAGCTTGAGCTGACGATGGCGGGATCGGTAGGAGGTTCTGGATATACTTGAATTTTAGTCTGCGGCGTACCTCTCTTTCAAATTTCAGATTTAGATGCAGACATTTTGAATGGGGATAGAAAAGTTGGAGCTTATGTTAATCCTTTTCTAGTAAATTTCTGTGCTTGTTCAAACCCTTCTAGAATAAATCAGTTGAGGTTGCAGACGCCACTTCTTCTCGCAATTGGTTCTAGGAGTTAGCAACTCGGTGTGAGGACCAGTACTCCGCAACAATATGGTTCCTCCTTGGCTTTTTAACTCCCCTGCTGTATCCTCTAAGGTGTTCCGACCACCTAGTTGGAAAGAAAAGGGAGAATAGGTCAGGTCCGTAGCCATTATTTAAAATTTTGAATATAGTAATTAAATCTGTCTGCCTACGGTATGACAGCGAGAAGGGATTTAAACCGTCTAGTCTTTCCTCGTACGACGAAGTAGTCATACCGAGAGTCATACGTGTGGCCTTCCTTTGGACCCTCCAAAATATGTGAGTCCCGTTTAAGACAAGGATTGGTGGCCTGGATACAGCTTTTGGGTCTTCACCTCGCCAGAGATGCATTTAAGGAGATGAACATATCTCTGGTAATTCTAGTAAAGGCTCTGCGAATCGCCCATAAGGATCTGAAACTACGTTCAGTCACCGCGAGACAATGTGCTATAGTCTTGAAATCGTGACTTACTATGACACTTAAATCGAAATGGGTCTAAACTAATGGGAGTATTTTTCCCTCTAGTTTGTAGGCGCTGATTATTGCGTGTCCAATGCTCATGGCTGTACATTTCGCTACATTGATCAGGAGCATCTACTGTCTAGACTACTCCGACAATTTCTTGAGATCCTCTTGCAACCTGAGCGTATCACTGTTGCCCTTCTGCTCTCTCCAGATTTTTAAGTCTTCTGTATGTATGACCATAGGGGAATCGGTGAGCACAGATAACTCATTGAGATACGAAATAAATGGAAGTGGACCGAGTACCGTGACTTGTGCCCATCCACCAAGCGGGAGGAGAGTTTTAAATTGAGCCTAACCGTCTACCTCCTATCTGTAAGGAATTCCCTAATCAAGTCCACTAAGCTGCCTTTTTAACCAAGGTTCTCCAGCTTCATGAATAGTCTTTTGTGAGGAACTTTATCGAAGGCCTTGCTGGGGACGACGTCAATGGGTCTTCTGTTTTCCCTTGATCTGACTAAGCTTTCTCTTGTAGTGATATTTGACAGGCATGAGAGGTTTCCTCGGAAGCCACGCTGTGCTCTGGATAACAAATTGTTGTTTCCTAAATATGCCATGATACTTTTCTTGATGATTCTGTCCAGTGTCTTGATTAAAGTACCAGTGAGACTAATAGACCTATAATTGAAGGGGGTTGTCTTGATCCTCCTTTATTGATGGTGGTTACTATGGCGTCCTTCCAGTCTCGCAGTAACACTCAATTTAGGAGAGGTAGCCTGATCGTGGTCAGTGGCCTGGCTATGTTAGCTGATAGCTCCTTGAGAATCCTTGGATGAAGATTATCAGGACACACTGATTTCCCTACATCTAGTTTAATTAAGCAGTTGAGCACGATTTCTTGGTCGATGTCAACGGAATCTATCCCGTGTTCCTCTGATGCAGCCAGAGCTGATCCAGTAGAGTGGCGACCCCTGTGAGTTCAATCAGTTCTCTAGTTTGTTAGACTCCCGATTTGGTCTGAAAGCAAGATTATAATTCTAATAATGCGATTATTTGTGGCAGAATGCTCGCCACCCAGGCATGTCGTCCCGGTTCATTCCTTATATCATCGACACACTCCAAGGCCTGAGAAAGAGATGAAATCAGGTGTTACATCAGCAGCCCCACGAATTATGATGAGCAGTTTAAGGGCAACATTGTTGAGGTGGAAGGCAATGGAAGCCAACCCGAGATCTCTCTTCTTATGTGCAAACTGTTGTGCTTTTATTCGGGCCAGTCTGTATTCAGCTAAAAACGGGACAACACTTGCTGTCAGTCAAGCCTCATAAACCGTCAATGTCCGGCTCTTGCTACGCTGGACCTCACGCTGTCAGAAACGCTTAGTATTAACCAACGCGAAAACCAAAACACTGTTTGGCGACTCAAGAATTCTTAATTCTAACGCCAACACAACTAACAATACTATTATCACAGAGTAAGGTCTAAGAACAAAAGTTATAACAATGAATCACGATAATGCTTCTGGCAGTTTTAAGCCTCCTTCTGGACAGCGACCGGTGAGATGATGACTGTCGGATTGATGACCCGCGAAAAATATGGAGCTGGGTTCGGGCAAAACAACCATGAATTGATCGTTCAATCTTCAACTGCATTGACACTCCCTGGCAAAAAAGGGATCCAACCCTTTTTTCCTTCACGACCAATGCACGTCGACTTGGATGCCATTGCGAGAACCTGGGTCACACGGACAGAGCTGAAATGGAAAACAAACAGAAGAGCTAACACACCACAGGCATACCCACAGCACAATCTCACACATCGATGACGACCTACGCCTTCCAGTTAAAAGCATCCTATTGCAACACAATCTTCTCGACATCTTGCAACACAATCGCCACTTGCTGGAATGACCCTTGCATAACGCAACGTGACCATAGCAGCACCTCATGATACTCTTCACACATCCTCTTATCTACCCACTACCAATTACCACTCCGATCGCTTGTCATTCATTCTGCCTCAGTTCTAGTAGCGGTGACGTATGCGAGCCTCAGTCGTTTACACTCTTTCTCCCCGGCGTGTGAGACCACAGCTAACAATTATCTTCGTGTGCATTTCATTCTCAGCAATAGCCTCCCCGGCGTATATGACCCATCTGCTGTCTTTAACATCAATCAATTCATTTACGGATGTAGAAGACTCAAAACAACTTCAGAAGTAATCACGACGAAAAATTTAACAAAATTATGCAATAGCAACAAGATACGAAAACAACAGGTAAATACAGTGAATCGAAAGACGCCAATTCATATGATACACCATACATACATACATACATACAAACAGTACACATAACCTCGCCGATCATGTCTTGATGGAATTCCTTTGAAGAATCGCAGGACTTACACCAGTACGCCTGCAACCCTTCTCAAGTTGACGATTGTAAGTTATAGAATGTCCGGACACAAACAAGATTAACCAACAATTACATTAGTTAGAACCCACACAATTACTTAACACAAACATATTGACAATCAATACATCAAAGTGGTGGATTCTGCCTTGACGAACTACCCTTAAAGAACTGTAGGACTTACAGCAGTACGCCTACATTCCTTCTCAGGTTGATGATCCAAGTGAAGGTCGTCCAGACACAAACAGAATTATC